CATTTAAGACTGAAAGCTGTCATTTGCAAACGAATAAGTGAAATTCCACCGGGAAATGACTTAGACTCAGGGTGGAGAAAAACTTCAGGAATGAGGGATCCATCTTGTTTTGAAAACAATATACACAAAATGCAAATCAAGTACATTATATTCGAAAAAGTATCTATATGTTCATACTATATGAGTACCTTTCGAGTTGTGACATGACATCTACATGCTCATGAGATGTACCATAAATGATTTTAAACAGTTTTTGTTTGATGACATTTAAATATTTATATTAATATGTTTTTTTTTTCATAAAACAGCTTTTTATAGTACGATCTTCATATTAGTAATATATTTATGATTCAGTTTTAACTAGACCAATTAGCGATGAATAATATGATTTTAAAAATGAACAACATTTCAAAAATATGAATTTTTCGATTAATCATTCCAAGAAAACAAATTTGTTTTGGACTTTCTAATTTAAAATAAACAGTGCTGATAAGGAAAGCAAAATCATCATATTAATTTAAAAATGTATGTTATATTTTGTTTTTCTCTTTTACATTTCTTTTCAGACTCATTTTTAAAAATACTGAATTTTTGCCCAAAAACACATACTTTGATTTTATGACGCTTCCTTTCGAATGTAGCAATTTACATCGCGAGGTCGTAAAAAACATTCAGAAATGATTAAATTTTCTGTACTATGCAAAGTCCAAAAATTAAAAAATTAGATGGCGTCCAAGCGGTCGAGCACATGCGGAAGCGTCAAAATTATCCGATTATTCGTACTTTTATGTATATACTGAACTATAGTTTTATTTCATGCAACAATATATTTTAAAACCAAACAAACAGACGTAAATATTTTTATACATGATTTTATATTGAAAATTCTATTTGAGAGAACCCTTTTGATTACATATTTTGAGATTAAATAAAAAATTGTATTAAAATAAAAAATCTATAAAATGAATGTCATAAATATGAAAATTTGCAACAACAAAAAAAGCATATTCAAAATATTGACAAATAAGTCAGTCACAAAACCCAAGTTTAAATCGCATTTATTTTTAATTAAAATTATTATAACTTTTTTGCCGTAAAGCATTTTATCACTTACATGATATGATGCATATCAGAATTAATACGTAGCATTATAATATTTTATAGCTGCAATAGTCTTTGTCGAAACGGAAAAGCGTGGAAAACATATTGATTCTGTTTTTCCAATTGCATAAAAACATAACATCTTGCAGATTAAAAATTTTATAGTTGCAAATGAATAGAATGAAAATTTATTTTATGTCTAAATTAATTTATTGTAGACTCTCTTCTCACCAACAATTATAAAACAATTCAATGCAAATTTGATAGTGTTTTTTCCGCGTGTATATGATTCTTTGTTCTCCTGTTTTTGTAATTTGGTATTGCTGTGTTAAGTAATGATTTTTTATTGCTGTGTTACGTAATGATTAACCCCGAATGCGAGGATGAGAAGTATCGTCTGCCATGTTTTTGGGCAGTGACAGACAGTGATGGTTTGTGTTTAGCGTGAGAAGTTTGAGTTCTGTTTGAGTTCTAGCTATTCATTTTAAATAGCGTTATTATCGTTTTTAATTAAGAATAAAGCCGCAGTCGAACCTTGGATGTTCTGTTTTTAGTGTAGTGTATGTTTTAAAGAGTATAGGAAGAAAAAGCCGCGACACAAAGATATGGATAAAAAACCATAATATTTTTTTTTAGTGAAAACTCACCAGAATGACAATTAAGCAATTCGCGTCAAAACTGACACATAAGAAGTTTTATGTTATGTAGATAATAAACAATTTTTAATTCCTATCATGCAGATCCAATTGCACGTTCAAACTTCCCTGATTGGTTTCCACTCATAGCAAAACGACAGTATTTGTTTAGACAAACTGTATATAATTCGTTGAAGTTGTCTCACACTCTGATATGATATGATGCTTCCTTTCAATTGTAGCAATATACTCTCAAGCTTGTAATAAATCATTTGAAGATATTTAAATTTTATGTACTAAACAAAGTGCAAAAATATGCTCAAAATGATTTGTTGGTTATAAAATGCATCATATTTTACAAAATATCATATTTTTTAAGATTACATAATTGATAAGTCTGTGGTATATTGGATTTTATACCTTGAAGGCCAGTAAATAGGTAACGCAAGAACACGGATTTCACGCTCGATTGAAAAACAGTAATCATTCAACCATTATTCGGCTGGCACACCCAGGAAAATGCAACATTGGTTGATCACAAAACAGTAACTAAAATCAAAAGTAACGGGGAAAAGCATAAAAAAACTTCCACATTTTAAATTGTTACTATGGCAATGCTATTTCATTTATTCAACAAGTTTAAGTAACTGTATGTTGTCAATAAACTGCCATTTTGTATTCTAGTTTTCTAGCGATTTCAGTAACAAGTGATTTGATAAAAAATTTATAGAAATCTTCATTACATAAATATGGTATGTACAGGTAAACACCGCGCAATGTTGTGGAGTGTTTTCTCTCAAACAGAGATCTATAACTAAAAAGGTTTCTGCTTAGGGTATTTCAATTACCAGTGACAACGATCTTTTTCATTTTCTCTTACAACTCATTTGACTTCTTCGCATGGTAGTGATAGGCGATGGCCAGCACGTTCGCCTGACATTTCATCTTGTGATTCTTTTGTGTTGGGTTATAATATAACCGTTATATCAAGGGTTAAGTGTGTAATAAAAATTCAATAAAGGCCTTTCGTGTCTATATTTAAAAAAATGATGAAATGTGGAAAGTTCGTGGTTTTGTGCCTCACTCTGCACTAGCATATTTGAAAGAATACAAGATGTGCTTGTCAAAAACACGCTGACGCTATATGTGGTTACGCTCAATCTATGATGATGCGTGAAGTTTGCATACATTTGAATAACATTTGTGAATACACGATGTCGATACGTGTACCAGAATGGTTGCTTCGCCCCCAGGAAAAATGTATTAATATTAACTATTAAATATATTACATTTTATTATCTAAAAATATTTACATATATTTTTTTCCAAAAAAATTCTATAAATAAGACAGGTAAATGTTACAATATACATTGAGCGGATTACGGTTTTAGGTTGGCATAGCTGCACCTTCTATCGCAGCGTTTCCCAACTTTTTTAGGTCGCGGACTATTTTCTCACCAGCGAAAACCTTTGCCGACTCAAGGTGCGTTTATTGCAACCGTACTCCGTTTATTGCAACCGTGTGAAAAAGCAATAAAGCCAAAAACAACAGAATTGTAACGAATTTTAAAATCGGAAATTCGCCGCAATTACGCGTTGTTTAGATTCGTTAGAATAGCCGACTTTTTTAGTGTACAATGCTCTTTTCTGTCGCACAATATTCAATCTATGAAAACGACGATAATTTAAAATGTCATTCAATTTTAATTTAATTGTGTTCATGGTAACTCGCGATTACGTCGACTTACAACAACATGTAAGCATTAATTCTTTAAAATGGCACGGCAATCTGCGAACATAATAATGTGAGAATAATATATTACCCGATTAGATTTAGTTTTGATACATATTTTTTGCGAACTTGCGAATTTGTTATCGCCGTTAGAAAAATCCTACTATCTGCTATAAATTTCCAGAAAGTACAACTTGATTTAGTACTTATTAGAAAGTTATTTAAGTATATTAGTAAATTAAAAATAAATATCCATCGCCTTGCCTTATTACTAATTTAATTGTGATCATTTTGATCTGCAGCTGTGTTGACGAAATAAAAGCAATACTACTCAGAAAATATCATGACAATCCGTGTATAAAAAATGCGCGGTAGGATGTGTCCAATTATATTTTGTTTTGATTCGTATTTTTGTGAATTCGACAAACCTGAGCTGTTCGTACTTCGTACAACACTTACGGCGCTCCAGTTCTGTACGTACCAATGTGGAGACAGGACAGGAACGAGAATAATCTCAAGGGGAAAATGCTCTGGTACATATACTACGGTAGCACCCGAAATTTTGCGATTTGCAATGTATAAAAAAGCTTTTTTAATCGGTCGTCATAAAACCTATGGTGTTCTACTAGTATTTTGTTTTGCAACTTTCCAATTTAGAAAATTTGGGTTGCCACCATTGTTCGAATTCGAACTCGCGAGAAACACCACAGTTATCTATCAACGCGTGTGCAGCCTCGTGTTTTCGTCGGAAATCCGCACGTGATTTTTGAAATCCAATCGTTTATTAAACGACGCGCAAGTGACCTGTCGTGTCACCTGTTACCAAAATTTCAAATAGTAAATTGCTATTCTAATAGTTGAATATATACCCAGCCCTACTCAGTAACCAGTAATTATTGACTCAATAAATGTTATGTGAATAAACTTGCTTTTTATGTTTTATGTAAATTCTTACGTAAATCGTAACTTGGCTGATAATTAAGTTTCGCAAAAACGATTGCGGCCCGCAGTGAGTTTCTGGCTTGTTGCGGACTCATTCAAACGCTCCGCGGACTCATTTGAGGCCGCAGACTCGGGTAGGAAAACACTGTTCTATCGTATTTAAACGTCATCACCTTCAATCTGCAATAAATACGGATGCGTAATAAAACAGGATACGTTCATATGAAGTAATTTTTTCATGCAATGAGTGATGCTTTTGTAAGATGTGAATGTGATTATGGATGAATGTCTGGGTTTCAAGTTTAAGCTAATCTCAGAAGCTGCAATCCAAAGTTTTGTTGTTTGATTGGGTAGCATACACAGCTCCGCTGATGCAGTCACCACTAGGCGCTATCGAGCAATTTATAGCGTGAACGTTTTTGAGATTATTGATATCTGAGATCAAATATTCTAACCTTAAACTTATTATTACATACCCATTAGTTTATATATTTTAGAAGGCACTAGTATCCTGAAAGAAAAATATTTTTGATGTTAAAAATGGTAATGTAAAAAAAAACATTAATTAAAAATAAAATATTTTCTTACAAATTAATAGTTAAACATTAACTTGTACGAGATTACTTCACAATGAAAGTTCTCACTCTGGCGATCGGTATTTTGTGCATGTCTTTTGGTAAGTTGGTATTTGCTTTTGGAAATTAGCGTAATTGTTTACAAATTATTTAATTTTTTTGATGCCGATTCTAATTTTTTCCTTCCTCTGCATATTTCTTATGATGATTAATAAAACGTTTTTTTTACTAAACGTGTATTATATTTATGGCATTGCAGTATAATTTTAAATATTTTCAAACGCTTCACAAGTTTGCTGGTTATGTTTCTCGAAATTTATTAGCATTGACCGTGTATGAAACAACTCAGAAAAATACAATAGGAAACTTTCTTGAATTACAGTGTACAGTGGCTCAATTGGTCTTTTTGCCCTCAAATAAAATGCTTTATTTTAGTTGGTTTTATTCATGCAAATTGAGTATGCATTATGAAACAAATAAAAAAAATTATAACAAATTGAAAAATTTCCTATTCGGTTTCAAGGTTTATTTTTGTTATGATTTGAATCACCAATTATTTGCTTTGCTCAGCCTTGTTGTGTAGCATATACGATATAAATTACAGTTTTAATTTCTAACTTTGTCGTTCAAACAAACTTATTAGTTTGTATATTGTTTGACTATCTCTTACACTTTAGCATATGCTGATCTACATGGAAATCCACCAGAAGGTAAGTAACGGTATCTATTTTTTATCGTTTTCCACGCAATATATGCCGTGACAACTAGGGAAAGTTCCCATAAAACATTATAAAGTTGTAATACTGCTTGTATTCGAATCTTTTAAATTTTTTTTTTTCAAATATATATAACAAAAAGATATATATATTTACAAGCACGTCAAACAAACTTTGCCAAACAACGCTATAATTCTAATAATTTTAAGTAATTCATTTTTTGTTCTATTTTATTATTAGGCGGGCGTGGAGCTGATGATGAAAGTGGAAAACTTATGGAGTTTATGACCGACCTCCTAGGTATGACTTTTTCTAATACAATGAATTGACGAACGACTATTGTATTATTTAATGTTGAAAATTTTGAATCATTTGAAATCAGTAAATATTGATCAATTCGTTATTTTATTTATATTGCATTGATGTAATTGCACAAAAATGTTGAGCATATGACATGTCACTCGTATTCGTATTTCAACCGTATTGAAGGGGTTTATAATTTGTTATCCTATTTTTATGTCCAGGGATGCTTCCAAAAGGCAGTGGTACGGGTGATACTGCTAAGATCATGGACTTTGTAAAACAGCTTTTCGGTAAGCCTTTGTTTGTTTTATGTATTTTAATTCTGAAAATTCAAAAGTTTCATGTGAACATTCATGAAATCGGTCTTATATGATTGAAATTTCATGCGTACAATTTTACTAATCATTAAAAAATTTCAGACTCTGACAAAAAAGGCGGGGAAGATGGAGAAAGAGGTATTTTTCCATATTCTTCAATTTTGACATTAAAACATGGAGTTTATGTTACGACGCGGAGAGAAAAAAGCTATGTCGTTAACTTAGAAATTGTAATAGCACAGGTTTCGGTCCAGAAAACATTCAAATTATATTGTTACTATGATATATAGTACGTGAATATAGAACAAATTTTTCGGAAGATGTATATAATTTTTTTTAACGTATATATGAAATTTGGGAGTGAAATTTCTTTATTTTCTTTGTTGAGTTGCCCGTTTTTACTTATGAAATTTTTTATTGTAATTTCTTCATCAGACGACAGCTCATGGGAGGGCGGTGACACTGTATCAAAATTGGCCATGGGAATTTTCAGCGGAATTCTCAAAGGTTCAAAAATTACTTTTTATGAAAACACTTTTTAAAAAATATTTTTGAGTACCTCCTTCATAATTTAATTTATCGTGTTAAGTAGAACTTTGGCATTTTGTTGACAAAGTAAATAAAATGAATGAAAACAAGTAACACAAGTAAATTTTGTTTGTTTATATGTGATGCTAAATCACAATTTGTACAAGTTGATCTCAACGAAATTTCAATTTTTTTTTAAAATTGGCTAAAATATGTAAAATTTGTTTATTCCCGTTTAAATTTGTAATATTCCCGTTTAAAGAGTTAATTGATGGATTGATCTTTATTTTACACCAGGGCAAGGTGTCGGCGAAAGTGGTAAGCTAATATAATAAGCTTAAGTCATATCTTGTATCAAATCGACTATTCAGATGATAAAAAAGAAAATCCCCCTTTTTATGTAGTTAAACAATAATTAATATTTCCAACCTAATTAATCTTTATTCTCGTCAATATTGAGGTGAAAAATATGTTGATTTAATCATTCGACAACGTTGAAGTAAATGTAGACTTGAGAATAAATTTATGCTTGAAAACCATCTGTGTTTTAGATGTAGTGCCCAATTTACATTAAATATATTTTTTAAAACATTTAACATCTCAATATTCAAGGATTTGGTGGAGGCGACTGGGATCCCGTAGCAACGGCAAATTCAATAAAAGACTTGATTTCGGGAACGTTTAAAACTGTTTTCGAAAAGTGTAAGTCTGCGAATTGGTAATTATAAATTTGTACCGTACATTCTTGCTACGGAAATACATCAATTTTACACTCATAATTAATCAAACAATTAATGTTTGCAAATCAAACATTAACTGCAAACTTGAAAATACGATGTGAATTGCCTTATAATCATTCAAATTTGTTTTCTTTATAACATAAATATAGCAAGGCTTTAGTTATTTGCACTGCATAAAGAGGCTTCGCTTCTTAAAGGAGTTAAATAATACTCTGAAGTAAGAGTTGTCTAATGGAACATTAATTAAGATTATTTGGGTTTGTACATTTTCTATCCATACAGATATACCTTCAAAAAACTTTGATATTGAGAAAAACTCAGAAAAATTCACAATAGCAACTATGGACATATTGGACGGACTGTTTCCAGGATGTAGGTTTTCGTTTGTTGCTATTTTGTGGAAAGAATAATTTATTAAAAATCAAAAGCATAGTTGACAGCCTATAATAAACCCCTAAATACAAATAGTTCGCTGGCAGACTTTGGCACACTAATCATCAATTACATATTTGCTCTTTTAAAATTGTATTGTTGCTTATTTGTCTTTATCGCTTCGAAAATAAATATTATAAACAGGGTTTTCATGTCATCAAACCAGCCAATTACCATCGCGTTGTTACATATTTTAACAGGGCGAAAACAAGATGGGTACAGTAGAGGGGTGGATATCGATGTGATTAAGTTATTGGGTGAGTGATTCTCTAATATGGGAAAAATTTACCTAATTAGTGTGAATGCAACGAACAAGATTATTTTCACTTTTTAATAATGTTTAGGTATTTTTGTCTAATACTCAAAAATTTTTTAATCTATAATTACTCCATTTAGAAGGAATTCTATATATTCAATATTGCTTATTAGTAAATAACTTCAATAGCAATCTAACAAAAGTAAAAATTAAATGAAATGGATTGTTATATTTTTCATTTTAAATCGAGAACTTGAATATATCTTTGTATTTTTAAATACAGAAAGTATTGAGGGCGATCAACGAATCACTGTAATAACGTTCATTGAAAATTATATGGGTGAGATTTTAAATAATACATCAACGAGAATATCGGTCAGAGACCGAAGATTTATCGATCGAAAGTCAGGAGATCCCCAAAACAGCGCTCTTACTCCATAGTGACACCTTGTGTCCCATCACTAATTAATTAATAACTCGCTAATTATACGACATAATTCATCCAAAGTCAATAGGCTTCTGGTACGACATATGATGAATACCTATTAACATACTTACCGAATAAAATCGATAAGTAATAAATAATATTAAGCTTGAGGTATAATGAAAATTATTATATTTGTAAATATTTGCATATTTTTGCTTATATAGGAAACAAAGCCAGTGGAAATACGATTGTTGAATTCATGAAAACGTTATTAGGTAAGAATGAGTTTTATTATAGGATTTCATGCGCATCTTTATTGTCATTTATTTTTCTCAAATAAACATTAATATTGTAATAAATATGAAAGAATATAATAAAGATAATATATAAATTTCGAATATTTTTCTATAGCAAAATTTTGTGAAGAAAAAGTGTATTTCAAATTATGAATATTGCATAATGATTTTTAATAATGCAGATTGGCTTTTATTGACTGTTCATAAATATGAAAACATGGTGGAAATAAGTCTAAAAGCGCTCTGTATTTTGAAATGTTTCAGGTATCAGCAAAACAGATGGTAAATGGGTAACGGAAAAGGAAGATTGGATATCTAAATTGACTATGGGAGTTACCAGAGGCATGATAAAAGATTGTAAGCATTGGTTGATAATATTTCAGTAGGAAGCGTGCTTTTATGTAAAAAAATTGTACATTTTTTTTTTCAATTTTTCAATTTTTCTGAATTATTGTTAGACAATCATGTTGATCCACAATTGAAAATTATCCATTTATATATATATTGTGTTAATAATAAAAGTTTTCACCATATTAATTTTTAAAAGTTTTATTATTGAAAAAAAAATATTCATTCAATTTGATAAAAAATAAATACAAACACATTTATTCTTTATTGTTTTTAGGGCAAGCGAAAGATGGAAAGGGTGAGTTTATGAATCCATTCAAAATGCTATATCTTCAAAATATTAAATTAACCTAAACGTTTTATTTACAAAGGTAATAAATACATGATTCGATTGAAGCTTAGATCTAACTCGTTGTTTAAATCCGTAGTGATGAATTTTAATTTTTAAACCCGAGTTGTAAAACATCAAAATTTTAACCCCATTCCCCCACTATTCGATTTTGATGGTAAATAGTTTTCAGAACTTTTATGGTTATATATTTAAATTATTAAAATTTTATATGAAAAGTATAGAAGTTGATATCCTAAATCCAAACTATCTCATCTATATTGCTCTTAACAGACGGTGTTGGACTTAGCTGGAATGCCACAGCCTCTGCCAATTCAGTCAGAAATGCGGTCAATGGTATTTTCAAAGAGGTTTTTCCTGACTGTAAGATTCTTTTGTTTTTTAAGTGAAATGGGGTTTGGATACAAATAAGAAATAAAAATAAATTATAAGATTCTATCTAAATAATAAAAAAAAAAACAATGCTAAATAGATATCTTATTTTCTATCATACATTCCCTTTATTTAAAATGTTCAATTATTTTATAATATATCATTCTAAACATAGGTATGTTAATGCCTTGATTTGGCTTTGATTTGAACGACTTTAGTTTATAACCAACATTTCCATTTTACTCCAGGGGACGAAAGTACAGATCAACCAAGTAAGTTGAAAAATATAAACACTTAAAATATATACCATCAAAAATACACTCCCAAAACGGACAAGAATATATCGGGAATGAGTTCTGGAATAAATTCTATGATCTCATAGCTTTATTTTGAGGGGACCTACTGAATTCATCTAAGCATGGAAAATCTTGCTATGTTCTTGGTCAAATTAAAATATCTCTGTTTAGTTTTTATAGAATTGCTATATACAACAAAAACGACTAATTGTCAACAAAATATTTGCTGATTTTTTTAACAATATTGATACAACTTTCAGCCACGCCCAATCTGGCAAATTGTACATGGCCGTTTTCATGCATGTCATTCGATCCGAAAATGTACATAATATAATATTTAGACTAATTCATTCAAAAGGAGGTCTTCTGAAACTTCAGAAACAAAAATTCTCTCTTGCAATCTTTCAGCTGTTAATCAGGTCATTCGATTCTAAATTTCATTTCTAAAACTAAATGTTCGCAATGTTCTTGCGCCTCAATCGATACCAGCCTTGTACTATAATTACAGTGCAAACAGAACGCCCGTAGATTAACGGTTAGCGCGCATGGCCCACTTTTATTGTCATATTTTTTTTTGCTGACTGTTTGATGGGCTCGAAATGTGAACGCTGAGATTGCAATACTTGATAAATTCCAGAAATCATATAGGGTTTACTCCTATATTGTTGGGTGGAGAATTAAAGTAGCTTCAAAACAACATCCGAAAGCATTGTAGATCGAAAAATTAACCGCAAAAACTTTTTATCGAAGTCTCGTGGTCTTTTCATCAGAGTTTCGTGGTAACTAGATATTATGAACCTGGCTGTCTTACTTTGAACATAATGAAATTGTGAATTTATACTATTAAAATTACCAATATTTTGTCACACAAAATTTTGAAATCCAAAATAATTATTTGTTAACAATGATATAATAGTGACTCTCAGCAGAAAGCAAAAACTGAATCTAAAATGTTGAAATGAAATATTATTTAGAGGCAAAAATCTGTCAAGAAAATTACTCGATGTCATCTAAAACAGACAAAAAAATCCAAAATCAATTTGAACTGCTAACTTATTTTAAATCATATTTCATAAAAGAATCACTAAGACGAGATATAAAAAGCAATGAGTAAACGATACTGTATTATGGTGTCCTTTTCAAATTTGTTATAGGTGGTTTCGGTGTATTCTGGAATCCTGAAGGAAACTCAGAAAAATTTACCAGAGCAACCATGGACATTTTGGATAAGCTCTTTCCACAATGTAAGAATTTGCTGCAAGTCAAAAAGTCATAAATAAATCCTAATTTCAATTTTTAATAACTGTCTGTGTACAAGTAAAATACTTTGAAAAATTTAACCACGGAACACAAGCAATTTTTTTAAAAAATTTATTTACTTGTGAATCTCAAGGTAAAAACAATCTCTAACAACAGACTTCAACAAAACGCTCTCTTAAAACTTCACAATACTTCATTTGAATATGACAATTATTTTTCTAATAATTGAACAGGGAGAGAAAGAATGAGTTATGGTAAAGGATTGAGTAGCTCAGCAAAAGATGGAATTGGTAATTTTTTTGGGGGTATTATTTTAGTGACTCATAAGCTTTAATATTTTTGCTTGAACCGATTCCTTTAAAAAAAACAATAGTGCTGGAGTTATAAACAAACGAATTGCTTCAATATATTATATTTATTTTTCGTAGATTATATATCACAAACTTTAAAGATGCTTGGTTGTCCTATGAACTCTTTATTATTCATGCAGTGATTAAATAACCCCTGATCAAAGTTATAATAGCAACCGAAAATGTAAATCCCTTTAAAAGCGAAAATGGCTATTTTGACAGACAACTGCATATAGTGTATATTCTCTGCAAGATTTGAAGTCATAGTACAGAGAAACACGTAATGGTGAACAAATCAAAGGTGTTCTGCCCCAAGTCTACTTGCAAAATCCGTATAGTTAATTCGATAGTATCGGATAGTGTAGTATTGGGTGTTGGTGGTATATTTACATAGTAAAAACTCTTTTTCTTCCCCCAGGGAGATAAATTTATACTACATTTTATTTATTCTTCATTTTACTTTTATTCCAATTTTATCATTAATTTATATTTCGTTTTTTTTTAAATCAGGCAGTGATTTAGGAGATGGGAGAGTTGCCGTGATAACGTTCGTTGAAGATTTTCTGGGTGAGAATTAGAATCACTAGTTCAACCGACATTAGGATGTAATTTTAATTTTATTTTTGTTTACCTACAGAAGGTGATGCTGGCGGCAGCGATAAAATTGTCGAATTTGCAAAAGTCTTACTTGGTAATACTTGATTTGTTATAGTTCTTAATTAATAAGGCAGTAAAGCAATACTCAAAACTATACAAGCATAAAATATTTTTAAATATACCTGAAAGATAATAAAATAAAACATTGTGAGGAATTAATATTTTATTTTTACTCTTTAAAAATGTATGGACGCTTAAATAAATTTTGGGCTTTCTTCGTGGAAGATAAATTGAAAAAATATTTTTAAAATATTTTAGGTGTGAGCAAAAAAGATGGAATGTGGAAAGCAGTAAGAACATTAGACACGGTATCAAAATTGACCTTGGGGATTATAAAAGGGATGGTTTCAGATTGTAAGTTTTTAATGTACATTCTAACTCTTTTTGCCTAATCATTGCACTTTTAATATGAACTCCATTAAAAAATTTTATGTCTATTTTTAAGCTATAAAATATGTAGCGTTGCATTTGATTATTAAATTACCTGCATTTGGTCTACTGGACCAAACATTTTTGTACTGTATATATATATTCATATTATTATCTGATTGAATTAATTTTAAATGAATTCCACTGATTTCCATGATAAATATAAAATGTTTTGTGTTGTTATATGGGCTTCGTGTGCACAAATATTCCATAATTATTTTAATTTTAATAGTTTTAAAGTATAGTGGCATAATTTTGATAAAATATTAAATTCTTAGTTTTTCTTTCAACCTTCTACTTCTTACAGGGCAAGAAAAAGATGAAGGTAGTATGTTTTTTTATTAATTTATTTTTTATTTGAAGATTTTAAATGTGAACTTGTTTTCAATTTTTAGAAACTGGTATTCCGATGTTCAATTTCGGTCAAGGTAGTTGGGATCCTATTGCAAGTGCAAATACTGTCAGAACTTTAGTTAACATGGTCATGAAAAGCGTTTTTCCGGACTGTAAGCATTTCATACTACTTTTTAGTTTAAAATAACAAACAAGCATATCAAGATTTTAAGCATTTTCAAAAAACCGCTAGAAGCAGAATTTTATTTACTTTAAAAAATGACAAAACCTTTTGCGGTTACGGTATATAAGGCATAAGAACATATAATGTAAGCAAAATTTAAAAACATAAATTGCTCCAAAACTTTTTGAAGTAATCAGGCATAAAATCAAAAGCTGCATTTAACTTACTGGCGTAAGTTCGCGAGTAAGGCTATATTTCATGGATTTATTAGTTATTCATAATGAATTCTCAGAGGTGAAACAAAGGTAATTTAGTGTGGAAAAAAGTGAATGTAATAACATTTTAGTATTTTTATTTTTCCAGGGGATGAAGGGCAAAGCAGACCAGGTGGGTTTGCCAATAAAGTGTATACCCTATAAAATTTTATATGTAATATGATAATTTTATAAGACAACAATTCAGTAAGATTGTAGGATAATCAAAAAACATGAACGTTTACTCAAATTTGCTTTTGTGTCAAATATATATTTTATACCTGGTTAAATAATTGAATCGAACAGCACTACTAGTCAAGGTAGTGTTTTTAATTTGTTGAATAATCCACTTTGAATTGCAATGCTAATACGTCAGAAATTTGCTGTCCACAAAATTATTGCCGACTATATGTTTGGTTTTTATTTCACATTCTCATTTTAGGAACACTAGGAATGGCATTTGATATCGAGAAAAATGCTGAACAATTTACCGAGGCAAGTATGGACGTTTTGGATGGAATGTTGCCTAATTGTGAGTTTATTTTCAATATTTTTGATTTTATCTAAATTGATCCGATTATTTTTTATTTGCTAAGCCAATAGTATATTGTTCAGTTTGTTTTTTCAAATATCTAACGAAAATTTCCGTATTGAAAACTATGCCCACATTTCCATCATTGCAGATTTTTTCTGTATCATACAAGTAATCCACAGAATACACAATGTAGAAATATTATTATTAATGTATTACCAATATTTTTTCGGTGATGTTTATTCAAATTCCAATAACTTAAATGCACTGTAATCCATATTTTTAAAAAAGGGCGCAAAAGGATTGACTATGGAAAAGGATTAAGTGTTGATGTAGTTGATTTGGTGGGTAAGTAAGCATTCACTTAATTTTTACTATAAAAGAAGTTTTTATTAAATATTAGGGGCTCCCGAAGTATGCGAACCAAGATGGCGGACATCGGGATGTAATATGTGTACTAGGTTAGGGTTAGGCCATACTTTTAGGTATAAATACTACGGGAGGCTCTTGGCTAGTCTTCGAACTGATAATAGGACTAAAATAAGGAAAATTGGAAAAAAATTATCGCCTAACCCTAACCTGTTACCCATGTTACGTTCCGATGTCCGCCATCTTGGTTTGCATACTTCGGGAGCACCCAAATATTATATATTTACAATGTTTCTTTATATTTTATTGCAGATGGCGACGATGGGGACCAGAGAGTAGCAGCAATCAAATTTGTCAACGATTTTCTAGGTAAACGTTTGAGTACTGTTACCATTTGAATATAGAATTCTTCTCTCATGTGATATTTAAAATGTGAACCAATAGTTGAGAGCTAATGGGATTCAAAATTGCAAACGAGAACTAAGGTTTTACCGTTTTTGTATTATATTTGAAAACAATAAGTTTTCGTAAATTATCGGACACTCATCGGACACACTGCACATTCCCATAGTATTATACTAAACATTTACATATAGTTAAAATTTTATTGAAACCGGTTTTTGAATTTTATCTTTTCAAAGCAATGCAAGACATTGCTTTATTTAAAAATATAAAGGAAACTGAACTTTAGCAATCAATGGAGAAACAGTTTCCGTCTTTAGTTAGCCATATAATAGGCTCTTATATTTCATATTTTTGCAGGAAGTAAAGCTGGCGGGAGCAAAAAAATTGTGGAGTTCACAAAAACTCTACTTGGTGAATAAACTCTTTTTTATTTAAAATTGATAATGTATCTTTTGGAAAAGATTGTAGTAGAGCAATCAATATAAAATGATGTGCCTCAAAAATATTTCTCTCTGTTGATAAAGCTAATGAACCATATTTCCTCCTTGTACATAAGTTGTAAGTTAAAACATATGTTGAATCTAATGGCAATTCTTTTAGGTGTTCGAAGAAAGAGCGGAAAATGGAGGGTAGAAAGAAGTTCTGATGTGATATCACGATTTACAATGGGAATTATAAGAGGAATGGTTAAAGATTGTAAGAAATATTTTTTGCCTATATCTATTCGTTCAAACCTCTTGTTTGTATTTCATTGATAAATAAACTATTCCATTGTTCTCAGGGCAAGATAAAGATGGACTTGGTACGTACTAAAGACAGGTTTTTGATAATAATTTATTTCAATATAAGTCATTAATTTACATTTCAAATGTGTAATGGTATTTTATTTATAAAATATATTATTATATATATTATCATGAAATGAAATGTCATTTTCAATTTTTTTTTAAGTTTATGTTCACTGTGAGTGCATTTTCATTTTGGTGAAAAAACAACAACTACTGACTGACTGACTATCTGCTGTTTTCCAGAAACATTTTTTCGGTCAGACAAAATGATGTAACAATTTTCAAGTTTTGTTATATCCGACCTTTGTGTCAAAATAGCAAGTTAAAGAACTAAAATAAAAATATTTGAAACATTGGGGTTTGTTTAACTCAGTGAGACGTATTTGTAACAATTTTTTTTTCTATACACTTTTAGTTGGTGTTGGCTTAAACTGGGATCCCAAAGCATCTGCCACCACTATTGCAAAATTGATCAATGATGTTATGTCAAGCACATTTTCGACTTGTGAGTTTATTATAAAATTCTGATTTTTTTATATGACATATCATTTTCATTCTGATTCATATGAAAATGAAATTTGATAACGCGTTATAAATATTGAAATTTACAAATATGACATGTCATTTTTAATGTGAATATCCCATTGCATATTCTTTATTTTTTAAATTCATTTATTTTTTCATTTTTTATTACACTAGGGGATACAGTGACAGATGCACCAGGTAAGTCACTAGGCAAAACGTATTCTACATCGCCAAGCTTTTGATTCGACCATATTTACATTTTTTTTCTTCTTTAAAGTACAATGATTGAATAATTTTATTTTGTATAAAAAATATAGAACGTGAGTTAACGTGTAATATGGATTTGATATTAATTCAACAGAGTAATATAAAGAATAAAGCTTTAAATCAGCAACTTTTTCAAATTCCACTGTTTGAGACATGCTATAAGAATGCAGAGAAAAACAGAAAAAAAGATAAAATATTACTTTGTGTGTTTATGTTCTATTTATATATTTTCGATATTCTATTTTATACCTTATATTGATTGAAAATTATTAACGCGTTTTGAGATAAAATTAAAATACTTTTCAGTACTTAATGCTGCTCAAATTTGAGTTATTGAGAGCACTAAGCCTATACCAGCTTCTAGCGTGGGTGCAGTTAATTTGAATCAGAGATAAATTACATAGTTTATAGATTTTATGTCTTATCAATACAGATGGATATGGGTCATTCTGGGACCCTGAAGGGAATTCAGAAAAATTCACCAGAGCATGTATGGACATTTTAGACGACGTTTTACCTGGATGTAAGATTTTATGATAAATTTTCTTAGTTGCAATTGCATCATTTGAAATAGGAGCAAAAAAAATATGAATAAACTCAGGTCATATGGTCAGCAAAATATAAATTCAAGTTTTTTTACTATGTTGCCTAAAATATCTATGTAGTATTTATTTATTCATTATTACAAGTTAGATTTATAATTCAGTTACAGTTAATTTTATCTTTTTAAAATTGAGTAGCTTGAACATAAGCTCTAATTTGGTGATCATTTTTCAGGGAGGGAAAAACACAGATACGGAAAAAGTCTGGGTGGCCTGGCATTTGACTCATACGGTAAATTTTTCAGTTTGAATTATTTTCTTACAGCTTTTTATATTGAAAAATATATTTTAACATAATTAAAACGAACCCAAAACGATTCATGCTTTGTTATTACCCTAATATTTAGCTAGTACCATTTTATAAGTGGTATAGACATTTGAAAATAGTTTTTTTTTATGTTTTAAGTAAACATGTTTTTTGTTTATGTGGACAGGAGGCGATCTTGGCGAAGGAAGAATTGACACTATTGTCTTTGTTGAGAACTTTTTAGGTAAAAACATATTACTATTTTTATTTACATTCATTTTTTCCAAATTTACTTATAATCTAACAATATTAATTTTCAGCAGTGCTCAATTAATACAATTACTGTCCCATATATAAACAACGCTAATGATTTTTGTTTGCAGGAAGTGATGCTGGAGGAAGCGATAAGATTGTGGAATTTTTGAAGATGCTACTTGGTAACATGCTTTTTGTAACCCATCAAAATCACAAATATTGAACAAAAAGTAAAAATAGTCTTGTCTTTCTTTTATTTTCCACAGATTTTTAATAAAATTCAAAACCTATTTATGCACAAGTACATAGTATTAAACGTATGTAGCTCAGTTTTTTTTGAATTTTTATTTTTTCATGAATTTATTAGGGAATAAATAAATATTTATCATGGCAGTTTTAAAAAAATTTCATTTCCATTTACACATTTTTAGTTATTTACGGTTGGTTAAACAGAAAGCATTTCGACTGCAAACCAAGCTTTTTAGAAAGGCAATGATGATTTTAATTCATATTTTGTTTTTTAAAATATCAAATCTTTTTGATATTCTTTCCTATTAACCTATTCAGTATCACTATCATCTCTATCATTTTATATTGCTTATAAATTGTCAAACACGAAACAGAAAATAAAGGCATTGGATGCACGAGTAAATTGTGCGCCGTTTATCACATTTTATTACATAACATATTCTCATATAAAAATAAAAGTACTCGCCCATTTTGCAAATTTAATGTTCTTTGAAATTGTATTTTATATTGATATTTGAGCTTTCAGTAACGTTTTTTTAATCCGTCATGCGTATGGGAATTTTTGAACAAGGAATAAATTATATAAATAATGTTTTAGGGGTTGAAAAAATAGATGGAACGTGGAGAACAACAGGTCCAATGACCACGGTATCAAAGTTGACTCTGGGTATTACTAGAGGAATGATCAAAGATTGTAAGTTTTAATACTAGAATTCGTCACAAATGTTTCATATTTTAATTAGAAATATTAATATCATGCTACCAAATCTTCTTATGATGAAAAAAAACTATTAGAAAACATACAACTGTATGCCTCCAAATTGTTTTAAAATTGAGACGTATGTTCTGTTTGCGTAGAATGACATGAAGATATTTTTTACAGGGCTAGATAAAGACGAAGATGGCAAGTTTTTTTTTTTTTATATGTAATCAAGGTTTAAATTAAATTTTTCAGCTTGTCAGCATATTTGTCGAGAGTATTTAACAAATATGCAATAGTCTTTTACAATCTTATGTTTTGAGTTTGTTGGTATTGGATTCAAAGACTACCATATTAAATTTTTGAAAGTAATAAATGTCTTCTTATACAACTAAACTTTTGAAAGTGAATAGTAGAATGAAGACTTTTGTTTATAATATTCAACATTGTTGCTCGAGTAAATTCCTTTTATACCGGAAAAAAATATGGTAATATAGTTGCTTACGTATTTAGTGTCAGACTGGCCAACAGTTAGTTTTGCTGAAGGTGAATGGAATCCTATAGAAACTGCAGCAAGCATCAGAAATCTGTTCAGCGGAATTGTGAAAGGAGCGTTCCCTGAGTGTAAGAATTAATATTTAATAATTTAAACTCTAATTGTTTTTATCATGGAGACATATGTTATAAGTACAAAAAGTATAAATTATGTAAACATGTTCAATGAATTCAAAATGATATTATCTTGAATAACTTTATAGATATTTTACATACAATTAAAATACAGCATTTGGCATTCGCCTCTTTTACTCTATCTCTTATCATCACATATCTTAGTCAAATACAAACAAATTTTAAGGAAAAAACTATTTTCTTTTAACATTTCACATTTTACCATTTTGTGTATAATGGGAATATATATTGCTTATTACAAATAATTCATATGCACTTACTGTAACGTTATTATGAAAATATTTTGTATGCGGTTAACTTTCTCATAAATTAGGTTTTTGGTAAAATTTCTCATGCCATTAAGTTACATCGATGACCAAGTCATTTTTAATCAATAAATCATTTTATTTCATAGATATTCCCGATTTTGATATTGAAAAGAATTCAGAAAAATTCACTAAAGTATCAATGGACGTTATGGATGGACTTGCTCCAGGATGTGAGAATATTTATATGGTTATAAATAATTATAACAAAATAATATATAATAATTATAACAAAATTTTAAACCTTTTTTCCAAAGGGCGCAGAAGATTGAGCTATGGTAGTGGTCTGAAATTCGAAGTAACACAATTGTTGGGTAAGAATTGACATTTTTTCTGATGAAAAAAATAAATTCCAGCAAAATTAGGTGCAATAATTGCAATTAAGTTATAATATTTTCTACATCTTGTTCAGTTTAGAAAGTTAATTATTGTAAACATAATATGAAACAAATAAAATTTTTGTTTTGCGCAACTGAAAATATTTTTTTCGATACCTGTTTACAGTTATGTAAAATGAAAAATTAAATGAAAATACGCTCAAAATTAACCACCATTTTTCAATTACTTTTTCATCAAAAATCCTATTTATTTTCATTGAATGCAAATATAGGAGTTGGTGATGGCGATCATAGAGCTGCTGTAATGACGCTTATTAGTGATTATCTTGGTGAGTAAATATTTGAAAAGTACATATTCAAATTTGTGGTTTGATTAATGATTTTAGTTTATTTTTTTTTGATGTTATGTTGTTATGCTTTTATGATTTTATACTTCATGTTAACTAAAGTTCACAAAATTTATCAAAAGATATTTTTTATTTTCAGAAAAGTCCAGTTTAATGATATATTATTTTTGTAGGAAATAACAAGATTGTGGACTTTATGAAGACTTTGTTAGGTGGGATATTTTACACACAATTTCATTACGTTCCTCGGCATCAATATTAACTAACAATACATTTTTTTGTTCAATGAAAAAAAAAAAAATTCGTAAATTATATTGCAATAAGATTTAAAGATGAAAAATTACATTTTGTTTTGTATATTTTATTGATATCGAATAAAAATTTGGTCTTCAGTGTGCATCGTAGGAAAAACAGAACTCAAATTTATGCAGTGCTACATTGGGTGTGTTTAATGTATCATCATATATTCCTATTAAAAAAAGGTTTATCTGGTCATATATATATTGTATAATACTATATTATTTTATTTTTTTACATAAAAGTATACGTCTGAACACAATTTAAATATTTCATGATATAAATATTATACAAAACTGCACAAACACGCAAATTATTGATGCTTTCATGTTTGTTTGCCGCACGAATACAATTTCATTTTTACTTTTTTCTGTTGGTTGAATTATCAAATTTCTAACTATTTTCTAACTATCACTTATCATTGTGAAAAATACATTTAAATATTCCAGGTGTAAAAAGAAGTGGTGGAAAATGGGTAACTGCACGGGAACCAGACATTATATCAAAATTTACTATGGGAACTACTAAAGGCCTAATCACAGACTGTAAGTATTGTTTCATCTTCATAAATTTACGGATGTTGTTACACGTTCTATTTTTTCACTACATTCAACTATTATAAATTTTAAAAATATGTTTGTGTATTTCAATAAATCACAAGTTTTCTTGAAAAGAGTTAATTAGTGCATTGAATGAAAATTAAAATAATAATAACAAAAGTATGTAAACGTTATATGTAGTTTTTTTAGCACCATGAAATTTTTATTTATTACGTATATTACACATTACATTTATACTTATTCATAATCAGGGCAAGAAAAAGATGGGAAAAGTGAGTGTATGTTTTGTTTAAAATCTTAATTTATTCACTTTTTGACATATAAAATACTATGTGCTTGAAAATAGTTTGTATTATGTTTTTTAAACTTTTCCATTATTATCATTAGAATTTATATTTTATGTTTATATTTTTCTCAAAATGTATGGCTGAGACTCTTTTTAAATATTTTCTATACAAGATGCCGGAAATGACTGGGATCCTACCGCCTCGGCCAAATCAATCAGAGAAACAGTAAATGGAGTTTTACGTGGTGCCTTCCCAGATTGTGAGATACTTTATATCTTTGATATTTTTTAATCAACGAGGAACGTCCGATTAATAAAAATTATAGTTTATGACTACAATATCATGTACTAAACAAAATGACATGTCTTCAAACTCCAAAAATTTTGCAATATTTTTTTTTGTCGATAAACCTCTTTTTGAAATAACATTCAATTTATTCTAACGGGTTTCGTTTATTAATCAGGGGACAGCACAAGAGACAGGCCAGGTAAGTGTGTAATTTATACTTTACGTTGCTAGTTAGTAATTTACTTTTTCAAATATTAAAAATCGATTCCCATTTCCAAGTATTACATATCTGTATTTTATACCAATATATATATCTTAAGTCGCAATTCTTCAAACTTTCGTATTTGTAAACAAATAGTTTGAATGATTTTTATTTATTTTGTTGCCATAATACCAATTTTCCTTAAATTTAAATTTAATTATCATTTTAATATAGATGTAGCAGGTATAAATTGGGATCCGGTAGCAAATTCAAAAAAATTTACCAAAGCATGTATGGATATTATGGACGAGACATTCCCGAAATGTGAGTTATTTAGCTTGCACATTACTTCTCATAGCAAAAATGAAATAAAAACATAAATAATATTCAAAATAAAAACCTAATTGGTTCAACATCTAATAACATATTTTGAGACCGAAAACATCCATTAATAAATTTATTCATATTTTTGATATTGCCTAAGCACATTTTAGCTGAGAACTTTAAGGTCATTTAAAATCGTAATTCATGTCTAGCTCTACTATTACTATTTATTTTCCAAAGTACAAAAGTGCAAGGTGCAAATGACAGCTATAAAACTGATTTCTAGTATATGCAGTTTGCATTCAACCTGTTAGGATTAATTGTATTCAAATTTATTCAGGAACATATTTTGTAATTACTATTTCTTCCACCCTCATATTGTTTGTTTGTGAAAATATGACTTCGGTTTCCATTCCCTAAACGATGACTGAAAAACAGCAAAAAGGGGAAAAATCATGAATCTGACTCTAATTGTCAATTATGCATTGAAAATATGCTTACATATATATTTATATTTATATAGGGCGGCAGAGGGTCAGATATGGCAAAGATTTGGAGGCTGGAGCAAAGAAATCTATTGGTAAGATTTTATTTAAAAAAAAATTTGAATCTCACATTGGTAATATAAATATTTTTTATGATAAGAGATATTCAGAACATAAATAATTTGTAGTCAGCGCTGAGCGCATAATTGTAAAGCAAATGAATTTCATCAAGTTCAAAGTTTTATATTCAACTTCTTAGGCAAGGTAAAGTTTATTTAATAAAAATAAATAATTTCACGTTATGCTTTTAGTCAAAGTGAAAATTTATTTTTCAATAACGAATCTGTGTTGTTACAATTATTCACTCAAGCATGCTATCATTTGTTTATAAACTATCATGTTTTGCGACTATGAAATTCTTACGAGTTTCAATAGTGCAAAAACCTAGAATGTCTATAATTTTGATATTAATATTAATTTACTTTATTTGGTGGGGACTGTTTTTGACATGACGGTTCGAGTCTTATCCAAGTTGAACAATTTTTCTTTAAATATACTTTAAAACACCCAACTTTAAATATTCGTTACCATTTTGACGAAATTCGAAAATATTTAATGTTTGGTTTAAAGGTGATGGACGAGTTGATGTGATTCAATTCCTTGACAATTACATGGGTAAGCTAATTTATCTTTCTTTAGATGTTATACTATAAAGTTTTATTGTCATACTTTCCGAATGGCTTTGCTATAACTGTATCGTAGTCAGTTTTTACTAACCGTGTTCAATATCAAAACTTGACAAAAACTTTTAGCATTGTGATATCCACTCATGTCAATAAAATATATTTAAATAATAATGATACAAATATATAATGGTGCTTTCTTTTTTGTTTGCAGGAGGCAACGTAGTGGAATTCGGAAAAGCACTTCTCGGTAAGAGTTTCTTATTGTAGAACTGTAGACATGTAGAAAATTGAATACAGTAATTCTTTTTACATTTTTTAAACCTTATTAGTTTGTATAGTCCGAATTTTTTGAGACTTTTCTAAAGTTTTTTTTTTATTTTTTATATTTTTCCTAATATTACGACTTTGACTTTTAAAATTTGTTTGTTTGTGCGGTATACATCTTCAGTTATTAGGGTGTACAAAAATCGATTCTAAATAAAAAAAAACTCTGTAATTATATATCGAAAATAAGTCAAATCAAGTAAACGATATATTAAATTGCTAACACATCTAAACATTTAAATTTTTCTACTACAATTACTCACATATTTTTTAAATTGCACTGAATTAGTTTGAAATGTAGTTTAAATATGAACAATATATTAACAAAAAAATGAATTCAGGTGTTAGAAAAGTTGGCGGAAAATGGATGGCAGCAAAATCATCAGATACGGTATCCAAATTAACTTTGGGAATAACCAGCGCAATGGTAGAAGATTGTAAGTTTTAAAAATATGTTTGAGTTTTGTTAACAAAATTACCTACATAGACAAAGCTGGGGTTACGTCAAATGAAATAAATTTTAAAAATTACAAGTGAGTCAAACCAACTTTCAATGTACAAAATACTGATAAAAAAAAGTTAGTAAAGTAATATTATTAGACGCACAAATATAATTTATCCGGATTAGAATGGTGTAATATATATATATTTCAGTTGACTTTAAGATCATTTTTTGAACTAGTCCCAAGTTTGACACGTAAAAATTATCAAGAATGAATGAATCTCTCCAATTTACTGTTTGTTGTTGAATATTATATTTCCTATTTTATCGAAATTCTAAAAGTGTTGTAAGAAACAATTGCATAACAAATATATTGATTTTTAGGGCAAGAAAAAGACGACAGTGGTAAATATGACGATATAAATGTTTATAAAAATTGCATTGTTATACTCACATAATATCATCAACTATTGCATCTTACTATACGTTTGTTGGTATTTAGATTCACCTGACTTTGATTTAAATATTTTTCCTTTTTAATGATTTACATCAAATTTTTAATGCCATTTCTGTGCTTAATTTTCTCTCGGGCCAGTTTAAAATGTGTCATGATTTAATAGTTCATCTCAATTAAATCTGTGGAATAAAAATATATATGTTTGCATTTGCAATTCTAGAATATGAGAATTGTGATTTTATAAAAACATTCCTGTAATAGTATAATATATATATTTTTCAAAGTCTCAGATGGATCTGGCAAAGGAGATTGGGATCCAGAAGAAACAGGAAGATCAGTGAGAAATTTGATTACAGAGACACTGCGGGGAGTGTTTCCCGATTGTGAGTACTTTTGCTATTTCATTATTGTCTCAATGTAATTATTTAGAACATTGGTTCTCAAACTTTTGAGCCGCGCCCCTTTTCATCCATTTTCAAGTCTATCAACAAATACCATTTAGTGTGGCGAAAGTATGTGAATGAAAAGTAAATCTTCAAAATTAAAAAATGGAAATATCCAAAATAGGCAGGCAACATCAAATCTAAGAAATATTAGCTTCGCGCCCTTCAAACAATTATCTATTCCCCCACTTGTGCGGCCCGTCTCACTACTGATTTAGAAGCTTTCATTTCAACAGTACATGAGGTACATATTTGTCCATGTCTGAATAATGTCTTGTAGTAAACTACAATAAAAACGAATTATGACGTATTGGCACCATTTACTAGTTTTTTTGTATAAGTATTATTTATTGTACACTTGTAAAGTGTAAAATCTTTTTTTCTTAGGGAACGAGAAAAAGGATGAACCGGGTGAGACACTAATTTAGTATTTTATATTTATTTATATCAAGTAAATATTTAGGTTATCGTTTTTTTATTATGTTATTAACACAGATATACCCGGTGTTAAATGGAATCCAGAAGGAAATTCAGAAAAATTCACGAAACTTTCAATGGATATTCTAGATGTTATGTTTCCAGGATGTAAGCAATATTCCAATTGTTATCGGTCTGCTTATTGACAATTTTTTCGTATTTTTGACCATTCATAAATAATGTCGTTTGAATACGTTGTGGGGCTACGAAACCAAAATTTACGTTTTTTTTTTCGTTTTATTTTTAGTCTTTTTTAAAACAGTATTTTAGTCCTAATTCTTATTATTTTGTTTAGTCGGATATTTGAGTTGTAGATTCATTCTTTTATTTATATTGTCTTCAGCGTCTAGCTTCTCGTCGCCTATAATCGCATAACAACGAGTGTATAGATTCGGACAAGAAAAATACCTAGTTTCAGGCGTACTCGTGGCACAAGACTTACATGGGGGATATTAATGAGATAGGGAGAGTAAGAAATGTAGTTTACTCACATTATACCTGCTTCAAACTGGCACGTCAAACTACCAACGTCAAACTGGCGAATACGATTGCCGGTTTTAACAAAATTAGCCCTGTGAAAATCGCACGGATCAATATCAACTTTTTCATACGAAGAAAAGTTCAGAAAAGATTGGGTCGATTCAACCTTTTAGCTGCGCTAACGTGTCAATTTTATCTTTTTGTTTGAACGCTTAGGATATTACAGTAGTAAATTTTATATTTTCTATAAATTAAACATTTCTTTAGTACATATTTTTGCATTTTTTTTGTAGTAAAACTTTTAAATTTAAATTACATTCCTTATATTAGAGAACCTAAATAATTTTAATCAAATAACAGAATTATCCCTCTAATGCTAATTCTTTATCATAATTTATAATTATTTATTTTAAACAGGGAGAGGTAGATCTGGATATGACCTGAGTGGCACATTGGGTAAAGATTCAGATGAAATGTCTTTAATTAAAAATTTATTGGGTAAGTTCGAGGCAATTAATTTTTATATAAATTTTGAATTATAGATTGCATATAATAAACTATAATAAGTATATCAATTTATTAGTTTTTGTTTGTGTTTCCTTTTTCTTTCAATTATTGCAAAGCATCTACGCCAAATAAAAACGCCTTCTGGATTTCGATAGACTCTATTGGCCAAGAAGTTTTTTTTTTTTTGAAAACCTAACAACTGGCTCAACAACGACTTAAACTTTATGCATTTTGCTAATTAAATATACTATTATTTATGATAACAGCAGCATAAGATTTGCAATTAGCAGAGATTGTTTACTTAGTTCTGCTACAATCTATCTTAATAAAATGCATTTCTTATTTTTCTCCTCAATTTATATCACACTAGAAAAAATATTTTGCACAATGTTACATAGCTTTCCGATAATATTTGCAATATTTTAATTTTTCTCGTCAATTTATTTGCAGCTGGAAGTGGAGACAACAAACTCGGTCGTTTCTTGAAGGCACTGTTTGGTGAGATTAAATACTGGATTATACTTTGGTATTAGGGAATTAACGGAAAATAAACACAAATTGATTTAAATACCTTTCCATCAATGAAATACCTATTTCCATACTCGTATTTTCTAACACTTCAATATATATTTAGGTAAAAATTTCAATTAGATTTAAAATAAAACATTGATTATTATTGATATTGAAACATTGATATTTATCCATTTCAATTCCCTATTTTATGTATCAAATTTAAATAATAGTATATTTATCACAAAATAGAAATGGACACCAAGGCAAAAACAAATTTTTTACATTACCAGTAGCCCACCCTCAGCTCAACAATAAAGCTACCGATGTGTTACCGGTATCAAATTACCTCCGACTTTTGCATAGCAAACCTCCGCAAAATCAAAACGGAAGACATCCGTCACGTTCTTATTAAAACGTGTTTCCTCGAATGAAAATAAACAGCAGAATTATAGGATTCATAGAAAATTTGGGAACAAATGAAAAATAGGTTTCCATCGACAACAACTATCTTTAACAACTGAAAATTTCAAAGCAATTAGTCCAGTAATTGAAGACAAAACGATATTTTTCATAACAACAAAAATTCTAACGGCAACAACAACATAATATTAAAATGATCTACAAGTTCACTTCGTGTTCAATACCGTCTATGTAATATATATTTTAGGAGATGGACAATACGACACGGTGGCCAAGCTAACGACTGGAATTTCAAGAGGAATGATCAAAGATTGTAAGATATTTCTTATGGTATCATTTATAAATCTCATTTAATTGGTTTACTAATGTTATACATTTAAACAACATGAGGATTTCACCATACAGGAGAATTTTAGTCGATATATTTCAGTTGTAAATTTCAGTTTTCTATGGTTCAGTAAAGTGCAATTTCTTCATTAAAAATTGTTCATTCACCTTTTATCAGGGAAAGAAAAAGACGGACAAGGTGAAATCTAAAACTCCATTTGAATATTTGAAAACAAAACACTAATCCATTTTCATAGTAACGACAATTTGTAAAAATAACAGAATATTAATGCTGTAGTCTATATGTTTGTGTTTCGCTTCAGAAACGTGAAAAATTCACACGCAATTGTGTGTGACTTTGCACGTCGCGATCAGTAAAATGCAGTTTAAAGATATTTGAAAGAAATGTCATCTTTTGCATAGTAGAATGAAAATATAAAACAACGTATACGATATAAAGGAATATATATTTTCGATTTCGAATATTTCTAAAGATTGCAACTTCTTGAGCAAACAGTTTCATATTCCAGTCGTGCCTTTCGTAGTAATCAACACAATTTTGGTAGCAGTGACAAATGCTCGCGCTTCCAACAAACCGTTCGTTAACACCTTTAAAATCATCCCAACTATATAGTGATTCTTTTTTCGAATTATAAATAAAACATAACATTGTTTTCCATCAATTGAAAATAGAGGGCGTTGGAGATAACTGGGATCCTGAAATGACTGCAAAATCAATCAGAAATTTGTTTGATAGTGTTTTGAAAGGAGTATTTCCAAAATGTGAGTTATTTAGCATAGTCAATTGAGAAAAATATATCAATTAGATTTTAATATTTCGTGATTAACGGATCAAAGGTAAACTTGAATATGAGTATGTTTAGGTAATAAATTGAAATGAATATTTATTCATATTCATTATATTTTTATTATATACGAAAAAACAATACAAATAACGAATGATGTTGGTATACATATGTTGAGTGCTAAAGACTATTAGTAAATATATATACTTACGACAAAATGTTTTTAATTAAAAGAATACGCCACGTTTTCAGATTATGTTTACCTCAGTTTTGATATTTGTCGAGTACTTTACTTTTATGAATTATGTATCATTATCACTGTAGTGTACATTATCATGTCATCCCCTTTATTGGGATTATTTTCTATTGTCTCCAATATTTTTATAAAGCATGTGGAGAATAGGCTACTTCCTCCTTAACGTATTTATTTTATTTCAGGGGATGAAAGCCAAGACAGACCTGGTAAGATCTTTGCTTCAATATAAAACCTGAATATTTCATTGAGGAAAATTCAATAAAATATTTCCAGATAAATGTAATCTATTGCAGGAAAGTGCGATTTTTTTGCCACTTCAAAACATGAATACATATATTTGAAAAATCATCATTCTAATTCAAACAACATACTATAAATTGTTTTTTTCATGTTCTAATTTAGTATTGAATTCACATCTATATTTTATTGCAGATGTACCTGGAATTAATTGGGATCCGGCAACCAATTCAGAAAAATTTACGAAAGCATCAATGGATATCTTAAACGCCTTATTTCCTGATTGTATGCTTCAAATTTCAATGCTTTATTAGTATATTTATTCTTGAAAATATTTATTTGAATAGTTTTTAATAGATTAAAAACTCTTAAGATATTAAAATATTGTCATAAAAATCGTTCAATAACGAGTGGTTCAAAAAACACAATTATATCTATGGATATACTCAATGAAATGAAACTTAGAATAACCTTATTTGTTTACTAAACAATGAGACTTAATATAATTATTATTTTTGCAGGGTTGGAGAACTTTCTCAGAGGTATGTTACATACTGTATCAAAAATAGAAATAAATTTTGAATTTAATAGAACATTTTTTATTTTAGTTTTCTGTAGTCTTGAAGTAGGTTTATACTGGTTAGAATATTAAACAACTCCATCAAATGTTGTAATATTGATATAAAAGCGTTATTATCAATTTTTAAATCCATCTTTAGGAAAACTCGGTCGTGATGACAAAAGGACTGAAACAATGAAATTAATCATTGATATTTTAGGTGAGTGTATATAATACATAGACACTAGTTCATGTATTAACAAAAAATGAAATCACTAATATTCAAACTATCCAAAGTTACAGTTACTAGTGATCACCAATTATTTGTTAATTTTCTATAGGAACTGGAAGCGAAATGAAACAATTGACAGATTTTATGGCGACTCTTTTTGGTGAGACTTTTGTATTTTTGATTGGCGACTAAAATATTTGATAATTGTTTGTTGATAAAGTCATGCATTTGATAAGGTACCATAAAAATAATTTACAAATTTCGAACTACTATTTACTTGATCAATTTATCAATTTATATTCTATTTAGGTGTTGAAACGGAAGATGGAAAGTGGAAGCCAGAAGGAAGACAGGATACGGTGTCAAAACTGGCGCTTGGTATAACCCGAGGAATGATTAAAGACTGTAAGTATTTCCGTATTATTCTTGAACAAGTAACTGGCGAACATATATTATGAAGGGCATTAATATTGGCGCGAAATGTAGTTTCTCAAAAATACGATTGTTTTTTGGGATGGGTGGCATGAATATTGGGTAAAACTATCAGTTTTCAAATTTTTATCATGTGTGTAAGACCGAAAAAGAGTTAGTAACGATTGTGGGCATTCATGGGGATTCACACTTTCCATAAAAACAAACAAACAATTTGAACCCCACGGTTTTATAGGGTTCCGCCGGAAACATCAAGGCTAATTTTTCACTGTTGGATATTATTTTGATACGCTAGATCACCTAGTAAATATTTTACATTTTCCTACGCAAAAGAATCGAAATATCCCGCCAATGAAGCGATAAGAGCTGTAACACCAGTCGCGGCGAAGGGTCTTTAAAATTTGTACGTTATATAATGTACAACTTGTACGCTTCGGTGGAATTCATCAAGCCGCACAATGTGCTAACCATAAGATCGTTTACATTCTATAATTTTTGAAGCAACTGTTGCAACAGCTCGTTGAATCAAGAAAAATTTTCCCGAGCAAATTTGGGCATTTCTGGAATGATTAATGTAAAACACAGGCTTTAAACTTTCGGCATGGTGTGAACGGGTATCACAATACCAGTTCAAATCATGATTTTCAATTTTGCCGATTTTTGTACGATAATCGCGACATTTTATCTCCATCTCATACTTATAATTAGTCTCCTAGATTGTCTCTCAAACAATATAAAGCTTATCTATATTATAAGGTTCGTGAGGTATGAGGTTTCAAAGTTGCGTAACTCACACGGGATGATAAGATAACTATCGCAACCTTCACGAAACCGCACGATACCAGTATTATTCCACTACGCAAATAGCAACAGAAAAATACTGAGCTTACCCGAATAAAATGCAAAACAGTAACAAAACTCCAAACAAATTTACGAACGAAACCTTCTGACGAAGCTGAAACAAACCGAGGCTGCCGCGTTCCCGCGATTTTCCAGACACAAAATGGCGCCCGATATGCATCCTTTCAATCGGTGTCTCCACTTGGTTTATAGTCACTTTGTTACGAACCGAATTGCGAATAAAACGCCAGTCGCACATCACACACGTAATGTACACTTCGTTTGCAGGCGTCTGTGGAATCGTTGGGCTGTCCACTCTCGGGTGTTTGATCGGTTGAACAATTTATCGAAGTTTGTAGAAAATGTGTAAACGCGGAGGGTAGCAAATTGCGTATTGACATGAGATAAGTTACATGAGATTTATCATTTTTTATTACTTCAACACAACCGCCAGTTGAACACCACACGCGTACAATTTGCTTGCAGGCGCCGAAGTTTGTAGAAAAAGTGAAAACGCGAAGAGCCGCATAGCGCGTATATAACACGGTAAAGGTTACGTGAGATTTATCATTTTATATCCGGCCCCATATGGCCATGTCATTTTTTCATTTTCCATGGTGCTTTTAGAACATACCTAAAATCTATTCTCCTTACACTACGTTCTCCACTTACGACTTGTTGGAAAGCATGTCGACACGCGCTTTTGATCGATGGGTTTTCGATCTTCGTAGGAAATGTCATTTAGTCATTCAGCAAAATTTACTATTTTTACCATAAAAACGAAAAGTTGAGATGTGTGGAAAATAGAAAATCATCTTACATGAACCTAAAACATAAATTTTATAGAACCAATTCATCTCAAAAACGTATGAATAAATAACATACAGCCGATCAATCCAAGAAAAAAGGAAAATTCAAAAAAAAGTTGTTTTCCTTTAAAATACATAAAAATTACCATTTCATAATCTAAATGCGAGATGATTCAAGGCGCAAAACGAAAGCCATTTTGTGGACGAAAATATTTATCTCACAAAAGCCAGACATGTGACCAAACAGCTGTTCAGCAACAACCACTCAATGCTCTTTGTGAAGCTCCCTGACATATGGCCGGATAAAGTTAGGGAAAATGGTAGAGTACTCTACCAATGGCACAGATAAGATTTCAACTAATACAATATTTGAAAATGATTTTTTAATGATGCCTTTCTAATATATTTTCATTTTGTTTTATCAGGGAAAAACGGTGGAACAGGTACGTTTTTAGTGTATTATATTTATATATATTTATGTGTTTGAAAAATATTATTAGTTTTTTAACATACTTGCTATATAGATATGCGTTTGACAAGATAATGATTACTGGCCTTGTTTCAGCAATATTTATCTTGCCCGTTTCGTACTTCCGAGTTATTGAAAATCGGTTTTAAGCTGAATATACTTGACCTGTTTAATGTTAAATATAACCCTTTTGAGTAGTTATTGTATATCCATCAAAATCGAAACTATTACAAACGGCTCTGTATTTATTTTGGTCAGGTGATTCTGCGGGCGACTGGAATCCAAAAGAGTCTGCAAACGCATTAAGAAAATTACTTACCGGTGTTTTGAGAGGAGTATTTCCAAATTGTACGTATTTTTTAATTTTATCAGATTATTTTCCCATGATATCTAAAATTATGTTTTGTTCTATTGTATTGTGGATTGGCTGGCCCGTAGATGGATTATTGATTCAATTTGATATATACTATCATAATTATCACGTTTAAGTGCGGTTGTCACAATCTTTCATAATGGAATACTAGATAGACCTTTTTTTGAGAATTGATGATTCTGTAATTCAAACACTTGCTAATAAAAGTGAAAGAAATAAATTATTTTAAAAAACTAATACAAGATAGTTTTCTTTTGGTAAAATGTTTATGTTTCCTATTAAATTAGGGGATGAAAAAGAGGACAGGCCAGGTGAGTACATTGAGTAAACACAGTAAAAAGCAGACCCCAGAAAACAAATACTCGAATTATAGAATCGCCGATACCAATGGTACATTACAAAAGCGTTTTCAAGCAGTTCATTTAAAAAATCAGAGAAGATTTCGATTGAAAGCATCAGAACATATATATCTTTTGGATTCCTTTTTTTGGAATCAGATAATAAAAATTATTTAATATAAAAACTGTCGAACTAATCATGAAATGTTATGAATCATATGTCTCCTTTAAAATTTCGTAAAACAAAATACTTTACCAATAAAAAAAATTCATAAAGATTTGGATTATCTGAAACGTTTTTTATTGAGTTTTATTCATTATGCCTTTTTTTATCAATAGATATACCTGGGATCAATTGGGACCCAGAGAAAAATTCAGAAAAGTTTACCATAGCATCTATGAAGTTTTTGGATTCAATTCTTCCGGGATGTGAGATATATTACTGTTCAATAACATCAATATCATAGATACGGACTGCTCGTATAATTTGTTTTTGATTTGTTGTTGTTAGTTAATCTTGCTGTTTTCGTTGGTAAAATGATATCTATTTCTCGAAACAAATAGATCAATCATGTTCAGATTTTCAATGAAAAAAGCTTGACAACATTGTCGATAGTCTATTTATTACTTTCATTTTTTTATAAAGTCCGATGCGATGCCAGATTTCATCCAAAATTTCAGTTTTTTCTTCATTCATTCGCGAGAACGCTTGTTTATTCCGTATAGAGTGACAGCCTCCAAGACGATTTTCAGCCATTTTGTTCAGCAAACTCGGTGCTTGGCTTAACTAGTTACCGAGAACCGATGTGCATTCGCCAAGTAATGTCTGACAGCCTCATTTGCCAAAAATCAACTTCAAGCAGACCATTACAAAAAAATTCATACTGGGAAACAGGAATATGACATAAAAAAGCCGCAATTTCTTCCATATCGAATCCAAGTCGAATGATATCGATGTTTCCCAAAATCGGCTGGAAATTTCAAGTCGGTGTTTCTTGACAAAAAGGAAGCATATTTTACATATTCAATTAAAATAGCAACCACAAAAATATTGAGTACAAAATAAATGTCTCACTGACTGAGTTTATTTTTGCCAGGATCATATGAATGTCCCACTGCAGTACCCACCCGATATATAGTCATATCAAAAAACACAACATTTATAATAGAAACAAATGTGTCAAGACAAACGGTGTCAAAAATTTAGAAATGTTATCCCTAAAGAAGGCATTCCATTCGGCCTTCGAGTAAATATTTTAGGCATTCTTCTTTTATCATTATTATATTATTTTCTATCATGCACTGTAGAGTGCTTTGAATGCCTATTGATTTCATGTTTTCTTAATTGAGTTTATCATTATTATCTTATCATGTGCAATGATTTAATATTACCTTGACATGATTAGGTATAAAATATTTGCTCGAACAGACGTCAAATAATTTCAACAAAAAAACAAATAAAATTCGATTGAAAATACTGACAGAGGATTATGTCTAACACGTGTAGTCACATGTGTTACTAAGGTCTCAGCAGACACCGACTGGTTTGAAACTTGAAGCGCACCAAGTTAATAATAATCATGAATTCTAAAACCAACATAAAGATGTCAAATTTGAATGATTCGGATATGTTAGATTGGAGCCCAATTATTATTTGCAAACTACACTATAAAAATTATATTCGACATTTTTTAAGTTTCTTCATTAACGAAAATTTTTTAACAGGGCGAAAAAGGTTCGGATATGGAGAAGGAATGGGACAACAAGGAATGGGAATGTTTGGTATTATTATATCTTCTTATTGCTAAAAAAATATTTTGATGAAATTTTTGTTCACCTTTTATCTTTTTTTTTTGTAATTATAGTGTTTATGTACAAGTAAATATATGATACATTGAATATTTTAGACTTTGAAGAACGTTTATTTAGTTTGTTTCAACATTTAACAACCGTATGAATTTATTCTTTCATTTTTTGGTGTTAAATATTCAATGTATTGAATATTTATTAGAACACAAACTAAAAATTAAAAAAAAACAGAAATGTTAACAATTATTTTTTCGAAATATATCTTATCTTTTGAACATCAGTTGTAGTATTTTAATATAAAATTACTTCCACATCAAATATAATAATTTTTAATTTCGTGTTAACAATATACGTTATAAAACTATTTCGTGACTACTATTTCAAGTCTCTGTCTCGTTTTTCCTCACATTATTTAATAATTTCGACAGGCCTTACTCAGTGGAATCCAAGAAAAAACGCAGCGACTGTCACAGAAATGACTATGGGTGTCCTAGAAGGACTTTTTCCCGGATGTAAGTAGTATAAAAGTAACTTAAATTACGGATTCCTGTTGTACTAATTCAATGTTCACTAATTTCAGGGCAAAGCAAAAGTCCAAAGCCTGGCTATGCTGGTGGATATGGTGTTGGCCACGGAATGAGTGGATTTGGTATAATTATTTTTTAAATCGTTCTTGTATAATGAGTTATTTTATTTTGAATTGAATCTCTTATGCATTACTTATTATATAACTGTAAATGAATAAATGTTGAAACTTTGGTTGTTATACTCTTATCATTACTAGGTGGTATTCAATGGAATCCAGCAAAAAATGCACAAACCGTAACTGAAATGACTATGGGTGTTCTGGAAGGATTATTCCCAGGATGTAAGAATATTTTGGTTGCCTTATATAGTTTACAAGTTTAAAGCAATTAATAATAATGTTATAATATTTCAATTATCATTTGAATTTATCAGGGCAAAGTAAGCAAAACATGGGAGGATATTCGGGCGGATATAGCAGCAAAGGAGCACGTGGATTTGGTAAGCTTATTTTGTTTTTGTATTTTGAAAACACCCATTCGGTAACAAAATTCGAAAATGCATGAGATTTGTTTCAAATTATTGAGGCAACAAAAATTTTTTTGTTCCATTATCCAGTAAATGGAAATTTTGCAATTTACCAAACATATGAAACTACTTGTTCTCATGAAAATTTGATATCATTCGCCTTGCTTGATATGTGTAATTGTCAATATCATAATTAAATTATTATGTTGTTGAACGTACTTATTATAAATATAAGGGTGTCTGTATACACTTTTAATTTTGATTTGCTTTTCAGGTACTCATCATAGAGCGTAACATCAGGAAAAAATAATAGTACGGATAAGTAGTAAAATTTAGATATTGTGTGCATTTTTCATCAACCCACAGAATGACAAGCATATTAACCCAAGAAATGAGGTGAAAAATTGCTGTTTGGCAAGAAGCATATAAAACAGTGGGGCATTCGGCACTTTTACGACGAAAAATTACGCAATTCATCAAAAATTCATGGAAACTGAATCTGTAGTTGATGAACAAAGATCAGGAAGACCAAGTAGCGGAAGCTCTGAGAAAAACAATCGATGCTTAATTAATTTCAAATTCTCTGTTAAAGAGGCGCTCAGTTTGCCTTACTGATTTACATGCTTACTGCCAATCAGCAATTTTGCTCTTCATTTTTTGTGTTAATCTCCTTGTCATTCTGTGGGTTGCTGAAAAATGTACACAATACTCAGTGGTGGGATTCAAATTTTTTGTCAGCCGGTTCCATCACAAAAGTCATATTTTTCAGCCGGTTCTGTCACAAACAGAACATTGACAGTAATCAGTAAAGCTAACCGGTTCGCTGATCTCATAAAATTTGTTGAGCCGGTTCTATAGAACCGGTGCGAACCGGCTGAATTCCACCACTGAATATACCTAAATTTTACTACTCATCCATACCATGTTTCCTGAAGAAATGAACGCTCTATGATGAGTACCTGAAAAGCAAATCAAATTTAAAAGTGTATACTTACTTTTGAGACACCCTGTATTCTTTTTTCAATTTAACTTTTATTTAAAAATTCTATTTCAAATTTAAATAGTTACTTGAAATCAAGCACAAATATATGATGAAGCTTTTTTTTTTTAAATAGCAAACCTTCAATATTTATAATGATTATTCAATTATCTTGAATTTAATATTGATTTGTTATATTGCCTTGAATTCAGGCACGAGTTACGACGGCAGTAAAGGAGAATTCGAAGATTGGATGAAAGGTCGTGGCTGGGCACAAGGTGTTTATCTATCTAAAACATTTTCAATTTATTTCTAAGTATTTCAACATAATTTTTTTTTAATTTTTTTGATTGTTTTAGGTAGTGGCGATGAACTGGGAACATTCACTAAAATAATGAGCTCAGTGATGGATTTTTTGAAAGGTTAGATATACTGTTGTAGTATGAAAAATTATACAAACTAAAAACAGCATTAAACTTTAAAGTATTCACAATATTGTACATTTGAATTTTTATACTTTATTCAAAACTGTGGTTTGTAATCATTTTATATATTGTGACCAAATGCACTTTTTGTGAGAACATACTTCAATGCAAAATAATTAAACATCGTTTCTTTTCTCTAGAATGAAAACAATAACTAGCTTTATGACATCAACATTGCAAGAAATTATTTTTATTTGTTTTTCTTTCAGGGATGTTTGGAGGATGGCCAACCTACAATTAGTAAAGATGAGAAACTCATATTATCATATAATATAAGTGTTGCCTACTTTTCTACGAGAAATTCATAGATATTTTGTGTTGCAAGTTGCAACAATTTTATATGTGATCGACTCTTGGATAAGTAAGAAAATAGTGTATAACCGAGTGGTGCGTGGTGAATCTACAATCGAGATATTTCTTCTAAGTTCCATTTGAACTTATTACATGTTCAATTATACATTTATATACTAACCAAAATGAGAATTAGTTTATTTGGAGTGTTTGAAAAATGAATTAAATTTAATTACAACGATTAAGTGGGTGATTATTTTGTGGTGGAAGCAAATAGTGTACATCAGGAATGTGCAAAGTGCGGCACGTGGGCCAAATGCGGCCCGCAAAGAAAAATTGTGAGGACCGCGGAGAAGTGCCAGTTTTGAATGGTGTGCGACCAGTGAGTTTTTATTTCAGTGTAATCTGGTTCCCTTTGCGTTGCAGAGGTCATATCCAAGTCCAATTTATTATCTATGTCATTGGCGTTACACTATCCTAACAGCCAAGCGAACGACGCGATTCACAAAGCTGTCACTTGCTGACCAGCGAGCAATTTGAGGAAAGCGCGGAGCAGACCAGAGCATGAATTAGTCAGGACGGGCAATTGAACATTAGGCAATTGGAAAGCAGTTTAATAAAATAAATATTACGAGATAAAAAGCTAAATGAGTTATGGTTTCGGTCTATCACTTGATTTTGACTAAATCTAATCTATAATAAAATTTGACAGCAAAATATTTGAAAATGAATCCTGGCGATATTTACCAAAAACATCTCAACCAAGATAACTTTCAACATTTGAAAAAAAGTCATGGCCCCAAATATGGCAGTTGCGGCTCAACATATTTTTTTCTAAAATAAGTCTCATGGAAAATGGATGTTCATGGATCAATCTTCTATTAAGGCAAATTTGGATAAAAGTATCCGGGAAAGGATCCAGCAGCAAATTTTTCACGGAATTCGTTCAAATTAGGTTTGACAATAAATTTGAATAACAGTTTTCCGAAATTCATGCGTTTTAACTTTAATTTCTGCAAGGACCCCTGATAATGCCATTAGACCAATAATAAAAATACACTATTTTGTGTCTGCAACCAATAGAAAGCCTATGATAAATGAAGAAGCGGCCGGCGGTTTTACCAAGTTGTTGATATCTGACCCGCCTGCGAAAAAGGTTACACACCCCTTGTGTACATTATTGTAGAATTTTACAGCAAATAATGAAAAATAATGGTGGTCACTAGAAAGCGTTTGACATGATACGTGATACAGTTAAAACTGACACTGCAAGATAATCTAGACCGCGTATCGACGAAAACAAGGAAAGAAGTTCAAAAACTCAGTTACAATAACTATAAAATAAACTGAGTGAAGTCATGTGTTAACGATGAAAAAGATCTTGCAATTCAATATATTCAATTTGTAGATGAAATTTTATTCATGTAATTGTAGAGCTTGGAGGAGTGTGACCTTATGTACGTACCTTGCTTGCTTCATAAAGGTAAAGGCAATTTTTATGTCTAAACGCTCTATCACAATGCAGCAATATTAGTTTATGTCCGGACAATTTTCTCTGAATTATCCTTGTCTAATGTAACTGAACTTAAACAAGTTGAAATCCAGAAGCCCACAATACGCAACTTCATACATAAGAGAATTATAATGTGTCGTAAAATTATCAAGAACTTGCTCAGAAAAAAATGTACATTCGAGATGGGGCCAAATGGATTACGGAAGCACATGACGAATAGCAGCATAGAGATTGAAATTTTATGTAGAGAACAAATCACATTATAGTTATAAGGAACTATTTTTTAAATAATTTGAGATATTTGAAAATAAAATATCAAGCATCTAAATATGAAGACTCTTGAAATAAATATTTTCCAAAAAATGCTGTTAAATTTCGTAGAAATGTGAGCATTATTTGAAATTAGTTCATCTACTTTAACTGATAATTTTAGGTATATATATATATATATGTGTCGCAATATCTACAATACGCGTATTATTTCGACATATGTTGTATAAAAAGTGAAGTCGGTCCGACGAAATCGTGCTTCGTCCTACGAAATATCGTAACATAATTTCAGCGGACACCTTAAAATAAATTTTATGTAATATTTTATCAGATTAAGATCAACATACGTACATTAGGTAACAATATATATGTGAAACACGCGTCTCAGAAATAATATTATGTAAAATTTAATAAGTTAACTTCAACGATAACGAAACAAATTGTGCATCGTTCTACAAAATGTCGTAACGTTATTCCAGCAGGCCGGTTGAAATAAATTTTATGTAAAAATTGATCAGATTAAGATTAAATTACGCCTTTTTGCCAACTATATATATGCGGGACATGCGCCCCTGAAAAAATATTATATGTGGTAAATTTAAGTTCACTTCAACAAAATCGAAACAAATGCAATTCTTTTAAAGGTAATTTTGTCGTAATTTTTTTTAAACGCAATTTTGTCAAATCAGTTATTAAAAGTAAGACTAAACACGCATTTTGTTTATAAATTTTAACCAAAAAAGAAATTAATAGGAAATCTATATTCAAAATATTTATGTAGACAGCACGCCGGGAGTATCTGTACGACCTTGTACGACCATTTGTTGATGTGTGTTGTGCGAACAATGCATGAAAACGTGAAGAAACTGAACTCTTGCGATATCAAATTGTGTCGTAACAACTTGAATGCCCTTCCATCTATGACGTGTAAAGCTTGGCAAGAAAACAATAACTAAAATTCTCCAGTGAATGTGCTGGAAATTATTTAAAATTAACTCTAAGTCGAAATGAGATACTCCTTATCTGATAAAGCATGATACCAAACAAATCAGCAACAGAACTTTAACCACCGAACCGTAGCATCAAATTTCAAGCATTTTGCGGCTATTTGCGGCTACGCCGACGAATTAGGACGACATCGTAAGACAATCTTTTTGCCTTATCAAATTTTCTGATCATATTTGCTGATACACTTGTCAGATAAAGTGAAAAAAATTTAATTGATTTCATACTAAAGATTTATTTATACAACTTCATTAAACAACTGCTGAACAAATACATTTATTATTTCGCCCCAAGGTAAGGGAAACATCGGCGAGACGTCTGCAATAAACTCGAACGACCAAGATTAGTGATAACATTAAATTTTTCTAGCGCTGCAACATTCTTTGAAATGTTATGTAATATCCGATTTAATCGTAAATACAATACCAAATGAAAAATATACCATTTCATTGTATAGATGCTACAAAGTGATTTTGAATGCTGTCCAGCATGAATTGAAGCGGCATTCAATATTAAAAACCATTAGATTATAAGAAACTGCATTAATCAAATAGACCAAAGTGCAGGGTTAATTTGCATTCTGCAGTACCTGAATATTTATTACTTCAACAAGATAAATTTTTTATTAGTTTTACAGTTAAATACGATTGCGGGTAAGGTTGTGATAAAGTTGTGCTCATCAAGTAATATAATCCTGAAAGGACGGTTGTGTATAAAAACGCGACGTGGCAAAATTTTTTTTCTGCGTTTAATTTGCCCTTGGGGGGAAGGCAAAATATAAGCTGCTTCACGTTGGACTTCGTTTTTAAAATTCCCTTTTTTCATAACATTTACAAAAGATATAAATTTGCAAGCAAATTTGAAAAATTAGTAGGGGTATGAAAATATCTCTGTGCGCAAAGAAGTTTGGAAGTAGAACACTTCATCAAGTGGCACTATAATAGCCTGGTACTTGACGATACAATGGGACGCTGATTTATATTATTAATGCTAACTTATGAAAACGAATATGTTAAAAATATTTTTGTTCTATTGAGAATATTGATATTCATATTGAGAAGACGCCAAAAACACCTTATTTATTGGATCAGATGTGGAATTGATTTCAATGAAAATATGCATAGTTTGAAATCTTTCAAATAAATTAAATTTCAAATTACATTTGATTAAAATACAAGTTGATCACCTAGAAAGGGGCATGTGAATGTTTCTTCCTAACGGGCTCAATAATTTATTCAAGTTCTTTAACTTAAAGTTTGCCATTAAAATGAAGCAATATATGAAAAATATACAAATCAGGGAAAAAATATTATTCACAATTTGTAATGACTTCGATATTAGCAAAACGCGATATTCTAAAATATTCAAAAAAAATCCTTTGTGTAAATTTTTTTTTCAGTTACTATACAAGACTCCGGTTGATAAGTAATTAAAATGAAGATTCTATTCCTGACTGTAGCTCTTCTGTGTTTCACATTCGGTGAGTTTTTAAAAGTTAGAAAGTATTTAGTTCAATATGATTAAAAATACTGATAAGAGAAGTTTATGATTCTTTTCATATTCAATGCAATATGCGTATTAAAAGTATTATATATTTGCAATGATTTGTGTTCACATAATATCAAATTTATATTGTATATAGTTTTTAAATATAAGAATAAGGTTTTAAAGGTAATAAAATACTGGAACATAAAATTTTACATTCATTTTCAGCTTTCGCGGATGAGCATGGAGACGCAGCAAAAGGTGAAAAATTTTATTTTCTTTAAATAAATTTTACCAATCAACGAAAAGACGCTTTGAGACATAACACAGGAAAACATGTCGCAATGACAAAATGATGAACGCAGTCAGAATGCGTTGCATTTGTATTTTTAGAATATTCGGGTTCAAGTCCTTTACCCGAACCAATCCATAGACATATTTATTTGAGTATTATACTTAGGCCATTTTTTTACTTGAAAAATACCTAAATTCCGTACCGTACGCTACATGCTTGCCTAAAGAATTTGTTAGCGATGAGAGACAAGTTATGTAATGTAAAATATACGATATATTTGTATTCATTTTCCACAGATATGTCGCCGATGGGAGGAAAAGCTGACGACCACAGTGATGATGATGGGCATACCCACGACGGAGAAGAGGCTGATCACAGTCATGACGACGACGATAATGATGACGATCATGATGATGACAAAGACGAGGGCTACGGAGAAGGTTAGTTATGTTCTAAGTACAAAACTTGGAAAATAATTGCATAGGCAAGTTTAAGAATATAACGGGGCCCTGGATTGAGTTGCCGTTGTGTACAAATAACATAAATCTGCATTTAACATAAGTTAAAATGATAAAATGAAGAAACATTTATAATAAAGATCGTTTTATACATTTGTTAAATTAGTAGTCTTATTATGCCAGAGTTTGGTGCATCCTAACAAATTATTTGTAAAAAATCCGCCCGTGCTAAAATGCTTAATAAGAAATTTGTAATTGTTGTTCGACAACAAAGTGTACCTTGTTTCCCAAATAATATCATAAAGCTATTTTTTTTTATTATAACACAATTTTCTGAATTTTTTTAAAATTGAACCCATTTAAAAAAAATTGAAAAAAAAAACGGGTTGCTTATTTTTGTGATTTCAAAATTTGCAGAAAGCATCAAAACTTCAGTCTCATGGTTAAGTTGAGGATATTGAAAATATGTTTTGTAGCTTGTGATTTTTGCACAAAAAATGTGTATTCAATAATTTGATCTGTCAATCCATAATTGATTTCAATTTAGTTTTATATGGCAGCACGTCAAGTGAACTATCCCGATTAAATCGGCGGAGATTCTCAAACAAAATGTAAACCACAAAATATACAGATGGTGTTGTGATTTGGGTGTGAAAAGATATTTGTTTGTTTGTACTTACGACATTGAAATCTTCGATGTAAATGCCATCAAGACGATTAATTGAAAACCACTTGAATATACTACCGATAGAAGGTTATAGATTTCTCAATAAGTTCAATGAAACTTGATGCACGAAGATAGGAATTGCGTACCATGTAAAATGAGACAGCATAGTGAACAAAATTACGTCTCAGCTCATCAATTATATTCAAACGATACCGTTTAGTGCCATCGGCTAAAATATGTCAGGATGTACAAAGTTCGATGAATAGTTCCACATCAAAATTTTCTTTTGAGGCCTTCAAGAACCTGAAGAAATATAACTAAGCTTCTTTTCAAACAAAATTTTTTTTTAATTCGGGCGAGTCAATCACGCCCAGGGAACAATATAATTCATATGCCAATCTCAATCAACACATAAATACCTAACAGACGAGCATACTTGCTTGTGCTCAAATTACGTTATTTCAAAAATTCATATGTCAAGATATAAAATCATTTTCAACAATGGAGTTTAATAAAAATCGTATTAATTTTCACAAGCATAAAACTTCAGTTAAGTGACGTATACAATATTCGATAGCATCTGGTGTAAATAGAAGCTGTGAAGGTTATCGAACACAAAGCTTCATCTGCCAATTCTGCTCCCACTGATAAATAAATAGCTGCTAAGTCATAGAACTAACGCAAGCTTTTTTAAGTTTCAACATGACCTGAAAGTAGCGCTTGTACTTGAATACATAGCTGTAAATTATTATTTAGCATTTTGAAATTTAAAAAAAAAAGTAATTTATTGCTAACAGTCTTTCTGTTCTTTATTTGTAAACTAGGATCTCGTGGTGGTGATGATGAAAGAACAAAAATAATGGAGTTCATGAAAGATTTGATGGGTAAGATCCTTGCTTATAAATAAATAGAAACGTAAACAAAAAAATTTAACCCTATTCAGTAAAAACGCATAAAAGTAAACATTATTAGAAATTTTTACAAATATATATAGAATTTTTATAAATATTATCAACTGAATAAACATATGGTTAGAATAGAAATATGTTATGCTTAGCTCTGGTTCGTATCTGAGGGTAACACTCTTTTACGAATTAATTATAAATAATACTTGCGGAGAACCTATAGCGATATTTAATATCTTATAAGAAAACAGTAGACAGTCACTTTGAATTGAATGACTCTTGTAAAATAACCATTGGTGTATGGAGCAGGAACCTGAATTTATTTTCCTTACATATTTAATTTCAGGAAAAATGCCAAAAGGAGGCGATGATGACGGGAAAAAAATGATGGAGTTCATGGGCAAGCTTCTCGGTATGATTAATATTTTATTTCAATGAAATAACTTGAAACATTGTTTTTTAAATTATATATATATAAATTAGTAAAATGTTTTGTAGGATTGGTCGGCAAAGGCAGAGATCATGAAGATGGCGAAGATGGCGGTTATGGTGATGGTGAAGATGGCGGGTATGGTGAGGGCGAAGATGGCGGGTATAGTGATGGCAAAGATGGCGGTTATGGTGATGGCGACGATGGCGGTTATGGGGATGGCGACGATGGTGGTTATGGTGATGGCGACGATAGCGGTTATGGTGATGGCGACGATAGCGGTTACGGTGACTTCGGGAAGGGTAAGAATTATCAACAAAATGTTAAGACTTTTTTCCATTTCAGGGATAAAATAACACTCATTTTCTAATTTAAAAAAAAAACTTCAATTCTACGGAATACCCATGCTAACTGCACCGCAGCACCATGGTTACATTTGTTCATAAATATTTGTTTGTGTTCAGGCGGGAAAAAAAGTGATGTCGACGCTCTCATGAAAATCATAACCGAAGTTTTAGATCAACTTCTTCCAGGAGGTTAGATTTTATGTTCTTTTTATACCAAGTTCAAAACATAAATTCACTCAAAACGCTTATCGACAAAAATAAGTTGTTCTAACGAAAAATGATTTAAAAAGCTATGATAATGGAAAGTTAGCTTAATACGAACACAGTAATTTCAGCAAAATTCAATAAAATTTTGAGAGAATTGTTCCGAATAGAATATGAAATTTTGAAATGTTAAGCAAAATGTCTTATGATGGTCTGACAGTGAATTATGAAACTAACAAATTTTGGGGCGGAATGTCGGACATTGTATGACCGCATTTTTCCCTTTTTACATGATGTTCCATCAAAGTGTAATTTTTGTATGGTAAAAACTGATACTGGTTTTAGTCGCAGAAACTATTCACATCCCAACAACAGCAGCAAACTGACCATGGGTCGTTTTCATTTCAAATATCTGTAATAATTCATTATTAACTCATTCATTAAAATAAAGTGGGTTTCCTATTAGTACAAAAATATTCACAAAACTGACAGAGAGGAGTTATACTCGGGATATAGATAGAATGAAATTTTACACTATAAGTATCTTATCGGTTGTCGATGTTGGTTTTATTGAGTTGAATGTAATAGATAAATCATTCCAAACATTCACAAAAGCAGAAATGTCATTTTGTGTCAAAAGTTGCCTAAATCATCTTATTAAGTTTTTCATCTTCTTTTGTACTCGGGAATAGGTAAAGGTGGATACGACAGTAAAGGAATAATGCAAACGGGTGAGAGAATTTATTAATATAATGTCACTTATATTATATTGCATATGTGTCCATTGCAAAAAAATCGCATTGGAATAGAATATCAAAGTATATATAAAATATCCTCCATCTTGAAGATCGGTAATCTTCTGTTGTTCGTTGGCCACAATACAAGTTGGCGGGCTAGATATTTTGGAATGCGACTATGCAAATTCACGTATGGAAAACAAGATGTTTTCACAGGAGATGCATTCTTTTTTTGTTTTATTGTTTAATTTGATTCTTTTTCGGGCCGATCTAGCCAGAATGCCTATTTTTTAAGTTTTATAATGCTTAAAATTATCGTAAACCGCAGGGGCACAGTAAGTCGACCACGGTATTTTCCGTGCGCGTTCAATGAAGATACTTTGACGTCTATGCGTCTTTAAAGCCTTGGCGCTCAGCACCAGTTTTCTTGTTATAATGCCTATCGTCTTGTTCCACCAATATTTGACAACACATTATAATTTTATTCCATGTAGCAAATGGTTATAATTGTTCATAAATATTTGTTTGGTTTTAGGCTGGAAAAAAAGTGATGTCGACGCTCTCAAGAAAGTCATAACAAACGTTTTAGATCGACTTCTTCCAGGAGGTTAGATTTTATGTTCTCCTTATACCAAATTCAAAACATAAATTCACTCGAAAAGCTTATCGACAAAATATGTTTTTTTTAACGAAACATGGGTTACTTTTATATATACTGCATATATTATAAGTCCTAATAAATGCGGGAAAATGATTTAAAAAGCTATGGTAATGGAATGTTAGCGTAATACGAACACTGTAATTTCAGCAAATTTCAATGAAATATTGAAGGAAATATTCCGAATAAAATAAGAAGTTTTGAAAAATTATGCAAAATGTCTTATGATGGTCTGACAGTGAATTATGAAGCTAACAAATTTTGGGGCGGAATGTCGGACGTTGTATGATTGAAATGGCATTTTTTACATGATGTTCCATCAAAGTGTAATTTTTGTATGGTAAAAACTGATACTGATTTTAGTCGCGGAAATTATTCACACCTCAACAACAGCAGCAAACTGGCCATGGGTCGTTTTCATTTCAAATATCTGTAATAATTCATTATTCACTTAACAATGGTGTTCACATAATATAAAGTGGGTTTCCTACTAGTACAAAAATGATCACAAAACTGACAGAGAGGAGTTATACTCGGGATATAGATTGAATAAAATTTAACACTATAAGTATCTTATCGGTTTTCGATGTTGGTTTTATTGAGTTGAATCTAATAGTTAAATCATTCCAAACATTCACAAAAACATAAATATAAAAAGGTCATTTTGTATCAAAAGTTGCCTAAATCATCTTATTAAATTTTTTATCTGTTTTGTACTCGGGAATAGGTAAAGGTGGATACGACAGTAAAGAAATAATGCAAACGGGTGAGAGAATTTATTAATATAATGTCACTAATATTTTATCGCATATGTGTCCATTGCAATAAAATTGCATTGGAATAGAATATTAAGGTATATATAAAATATCCTCCATCTTGAAGATCGGTATTCTTCTGTCGTTCGTTGGCCACAATACAAGTTGGCGGGTTAGATATTTTGGAATGCGACTATGCAAATTCACGTATGGAAAACAAGATGTTTTCACAGAAGATGCATTCTTTTTTTTGTTTGATTGTTTAATTTGATTCTTTTTCTGGCTGATCTAGCCAGAGTGCTTATTTTCAAGTTTCATAACGCTCAAAAATATTAGATGCTACCTGCTCCGCAGCACCATGGTTACATTTGTTCATAAATATTTGTTTGTTTTCAGGCGGGAAAAAAAGTGATGTCGACGCTGTCATGGAAATCATAAACAAAGTTTTAGATCGACTTCTTCCAGGAGGTTAGATTTTATGTTTTTTTCATACCAAGTTCAAAACATAAATTCACTCGAAACGCATATTGACAAAATAAGTTGTTTTAACGATGTACTCTTATATACTGCATATATTATAAGTAACAATAACTGCGGATAAAATGATTTAAAAAGCTATGATAATGGAAGGTTAGCTTAATACGAACACTGTAATTTCAGCAAATTTCAATGAAAGAATTGTTCCGAATAGAATATGAAATTTCTGAAAATTATGCAAAATGTCTTATGATAGTCTGACAGTGAATTATGAAACTAACAAATGTTGGACGTTGTATGACCTAAATGGCATTTTCCCCATTTTAGTTGATGTTTCTTCAAAGTGTAATTTTAGTATGATAAAAACTGAACTACTGATACTGATTTTAGTCTCGGAAACTATTCATACGCCAACAACAGCAGCAAACATGCCATGGGTCGTTTTCATTTCAAATATTATTCAATTAATATTGGTGTTCACGAAAAATGAAGTGGGTTTCCCAAATTAGTACAAAAAAAATCACAAAACTGACAAAGAAGAGTTGTACTCGGGATATAGATAGAATAAAATTTTTCATTTTCAAGTATCTTACGTCGATGTTGGTTTTATTGGGTTGAATGAAATAGTTAAATCATTCCAAACATTTACAAAAACATAAATACAGAAAGGTCATTTTGTATCAAAAGTTGCCTCAAATCATATTATTAAGTTTTAAAATATGTTTTCAAGTTTCATAATGCTCAAAATCATTGTAATATGCAGAGGCACAGTAAATCTACCACGGTATTTTCCGTACGCGTCCAGTAAAGAGACTTTGACGTCTATGTGCCATTAAGACCTTGGCGCTCAACATCAATTTTCTTTCGTCTTGTTCCACCAACATTTGACAACACATTATGATTTTATTTCATGTAACAAATATATTTAAATACTATTTGGAGAACGTGCGTTCATGTTTCACCTTCAACAATGTCTGTTAGCCTCGCGCGTCACCATGTTGTTTGGCGCGTAATCTCTGCATGGTATCGCTTCGCCACCTAGCGTTGAAAGACCCCAAGCTATTGCCACATCCACTTGAATACACTGGCAACCTATCGTGAACAATTTTTCCTTAAATATGATGACCTGTTTTCTGAGCGATTAAATGTCACATTAAGGGCTTTTTCGTCCTCAAAATTTAGTGAGATATCGTGGTGGGTAGGATTATTTCGATTCTTGAGTTATATGTGTCCCCGAATATCGTAAAAAGCACATGTCTTTAAATCCTATTATACAATACGTAAACAATTACACCAACTATTGTTCTATCTCATGCATCCGCAAAGGAGGAAAACAGTCAAGTCCTGCGAAAACAATAACAGAACTGGCATTAGGAGTTCTGGATGGATTGTTTCCAGGATGTGAGTTATTTAATAATAACATTGATTTATTTTTTATTTGGCTGTTTTATTTCACGCTACTTAAACTCTGAAGCTAACTAAGCAAAACCAGTATACTCGCGACATGAGCTTCGTCCTATGGCATGTTGGTTTGATTAAAATGCAGCTCTTTCAACATTCGCTGCTTTGTTCAGGGCAAAGTAAACAAGGTGGATACGGCGGTAAAGGAAAGTTGGGGTTCGGTAAGAGTTTTGATATTCAAATAAATCAATATTTTACAATATAAAAGGTTGTAAAAAAGATATCATAGAAAATGTTATAACACATCTGAAAAAACACACAATTTTTTTAATGCAGATATAACGTATACATTAAACCGTGGTACTCAAGAGGATCATTACCGATTATTTTACCTTAATTTAAAAAGCAATCTCCAACTAAATGGCTGGTTACTCCATGATGTGATACTGTGTGAAAAATATGTTTTATGATATTTGTACCAATTATTTGTCAATCACATTTTTGTTTTGCAACAGTTTACAACAATTGTTAGCAAACTGAACAAATAAAAATTTTAAACCTTATTAAAGTATCTTTACTACAATATTATTACAATTTAATACCGTTATGATTGTGAATTCCAAGAATACAAATTATTTTATATTATTTTAAAAATCAGGTGGAATGGAATGGAATCCAAGAAAGAGTGCTCAAACAGTGACAGAAATTACATTGGGTGTTCTAGACGGATTACTTCCAGGATGTAAGATTTAGTAGTCATCAAAATAAATAGTAGTGTTTTTCTCATAACCTTCTATTTTTAAATCCATTCAATAATATAGTTATCGTTGGTCGACAAATTTGATTACTAATTTCAATATGTGTAATTTATTCCTATACTAAAAAACATATAAAGTAATATTATTATTTTAAAAGGGCAAAGTAAAATCGGAAAAGGAAGTTATGGAGCTGGGGGATACGGTAGTCAAGCAGCCGGACATTACGGTATGATAAAACGTCAACATTTTGAATTCTTCCAGGATTTCCTGATAGTATACCTGATAAACAAATTTTACTTTTCAAAAGGTGGGGTGCAATGGAACCCAGCAAAAACCGCGCAGGGTGTCACAGAAATGACATTGGGTGTTTTGGAAGGACTATTTCCTGGTTGTAAGTCTCTGTTGTTATTCGATTATAAGTAACATACCGGATTATTTGCGCGGTTGAAAATATTCCCCTAACAATATTTGGGACTAATTTGTATTAGCATTTTACTGTTTTTTTTCAATTCCGAGAAATTTATGTTTTGACATACATCATTAATATTATGTAGAATAATTAACGAGAAGCTTATGACTATTGTTTTTTTTAATTTCGTTTTTTTTTTTTTCTATTTTTTGCGTGAATGCTTAACCAACAACAACAGATACCACACTACGTATAAAACCTCATTTGCTTGTGTAGAATGACATGTTGACTCACAATATTTTGAATTGGTTACAGGATGTAAGATTTAGTAGTCACTAAAATAAATAGTAGTATTTTTCTCATAACCTACTATTTTTAAATCCATTCAATAACATAGTTATCGTTGGGTGATAAATTTGATTACTGAACTGAATTTGTATAATTTATTCTTAAAACAAATATAAAGTAGTGTTATCATTTTGAAAGGGCGAAGTAAGATTGGAAAAGGAAGTTATGGAGCTGGAGCATACGGTAGTAAAGCATACGGACAATACGGTATGATAAAACGTCAACATTTCGAATTCTTCCTGAATTTCCTGCTAGTTTAATTATTAAACAAATTTTACTTTTCAAAAGGTGGGGTGCAATGGAACCCAGCAAAAAAAGCGCAGGGTGTCACAGAAATGACATTGGGTGTTTTAGAAGGACTATTTCCTGGCTGTAAGTCTCTGTTGTTATTCGATTAATAGGAAACATACCGGATTACTTGTGCGGTTGAAAATATTACCTTAACTGAATTTCGGATCGATGATATCAGCATTTCACTGTGTATTCAATTCCGAGCGACTCATATTTTGACGTACGAAGCATCATTTAACCTTACGCATCACCAAATTAAATAATACTGTTTTTCTCATTACTTCCTATTTCTAAACCATTCAATAATAATGTTATAGTTGATCGACAAATTTGATTACTAATTTCAATATGTGTAATTTCATCTTACTAAAACACATATACATACATAAAGTAATGGTAATATTTTAAAAGGGCGAAGTAAGTTGGGAAAAGGAAGTTATGGAGCTGGAGGATACGGTAGTAAAGCAGCCGGACAATACGGTATGATAAAACGTCAACATTTTTAATTCTTACAATAATTTCTAACAGTAACATTCATAAAAATATTTTTTATTTTGATAAGGTGGTGTACAATGGAACCCAGCAAAAAAAGCGCAGGGTGTCACAGAAATGACATTGGGTGTTTTAGAAGGACTATTTCCTGGCTGTAAGTCTCTGTTGTTATTCGATTAATAGGAAACATACCGGATTACTTGTGCGGTTGAAAATATTACCTTAACTGAATTTCGGATTAATGATATCAGCATTTCACTGTTTATTCAATTTCGAGCGACTCATATTTTGACGTACGATGCATCATTTAACCTTACGCATCACCAAATTAAATAATACTGTTTTTCTCATTACCTCCTATTTCAAAACCATTCAATAATAATGTTATAGTTGATCGACAAATTTGATCATCATTTTCAATATATGTAATTTCATCTTACTAAAAAACATATGGATAAAGTAATGTTAATATTTTAAAAGGGCAAGGTAAGATGGGAAAAGGAAGTTATGGAGCTGGAGGATACGGTAGTAAAGCAGCCGGACAATACGGTATGATAAAACGTCAACATTTTTAATTCTTACAATAATTTCTAACAGTAACATTCATAAAAATATTTTTTATTTCGATAAGGTGGTGTACAATGGAACCCAGCAAAAAAAGCGCAAGGTGTCACAGAAATGACATTGGGTGTTTTAGAAGGACTATTTCCTGGCTGTAAGTCTCTGTTGTTATTCGATTAATAGGGAACATACCAGATTACTTGTGCAGTTGAAAATATTACCTTAACTGAATTTCGGATTAACCCTATCTAGCCTTACTGGCTGGAGAATTTTGTATACTCCTCCTGAAAAATGTCGTAACTTTTTGTTCAAACGTGCGAGAACCTTCAGTTTAATTCTATCGGAAAGCGGTATTTCGCCGCTTTATGCCAGTTGTGTCTCTTGATGCGTGCGATATTCGCTTACCCGTGCGCGTTGTAAATGAGAGAATTTTTTTTTTTTGAAAAAGGTTTCGTATTGTTCATCGGTGTGATCAATTCAAGCGAAACCGACTCGACAACAAAGTCTCTCGAATTAGACAATTACGTAAGCTTTCAGACAAATCCAAACATTCCGCTTCAGACGGCGTCGAACGCTAAGTATTCAAGAAACAAAAGAGCGGGTTCATAGCGAGAAATTCTCAGCGAGGACGCTGATTGTTTCTTTATTATTGTGATTATTACCGTGTTTATGAGCTAAAACGATAACTGGCCTGCTCAAATAGCTTTCTTTCAAGTAACAAGAGAGCTATGCACAAATATATGGACACGTAGAGTCACATAATTTTGATGACGTCATAGCGAAAAAAAAGTAATAGCCTCCTGGAGAAAATTTTTATCTTTAACCACTGAAAATTTCAAAGCAATTGGACCAGTATTCGAAGAGAAAAGCGACTTTTTATAAACGTGTCAAAGAACAAGAACAACAACAACATAATATTGAAACGATCGTTATGTCCACTACGTGTCCAATAACATACTCCTATGTGCATATATTAGATTTCAAATACTTACAGATATAAAACTTGTAGAATTAGAAATATGCCAAAAAGGGAGTGACGCACAACCCGGGTTCATAAAACTCGGACAAGCATATATCATGCTTGAAAACGACGCAAAAGTTTATTTTTGATTTTGTATGATATCAGCATTTCACTGTTTATTCAATTCGGAGCGACTCATATTTTGACGTACGAAGCATCATTTAACCTTACGCATCACCAAATTAAATAATACTGTTTTTCTCATTACCTCCTATTTCAAAACCATTCAATAATAATGTTATAGTTGATCGACAAATTTGATCATCATTTTCAATATGTGTAATTTCATCTTACTAAAAAACATACAGATAAAGTAATGTTAATATTTCAAAAGGGCAAGGTAAGATGGGAAAAGGAAGTTATGGAGCTGGAGGATACGGTAGTAAAGCAGCCGGACAATACGGTATGATAAAACGTCAACCTTTTTAATTCTTCCAAGAATTCCTAACAGTAACATTCATAATAATATTTTACTATTTCCTGGCTGTAAGTATCTGTTGTTGTTTGATTAGGAAACATACCGGATTACTTGCGCAGTTAAAAATATTCCCCCAACAATATTTGGTATCAGCATTAAACTGAATGTTTATTCGATTCCGAGTAATTTAATGATTACCATACATCATTAACATTACGTAAAAAATTAACGAAAAGCTTAGTACTATATCTATAAATTCTGATTTTTCATTTCTTGCATGAAAGTTTAACAAACAAAAACAACCACAGCACAATGTATTGAAACTCATTTGCTTCTGCAAAATAATAACCTTGACTCACAATATTTTTGAATAGGGCAAGCAAAAGGTATGGGGGGATATAGCAAAGGAATGGAAGGATACAATGGGGAGGGAATGAGTGGATATGGTGAATTGTTAGGCATCATCTCAAACATTCGAATAAACTGCTGATTTTTGATTACTTTTGCTAACAAGGGTATTATTTCAACTAGGTGGATTTCAATGGGATCCAAAACGAAACGCAGAGAAAGTTACAGAACTGACCTTGGGAGTTTTAGAAGGATTGGCTCCAGGATGTAAGATTCATTTTACTTTCGATTTTTCAAAATGTCACGAAAATTCAAACAAATATTTTAATACAAATCCAGAAAGTAGGTAACGATTTAATCAGTATATAACTTAAAATCAAGTGGATTGACATATTTAAATCTCTTTTTTTTTCATTAAAGGGCAGAGCAAATACGGTAGTAAAACAGCAAGACGTGGTGGAATGGGTGGATACGGTCAGTACAAATATAACTTCATTGAAAATAAGAAAAAAGTCCGGCAAAATTGGTCTTAACGTATCAGTAGTCTGGTTTTAAAATTTGTTTATCCAATTGTGGGTTAACTTCAGTTAGCCGAATCCAACTAATATTTTCACAAACGGGTGCTCGCCGGGAAGTACGGGAAGGTTATACTCAGGTTGTGAACAGATAACTTTTGTTTAATACAACTTTTGAAACGGATATTCTCAAAATAATTCCGTGGATTATGACTGGAATAATCAAAAAAAAAAATTTTTTTCCCTTTCTAAAGTCCGCAACTTTTTCTAAATACTTGATATTTGTCCTAACAAGTAGTTGTTAATTTTAGTTGTGTATTTGAAAATTTACAATAATGAAGCGACCAGAATAAGTATGAATTCGTTCAAACATGAACAATTTGATGTAAATGGTCGCACACCGATAAATATAAAGAAGCCTTAATATACTTAAGGCAACAAAACATTTCACTCAAATTTTTCTTCTATTTTACGAAAAAAGTGAAATATGTATGCGATCAATGAAAATATACTTCATTAGGAGTGAGGTGTATATAATATTGAATGTTGACAACTCCTATTCATATAATAATCGATATTTTTTATTCACATGAAAAACAAATGGTATATTTACTTAAACTCTTACATAATAAATGTAATTTGTACATGCTTCAGAATATTCAAATTTTCTAGAATATTGGTAACAACAGTAGTAACTACTTCACATTTAAACATCAACGCGGTTAACCAATAGAAGATTTGATTAACATACGTTTTAAGTAAAGCAAGTATAACGAAGACCTAAATATGGTCTCATCTGTTACATCGCCATCGGAAATCGCCTTGAGCCTAACTTCATAGAGTAATGCGTGAGAATACTTAATCTAAACCATTTTACCGCATAATTTGATAAACTCTGCTTTTGGTATTGGCGGTAAATCAATGGGCGGTTTTGGTGACTGAAAATAAATAAATCAGGCAGGTGATGAACAACATCTAAAATCAGTATTTCAGAGTCTTCAGGAATTCGCACTTCCTCATGCATTCATATTATCACCCAAAGTACCACTAAATACTACTAATATCCTTTTTGTTATCTTTAACATTTCATTGTTTTACAATAGATTATAGTTCCATGGGAGAAAAAGGTGGATTCGAAGATTGGATGAAAGGCCGCGGGTGGGGAAAAGGTTGGTCTGTCTAAATATTATAAGCTATGCGCTTTAACAACAAACTTGAAAAAAGAAACACCAGAAGCTAATCCAGACATTTTTCATTCAGTTGTCAAACTTCTTGCATTAACATTTTTCCTGGCGCTACTATCGTACATGCTGATAAAGCAGTAGAATTGTGTACAATTATTAATTAATTTTATCTGAGTCCAGTTTTCGAAAAAAATAACAAAAATGGAGTTAGATCGGTCCGAATATGAAATGAGTGAAAAAGTTAGAAATGCTTTTAAAATATACTTGAAATTTAGTCTATAGTTCTTACAATTTAATCGCTCATACCAAGTTAGAAAAGTTAGCTTGACCAAATGAGCCATTTTTGTACATATAGGCTACGTCCCAAAAGGCACTTTTAAGCAAGAAATAGTATATATAAATCTAGCGTCCAATAACCATTCTACAGGTGGTTACAGTGGAAAGGGGGATTTCTCTGAAATAATGAGTTCAGTGATGAAAATGTTTATGGGTAAGGGATATATATTATTTATTATGGCTACATAGAACATCTTAACATTGGGAATATTCCATTCCTTGAAATGATCTTACATTATATAGTAATAGTCGTAAACTTCACATACACTTGTAAAACCGCACCTTTCATTTCAAAACACTAAAAGCATTAATTCCAAAAGCTGTTTTTATAATATTTATTTTACCAAATGATTAAAAAAATGAACGGTATAGAATGAGCTCGTAAAGACGGCCAATGAATCGACAACACCCACTCTATTAATGTCGAGATTGGTGCAAGAAAATATATCAATAATCACACGTTGATTTCAAAATTTTGCAGGAGGCAACGGAGGCGAATGGCCAAAATGGTAGAAAGAAAGATATATTGCAATATTAAGTTATGCCTACTTTCTTATTGAGAGGTCGATATTAAATTGTAAAATTGCATATTTACTATCAGAGCAACAAGAAGAAAAGTACGAAATAGAAATATAATTTGACCAGTTTTTATCAATGTTTACTTCGATGTACATTATTTCAAGACTATCATGTTATGCGCTATAACTATACCATGAAATTGAATAAACAATATAACCGCCACACAGTAAATGATTCAATTGTGTGTGGGAAGGAAGTTGGTATGGATTGTCCAACTCATTCAGAGTGGCCAATCACAAAGTTACCAAAATAACATAAGCGGCAAATCATACTTCTCTTGCTTTGCAAAAATACACCTACTTAGTACTTACGTAACACCACGAGAGATCGAGTTCAAATTTGGTTTCACGCAGGATCGCGGAAGGTAAATTTAGAATTTCTCTGGAATGGATTGTCGCGACAGTTGATGTAGATAAGTTGATCTATGTCAGGGTGGTCAAACCCTGACACGTGGACACATTACGTGCGGCCAGCAGAACGGGTTTAGCGTACACTAAGGTGGTGCAGATATGAGAATGGCGTCGTTTGATATGTACGATGACGTGTCGGCCACACGTGCGCTTTGTTTTCTTGAAATAGTCAAGCGACGACGAGTGAAAGATTCTGCGTGGGAGAAAGGAAGTATTGAGGAAAAGAATAAGAGAGAAATTTATTATTTCGTCAACTGGCAATGGTACAATAAAATTTATACCAAATATGCAAGTCAATTCGGTATAGACCAGAGTTGGATCAATTACATTAATTCAACTATAATTGCTCGCCTAAATTTTCAAATTACATTACAATTTCTACAAAGCAATGCTCAAATATATGGAGTATGGACACGTAACACAGGGCGAAGCAGTCCTTACCCTTGACGCTACCGATACTCTCAAAAAAATTCCGATTTTATCGTAGCAAGAATCAAACCAGACAGCCAGTATTCCCATAGATAAAATAATACAGCGAAATCTTGGATGAAATATCAGATTTCATACGAAATTTAGAAATAAAAAAGTAATAGTCTTCTAGAAAAAAATTTCATCTTCAAACACTGAAAATTTCAGAGCATTTGGTCCAGTATTCGAAGAGAAAAGCGGTTTTTTAATATTTACACTAGGTGTGTTATTCTGTGTCAAACAACAAGAACGACATAATGTTGAAACGATCGTTATGTCCACTACGTGTCCAATTAAGCTGCTCACAGCAATATGAGCTTACGAACGTGTAGATTACACGTTGTGTACTGTCGCACTGATAAGATGTGGCACAGTTTCGGCGTCGAATTTTGGATGACACGTTTCGTAAGGAGTTCAATATTAAATCCTTATCTGCGGTGCTGACTGTGCAAGAAAGAAATTTTTTTCCGTTCAAGCACTTTGGAATGTTCGACCCTCGTCGAGAACTTCTCTCCGTTTCTCAGACATTTTTAAATTTTAAATATCAAAATGACCCCAAACGGCATACAAGTGACGCTACTTATTACAAAACAAGGGTTCCATTACATTTGAACCCACGACAATTGCACCTACATACTATTGCACCCATGAAAATTCCTACAGGTTCAAATGTATGGGTTCAAATGTACGGTCACCCAAAACAAGCGTCGTACAGCAGCACTTGTTACCACATAAATCCGTGTAGAGACAATAATCATTTTATGATCAATTTTTGTTTTATGTATCAAATGTCGGGTCGTTCGAGGGCCGCAACAGATTAGCTTGCGGGCCGCATTTGGCTCGCAGTTTGCCGACCCCTGCATTAGTGAATGAGAAAAGAGATTTTTCATGAGGTAACAACAAGAAGAATAACGACAACACAATGGAAAAAACGACTCATAGGTTCATTGCGCGTCCAAACTAGAGATGTACCGATACAACTTTTGTCGCCGATACTAACTTAAAAGACTGATACCGATATTTCAAAAAAGCCGATATCGATACAATGTTATTTTTATCTCAAGCATGCAGGTCAGAACAATAGTCTTTGAGCATTATTCATAATCATAGTACACATCATTTCATAGTGAAAGGGAGATATATCACATAATAGGAAACTGATGTGTGGAATCCAAATGCGGTAATTGATTCAGATGCATTGTGTAGTGACGCTAGTAATCTGGGTGGTAAATGAGAAAACGCATAAGGTTTAACTAAAATAAATGAATGTTTACTTGTTGATACGTGAATTACATGCGCAGGCTTTTGTACCAATATAACCACATATTTTGTATTTTACACATTGGAGAATCCACAAATATTAAATTAATATAATTCTTTATAATTACCTGTAGATAATAATAATGAAAGCGTAAATATAAAAATTTGGGCGCTTCAGAAGTATGCGCAACCAAAAGGTCGCACAACCTGAATTGATACCCACCACTGCAGTTAAATCGAGTATGTAATTTAATAAATAATCTAAACTGAATAACATATCGTCATCTCTCATAGGTAAGCGAGCAAATTATTATTTTCTCTTCTGTATGCAGATCAAACCAACCGATGGCGGGTCTTCAGCGAGTTATAGTAGCATCCCAAAGAAAGTCATCGCAGGACACAGCGCTGCATCATATTGCACCATCAAAACGCAAATTGCCGGCCTCAACGCAAGTGCAAAACAGGCAGTGAGCGATACAAACATTCCTGTGCAAAATCGGGCGTGATCAAACGACGCGGCGATACAAAAACAACAGTTTGTTGCACCATTCAAACGAAAACTCCCGGCCTTCGACGTACGTCGTTGATGAAAACAATCCAACTGTAGGCAGGTCCAGACATGTCCATAAATTACATAGAAGTTACGATACATAAGATCTCAATAAAATCCTGTAAAGAGCGGGACCGGTATTTTATATAGTGGTGTTCGGTTTCCAAATGGTATAAATGCAAGATCACATAACTTAACAGTTAATACATCATTTCACGGCATATGGCTGCTGAAATAATCAGGTTACATTACGTTAACGGAGAGAATGAGAATTTTATAAGACCTAAATGGCCAATCTCTTTCAACTGTAACAAGTTATCTTTGAACCATGTAAAAATTGGATTTAATCAGGGTTTTTGGTTGTATGTGGTATGTTAGTCGTTGGTTCCATGCAAACTTCTTGGCGGTTCCAGCTGCGAAAGAACAATAAATAATAAAAAACATGTATTAAGTAATTCAGTGTGTCTATGGACGAGAATTTGAAAATTGGAAGCGGCGTGTTGATCACTCATGTAAAAAAATTTCACAAAATCTTGGAATAATAAAGCGAATCATCGGTACTGGTGCATTGGGAATCGAGTATAATAGTCTCTTATATTTCAATTTGCAATATGGCATTATAAGTTGGGAGGGAGAATAAAACTAAGTCACTAGATTTGCTGCAAAAGAATGCCATTTGCTAAATGCTATTATCAGAACACGAGAGCGTTGCTCAAATATATAGTCCAAAACAGAATACTTTTCATACCGCGCCTACGACTACAGCTAGCAGTTTATATCAGAGTTTCACACAGCATCGCGTCAAATCGGAAGCAACCGCCGCGATTGGCGATTAAAAACCGTGTTCTCGTGAAAAATAAAAATTTAGCTAAACAAATCAAATATCATTCTGATAAAAAATACAATCTTCAATCATTGAGAATTTCAAAGCAATGGACCTTCCCAAGACATTTAACCCCCCAAAATTTTTCCTGTACTTTACAATTGCAAAATTTTTGGGGCTATTTCAAGAGTCCTTTTGCAAGTTGGCGCCCGTAAAATGGGGTATGTTTTTCAAACCATCATTATAATTCATCGCATACAACAATCTGTTTTTTAAAAGTACCGGTGAAGAATTTTAGCCTAGTCTATCACAGCTATTTCTACACTGATTTTTCAATACTGCAATTAAATTAAAAGAAAGACTCAGTGATCGTTGAATTATATGATTTATATTTAAGTTTCCTAAACACAACTGAAAACTAACGCATAGAGTTACGACCAAGCTTGAAAATTTTTCTGAGTGAGAAAAGTGTCTGAGCGGAAGCGAAAAGGGAGCTTTGTTACGTCACTTTTTGCATCTTGCTGATTAGCCAATGTCACGAAGTAAACAAGGAAGTCAGTCGATGCTCAGGGAAAGGTTTATTGGTCCATCAATGAATGAAAAAAGAGATTTTTATTAACAACAAACAAAACAAGAACAACAAAGACATAAAGCAAAACGACCCATTCCGTCCACTTTGTGTTCCATAATGCAAGCAATTTGGAGCAATGAAATGGGGTACATTTGGGGGTTAGTTGCTATAATAGAACTCGAAGTATATGTATTTCTCTGAAACTGTTAAATTATTGTATTGCTTCCAAAATCATATGTTATCTTCAATATTTGAAATTTTTCCAACTAGAATTTTAAATTTGCATAACCGTACCACAAGGAGCATTACAAATAGGACTTATTTCATGCCTAGGTACTCATAGGCGCGGTGGCGTGGCTCATCGTGCTAAGCGTTAGCAATACGCTCGCCACCGCACCTCTGATTATTCTGCGTGGGTTCGCAGATTCTAATCCCATTCGGGGATAGTTATGTGCGGGAGGATTGCTAGTCGGTTACGGCTTCCACTACCATCAAGTCCATGCTTCCGAAAACGAATATCTAGCTAATCCCATACCCGACAGGGAATAGTAACAGGACGGAAGGGTGTGGTTCGTCATATGGTTCTGCCGCCCTATTGACTTACCTTTCCCCCGGAATAAATATGTGAATCCTATAATATCCTATTTTCGATGTCAAAAATCGCTCAAATCAGAAGACATCTGTATTTGCTAGAATGGTCCGTCATGTAGGAAACACAAAATTTTTGTGACTCCCTCCAACTGTTATTAATGATATTTTGTTTTGTTGATGAATGTTCATCTTCAATTTGATTTACACATTGATATGAAATAAATTATATACTACTATTCGTCTGCTGCTGGCACTTTGAAAAGGACATCACGAATCCCATAGTCTGACTGAAGCGGTCATTTGGAATAAGTAAATAACCAATTGCATCGTAATTTCACTGGCATGATTAAGCGCGGAAGGCTTAAAAACGTATCGCATGCATTACACCTCAATGGTCGCATATCACCTCAAAGGGTATATATAGCTGCGTCTACGAGTCAAAACAACACTGGCGACGCGTGCCAAACAATTTTAGCGGTTTGTTTTGTTCGTTATACTGTATAGGATTAAGTTATTATTGTCTCTCTGCTTTCCGGGACTAAATTATGGAATTTGGCTGGGACTCTATCTGTGCAGTCGCAGTGCTAATTATTGCAGGCATAGTTGGCTTCTTATAGTAAGTACAGGTTTTCATTTCTTTTTTTGCAAACTCTTGAATAAACAATGTGCCAATGCATGGGCAAAACATCCAGTTCGGGGAAGGCTTTCTTCTTTGATTCATTCTTTCAAATGTGTTTAATATGTTCGAAGTCTGTATTTCCGGGCATATTTTCACATAGGCTACAGACATATGCTTTTACTTGTATGATAATCGATGTCAGCTTCCAAGTTCAGAAGTTGTTGTTATGCTCCATGTTGATTTTTTATAAATTTTACAACCTTTTCTCTCGAAATATGATGTGGCAAATTTCTGTCAACCTCCACCTTCAGAGCAATCAACTTTAAACTGTGTGTTCCAACCCCTATCAGCCTATATTTTCATGCCACATGTAGGCCTACCACAGATAACTTGGTAATGTAAAATATGTAAACATGATACATATATAAATAAATAAATTTCAAAACATGGAGTAGGTAAATTGGTAATATGGATCTGCAATTTAGAATCTTTTTTCAGCTATGTTGGTTACTTCTTCAAAGTGAAGATATCAGCTGGACACTCTGTTATATCTGAAGTGAAAGTAGCATACAAGTTCCATCAAGGAAATTATGATTCGTGTGGGCCATTCTTTAACGAAATTGTTAAATTGTACCCAAATAAGCGTTGCATGGGTATTTATTATGATAACCCTGAAGTGGTAAGTTGTTAAATGCTTCCTCTGTTGGATTTTTCTGCTCGCTACTATTTCTATTCACATATATCTATATATCCAAAAGCACTTATGCCAGTCTGTCAGTGTAAAACAACAATCCATGGGTGAAATATCACAGAAAACTCATATTTCGAAACCCAAGTTTATTGCCCGGCCTCCCCTGTTAACTTCATTTAAAAATAATCACCGTTTTCTGCCTTGTGAGTTCAATCAGTTCATCAGAATTCTTTTACAGATTGATCCAAACAAATGTCGCTACATTGTTGGTGTGATAATTGCGGAGGGTGTTGGACAAGTTCCAGAGAAGACAGTAGTTGAGAACCTGCAAAGTCGTGGATTTAAAATTATCACTTTTCCAAAAGTTGAAAATTCTGTGAAAACCACCCATCCATTTACACTCACAATATCTGCATACTTCGCTGGATGGAAAGCTTATCCAGCCTTGATGAAATACATAAAGGTGTTTTTATTGTATTTGCATGAATATCAATTGTGGAGTAATAGTATCCAGGCATCTGAAACAAATAACTAGCTAAATAATCCCATACCCCACGTGGCCTGGTAATCGGATGAGAGATTGTGGCCCCACATATGATTAAGCCAACTCTAATCGCTTTTCGCTACACCAGGATAAATATGTAAATCCTATAAACCCCTAATATAGCCAGACAAAATAGAAATATATCTTTTATCACTGGATTCCTACTTCATGAACATTTTATAACTAGTTTTCTTTCATCCTGTCCTGCAATGACAGACATAGTTCACCCGTCACAGTGACTCAATTTTATAGTTGTTTTGGAGCTGGGGTTTCCTATAACAAATCTGTGATAATTATGTTCCCTTTGAAAGGGTGCCTGAGATCTCATATCCATCTAAAATCTAATTTGCAACTCTTGATTTGGTTATCTGGGGTCATTCTTATTTGTAAGTGTGACGTAAAAAGTTACATTTTATGAACAATATTTACAGTGTTACAAGAGCAGAATTGGAGAACAATAAGCCTCGTGCCAAAACTAAAGTTAATCGCAATCTCAACAAATTCAGTGTTGCGCTTGCACTATTTTTCAGCTGAAACATCGAAATTTGGTATTAGTTTGGTTGTGGCAGCATCAGGCCCATGTCAGCTTTAAACCCTTGAATATGTGAAATGAATGCCCCTGCCGTTGTTGAATGCAGAGGTGTAACAACTCGAGAGAGTCGCAGTGAGGTTACCTTCATTCGAGTGTGTAAAGTTGCTAACAAAGGTTTGAAACAGTCAGAGAGCAATGGAACATACAAAATCACATGACACAAAATGTAAACCTTTTCTCCCTCCCAATCACACAGCTATCATTTTGTTTCTTTTATTTTGTTATATTAGGATCAGGGGCTTACTGCACATCCTTTCCTGGAGATATATTTTGATCGAACCATTCACTACATGGTGCCGTTGTCCAAACATGATGAGTTCTATGTCGAAGAAATGGAGGGATGATTTTTGAATTCTGTAAGAGGGCATCATTCTGATACCTTCGATTGAATGACTTTGTATTTTAAGCAATAGTGTTATTTATACTAACCTCACAATCGTTTATATCTATGTAAATATGATGTGGCTTGAGTTGTATTTTCAAATCTGCAGTCTTTCTGATTTCTATAAAAACTAATGCTATTTTGAAGTTTATGGTATACAAAATAACTTTCGACAATTTTCACTGACGGAAATCACAGACATTTGTTTTGCACTAACGTTTTTATTCTTCTGTCTTTTTGTAATCATTTCAACCAATTTCATCTTGCCAATTATGTAAATATATTATATAGCCATTTCTAATAAACTTTCGGTGTACCTTTCTATTTGATCATTTTGTAGTAGCGTGAAATTTTGTGTCGTCAGGTGGACCAAAAAAGCATTCTTTCCAGTTTGCTTGTATGCTGTCTTACGGATTCTTTGCCAGTTTTGTCGCTGCAAGTTACGCGTGCGAATTGGTTGATAAAGCTAGCATGAAGAATGCGATTTGAGATAAGGCATTGGGTGCGTTATCTAGTTATCTTTGTAGTGTCTGAATGATTTGATCCCAAGCTCAAGAAAATCATTACGTATTATGCTACCCTTATGGAAGGGCAATTGAACAAAAACTGTTCACGGGTTATGGAGCTTGCTGTGTGTAGGAGAGTGGTTGAGGATTCAACCATAACGCAAAAAAGGAGTATATATGTGAAACATCATATCCACGGAGTAGGCACTGCAATATTGATTGGCGTGTCCATTTCTCGTAACTTACGAAACATTGTCTATTAAATAGCTATTGTTCGTGAAACGATTGTCTGGTGATTTGTGATAAGCAAAGTACTTGTTTTCCAAATGCCATATCGTCGTTGTATCGATCAATGCGATAAGATAAAGTAGCTGGAATAATTTATATTGATTAAAAACTTGAGTAACTCATTACAATTTGAAACTAAGTCTTTATTACGTTGTTAGAATTAGCGTTGTTGTTGTGAAAAGATGCTTTTCTACCAGGCCAATGATTTGAAAATGTCAGTGGTAGCATAGTGTATCTACTTTTCTTCCTGAATATGATTTAATATTGTATATACTCTCGAAACAATCTATTCTCAATTTTTATATACCTCAAAATATATATACTTGAATTTCATACAGTATTTGAATTATATATATTTATATTGGAGTTTGATGGCCTGGCTAAGTGAATGCTGATCCTAAATTTTCATGTGGTAAAATCAACCAAATCTACATCCAATCTTCTTTTATCATATCTGCTGCTTTTTCTCCTATCATGTAACACGGAGCTTGGATGTTTGCCGAAGTCAAATGTGGCATCACTGATGCGTCAGCAATACGGAGTCCTCTTACACCACGAACCCTGTAAACAATAAATTTAACATGACATTATTCATGGCAGTAGGATCTTTTTTTTCATTCAGTTTTAAATGAGACAGGCATCCCAAATCCTAAAAAGGAATGGCAGTAATTTCTACAAATACAATATTTTTCTTTTTGTTGAAACGAAAATAATGTTTGATATAGGCCATTTCAAATAAGCATAAGATTGGTAGTATTGTTTTATTTAATGTCCCGTTTACGTTCATCTTTTTTTATCCTCAGGTAATGCACCAAATTGGACACATATATATGTATAATTTTATTTTTAAATTACCTAAGTCTCGAGTCAACAACGGCCATTTTATTATCATTTTCACCCATTTTGGCCGTGCAGCACGGATGATAAAGTGTTCTCGTGGACAGGCCTATATAACACCGATAGAAACTGTCAGGCCTGAAAAAAGAAATATACATTAAAAATTATCACTGTATCAATATTACTTCATTTTCATTAACAATAGCAAACAGAAAAAAATCAGAATTATTTGAAACAAAGTAAAACATCAGATTGAATTGACTGTCTATGTTTGTAAACTAAAAGGTTTAGCGTTTCAAATTTTTATATTTCAGTAGATACGCGTACACTAATTCACGAATATCTCCACGAATCACTGCTTACTTACCGGGGAGGCGTTTGATTGGATGTGAAGTTACATAAATCCGGAAATATCATTCTGTAGTCGATACTGTTTAATGTCTTTGTCATTTCGAGTTTTTCGATTATTTTTAAACCTGTCAGCAGTTGAAAAAAAGACATCACTTGAGCATATTTTAATGTTTGCAATGAAAAGTAGCTAATGGTTGTAAAAAATAAATTACTAACAGTCTTATCGAATTGAAATATCACAAATCACAAGCAATTAGTTAATTGAAGGCCGAATTGTCGCATTATTCACTATGTAGATAAGCAAAAACTCTCTCTTCCATTACAACAAACCTTCAATAAGCATAAGAACATCATCATCGTCTGAAAGGTAGTTCGGATCAATTATCGGCTGCTCAAATGGATCTTTCGATTTTAATCGAATAGTTCCCACAGATTTTGGATGCTGAAGGCCGACTGCCATTGCGGTAAAGTTTTTCTGTTTATAATATAGTATTAATAAAGATAAAATGGTGAAATATAAATAAAGAACTAAATTTCAAAAATTTGGTAATAAATTGGAATATTATTTATCCCGTTAAGAGGAGAGTCTGTTACGTGATACTAAGAATCAACAGAGCAACTCTGAAATTTCAGGATTTATGACATCGTAACAAAAATGTAGTTATAGTCATGGGATTTGTCAGAAGTGGGTAATGTGCTAACGTTATTCATAATGCATACCGCACGTTGCCTATTTCAATTTTTTTGTGATAATGGATAAATATTGGAAAAGGAAAACTAAAAGCTAAATATGTACAAAACTGAAAGCCATTGAAGAAAAAGCGCATGTTATTTCTGAATTTCAGTCAGGATAAAATACTTGTGCTCCTCGAAGCAACCCGATAATCACACTAAAATTTCTAATCACATTTTTTTTCAAATTGCTTTTTTAGCTTCTGCTAGCCTATAGATGATTTGCATTAATATTTAAACGTTTTGGGGCGTGAATAATCTCGTAAACCTGAATTTGAATGTGTTAGGCTTTTTTTCAATAGGGTTGATGAGCATATTGATCTTTTTGTTATTTCCTCTTTATGCCAGAACTGATCGCAATTTAGATAATATTGAGTTATTTGAAAATTTGATTCGATATTTTAATAATTTATGATATATATATGTTCCGTGGTTCTCAAACGATCGAATAAAGCTTTGACTCTCATACGCGTCTTACGTCAATCTTAACTTCAAAAACTGCTGAAGAAGAGTTTTCCAGAAGAGTTTTATCCAGGCGTGAGTTAAAAACATCTAAACATGTATTTATACAGTGAAATTTTATAAATTTTAAACCTCTAATAAAGATTTTATCAGCACTGTGCTGGTCGCAAATACGGGAGTAGAAAGAATATATTCAAACAAATCGATTTTGCTTGAAGTACTTACCCCAGCGTCGTGCGGAAATGGTAGTGCTGAATCCGGGTTTGAGTTGAAGAATATTTGAATCGAAGGAAAAGGTCTTTTTCTGTTGAAAAAACAGTGTCATATTTTTTGCATACTCTGTGGTATATCAATTTGAAATTGCGATGTTTTCCTGGTTAAATAAATGACTATTGTTACTCACATTGTGCTTTTACTAACGTCTGTTCCCCAGTATTTTGTTCTGGTATGTATAGCAGTATCTATGCCAAAACCTACAGAGAGTTGACCAGTTCCATTAACAATATATTTTTTAACGTTTTCTTCGCTCTAGAATTATAAAATATGTATATATTAATTAGTAATTATTTTGTGACATCTTCGTGGATTGAGATATTTTTCAATTTCAATTCAATTGCTTAGAAGTTTCATTAATAATTGAACCGCAGTTGGGACTGCATGGGTTATCATTTTGCGCTGTTACAAATCTTTTTGGTTTCTTTGAAACGTTCGGCAAGTCCCTCTGAATTAATAGAAAACCCTCTTGAGGAAATACTAAGTTGTCTTCATTATTACAATTGATTGCTATCTATATAGAAGCTTGCCTTGTGACTAGTTTGACTCAGTACTGGTGATTGCAGTACTATATTGGTTGAAATTATTACTGTCAAAGCTGATTGTGCTAAAAATAATTGTTGGGCAACTACTCTAAATTTTCCAATTAAATAAATATGCTCACCACTCCCTCCAATTCATTGAAGTTGTTGCCATGAAAACTCCAAGCTACTAAATGATCTTCCATATTAGATCCTACCCCTGGGATGTCACGAATAACATCAATCTAAATAAATAAACACATCTTTGTAGTAAAACATGATTCATTTGCACTGAACAAACTAGAGTGCTATGATTCGAGGTGACAGCTGACCCAAAATCTTCTGGAAAACTATAAAAAATATAATAATGTAAGAGTAGGGGCCAACGTTTTGTCGTATGACATTTAAAATTGAATAGCGTAAAACATGAATAATATGTACCCCCTTTTTCTTCAGATGCTCTGCTGGCCCAATTCCAGACAGCATTAAAATTTGTGGCGTTCCAATTGACCCCGCGGACAGAACTATTTCCTTACGGCTTTTGACTGTGAATGGTATGCCGTTCTTCACGAATTGTATCCCAACCGCTTGTTTCTCCTCATCTGTCATCACCTTTGTAACATGCGCATTTGTAACAACGTGCAATTTGTTATTCCTGCAATATGTTTTTGTTGAATTAAAGAGGAAAAATTTATTTATAGTAAAAATTGAAGTACCAGTCTACAATATATTCTGAAAGCTGATTTCAAAATTTTGTTCTAATGGATCTAAAACTAAAATTTCACATTTCTGAACATTTTATCGGTAATCCCTGTACTGGATTGTTTCGTTGTCTTGACCTGGAGCCCGATTGTTACCTTCAATCTGCTTAAATCTGCTATTTAGTTACTGTTGTTACTCCTGATTAGATAACGCCGATATACCTCATACATTAGAACTATCAAATACAACATGGGATGTTGTTAATACGCGACTTCAGTGATCGTGTACTCTAACTGTAATTTACAAGATCTTGTAAATTTGCGATACACTAGGTTTTTGAGAAGACTTATTAAATCATTTCTTAGATAAGCAAGGCTTCTACAGAAAAATCCCTCAAATATGAAACGGTAAGGGAACAGTTGACATGGAAAAAAGAGAAAGTAAATCGTAAATTGGAGTACTGTTCACATGGATTTTGGAATCCAAAATTGACGGCTGTTTTGGTCATTTCAATAAGGGTAACAGTTTGTTAGTAGTAAATTTCGGACAGCATCTTTGTTGACAACAAGATAACGAGAATATCGGTTGGAGACCGAAGACTTATCGATCTTAGATCGGTAATTAGTTAATAACTCGCTAATTATACGACATGAATAATCTATAGGCCCAAAATCTATAGGCTTCTGGTCCGAGGTAAGATGCATGCACATGCAAAATTTGGAGCAGATTCAACCACGCGTTCGTGAGATATCGCGTTTATCTAACAGACACACAGACAGACAGACATACATACAGACAAATACCTATCAATATACTTACCAATCTTAAGATCGATAAGTAATAAACATAGAGTTAAATTATTGAAATGATCCAACTTCAATGACAAAATAAACAAACGCTTTTATAGCACACACCTTAATTTCTTTATAAAAATAATTACAATACTCAATTATATATCAAAATATTTTATCTGTGTAACAATAAATTTCAATATATCTCAATTTTCAAAATTCTATTTATACAACCTTCTTGGCAAAATGCTCCTGAGGTATGCATCGGAAGACGATACTCTGATACCATTGTACTGACTTTGAACGATTGGACCTATACCTTCCATTTTGTCGTCGTGATAGTCTACTTCATCCAAACCTATTCGAAGAATATATTCATTCATGCTTGTATGTAATTGTAGATTATACACATTAGAGCAAGAATTTTGTGTACTATTACCTAAAGCTTTGTGATTTTTATTATTCTTACCCATTTCTTTCCCAGCTTCTATCATTTTCCTTGTCATTTCGTCAGTAAATACAGGAGATATTTTTAATGGTCCACCTCGTCCCAAATTAGCCGACATTTCTGGATCAACTGCATCTTCAATTTTTCTAAAATATGGCTCTACATTTTTCCAACTCCATCCTTCTGCACCGTGATCCTCCCAAGAATCAAAATCATGAGGACTTCCCCGAATATATATCATAGCATTTAGAGACGTTGACCCGCCGAGCACTTTACCCCTAGGCCATTGCTCCACCTGCAAAATTATTTAGAATATTGGAACAGCATTACCAAGTTTGAACAGTTGAATAATAAGTAGCACTTCCAAACATTCTTAAAATATTACATACTAGTCGAGTTCATATCCGTCGTCTTAATTAAATAAGTGAGAAACAATTATGCTCACTGACCTTCGGGTGTTTACGTATTATTATTAAATGCTTTAACTAATTTTAGACGGCTTTGTATAAAAGCATAAAAGACATATTATTCTAATTCTTACAGAACAGGTTTCTTATAAGTATATTCTTTAAATTTTATCATATAATTAAACATTTCAATTTTTCAGAAAACTTGAAAATAAAATGATCCGTACTCCTAAAGAAGCTTGTAGATTTCGTTTCTGCGGAACAATATTATAATTCCAATCATACTCAGATCTGTAGCCTTGTCTTGCAGCAAATGGAATATCAATTATTGGGTATTTCAAGTCTGTTGAACCCGCCTCCAACAAAAGCACGCTGTTTAATTAAAATGAAGGCTTGTTATGTAGCAATTGAAAATGGATTTCAAAGCAACAGTTTTTGTATATACAGAAATTATTTTGTGCAAATGGTATGCTTTTAAGAATAGACATCCAATTTTCCTGGGCGTTGCTAATAGTAATTTTTCGATTTAGTATCATAAATAGTAATACAGAATGAGATGATAAAATGTTAAATTATAAAATTGACTGAATTATTTTTTTCAAACTGATCGTTATAGTTAGCAATATAGATTCTTTTCGGTGTTGCTTAGATTGAGATGACAATATGTTTAATGATAAAATTCGTCTTTCAAACTGATTAATAAATTTACCCAGAGTGTACTTGCAAAATTTTCATTAATGAATAACCAATTCTTTCAATAAAATCTAATCTGTCCTAATGTGCATGATAGAAATATTATATACCAAACTAGTGCAGTATTCTATGTTACATACTTGGCATCTGGAATTTCGGACAGTCGGCTTGCTACAACGGCTCCCGAAGCTCCTGCACCAACTGCAGAAACATAACTATACTAGTATTTGGAATTTCAGAAATTTCTCAGATTATACTCTATACAAAAATACAAGCACTTGGAATTCAATCAGCAGGAATACTTTTTTCGGAATAGGCAGATGAATATTATAATGTGCCGCTTCTGTCGCATTAAGGGTTAATGTTCCAAAAATTTTAAAATATATTTTAACATAAATGTTGGCAGAATATAATATTTTACGAATGTATATTTTGATCGTATTGTTGATTGTTTTGCAATATGATGCACTCCATAGTCAGACTATGTCAGTATGTATTTTATTTGATGATTGTCTGCGACACCATAGCGTTTGAATTTGAATGAAATCTTCCTCAATATTTCAAATCCTTTCGTTTTTTTTATACAAAGAATTCTTAGCAAAAAAATTTGCACAAGTTTTTCGGTACCAAGATGAGATGTTTATGGCACTCAAGATTGAGAGAGCCGAAAATAAATGAGTAATAACATATAAAACGATGTACTCTTGAACATTCAACATAAAAAAGCATAGATATCTTATCTACCGTTTTAAAAATAGCTATATTTTACTATTTTTTCCAAACCAAACAAGCAAGCTCCGAATATTACAAGCAAAACAATTGGAACGAGGCTCTGATGTTGCGAACTACAATGCGAGATTTTTTTGGGGAGCTTTTCGAAGCAAAAAAGCAGCTTGAATGTACGAAAACATTTGAATTGGCAAGACTTACCCACTATGAAGTCGTATTCGTTCAATATATTTTCTGCTACAATTGGATCATCTATCTGCCTTGAAGCTAACAATAGCAAAAGACTTAACAGTATCGACTTTACCATATTTATAACAAAAGCTGTCTGAGTAAATTGTATAAAAACGTATGATTATTTGAATTTATGTCCATTTTCCTGAGTAAAAATCGTGGAATATGGAATTATGCGAGAAATATTCTAATTTATTTCTTGCTTTCAATCCTCTTTAGCTGACAAATGTTTATCTTTCCATTATCTAAAACTTATATATCAAGTCAATAACAAGAACAAAGCCACAAATATTCATTAATTCGAACCATATTGTCGTATGAGTATATTCAAAGGTTTAGAATAAAAGAGTTATTTATTTCCACACCAGGCAATAATCAATAATTAAGTTATGAAAATATGCAGCAATAAAATAGGGTAAATGTTAATTTATCTTAACCAGTAAAGGGAAAATTATATTTCTGACGTTGCTATTCCTGTATTCTAAGTAGTTTCTAATTTTTATGATCCTATATTTTTTCGTTGATAACCATGAATACTAGTCTCCTTCATTCACCTGCCCGCGAGCAATATTATCTCTAATGAAGATAATCGTACTGTTAGGTAAATTAGAATGATAGTAGCGGACTGTAACAAACAACTGGTTAATTTACTAGAGTATATGAGCAAGTTTTCCTATTGATGATTATATTGTTAAAATATTAGCGATTTTAGATTTCCAGCTTTTTACGAAAAACATACCTCAGCGTTGGTATAGTCGTCATTTATGTAAATGTTGTCACATCTTGTTAAATTAGCTTTCTATAAAAAATCTTACATAAATCCCAAAACAGTACAAATATTCATTTGTGTAAGTACAATTCTTGACAATGAATAGTGGTCTGTTATTTTACTAATTATCTTATCTGATTTATTTGCACGGTAAACTTCAGTCTCTCGCAGCCCCATCCACTTTTCTATAATTTTTACGTTATGTCCCTGAAAAAATATCTGTCAAAAGCAACTCGACTTGACGGGCTTTCATTTTAGGAAATTACATATATACACTTTCCTAATGCTGGCTTTGTAATTCAAGTGTCCTGCTACTGCGCACTATAACAAAAATGTATTTCTGTAACGTTTCGCCTGACTAAAGTCTTACTTCCTCAGGCTAGCGGTTCACGACAATGACAAGAAACTGAAAATCGTGTATAGGTTAAATATAGCTATAAATAAATTGGTTCAAAATTGAATTATTAAGTAAATCATGACCAAACAATAAATAAACATTTAATTCATCTTTGGCGATTAGAATAACGATGTGAAAATAGACTCGGTATCCAGTGTAGAATAATTTTTCTGTAGTATATTTTTATCTCACAATAAGTTTTTCAGCTCGTGATGATGTAGTCTGGTTTCTTTTAGAGTGATCGTCTTCAAGTCGTTGAAGTCCTTTTTTGTGATACTCAAAGATTTATTTCTTGCAACAGTCGTAGAGTCTGGATATAGCAGTATCTATTGTGGATACAGAATCCTTCAGATAAAGCGGCGGAAGTTGCCCGTAATACACACCACTATTTGGTACAACGGAAAGAATATCAAATACTCAATTTTTTTGTCATAGGAGGTAGCTATCTTCATACAGTGGTCCAAAAGCGCCATATAGCGTCGGAAAGATATTGAATTTATTAGTTTGCGCACGAAATTCGATGCAACAAAGAGCCCATGCACGCAAACCGATAATCAAGAGATGACTGCAATTTAGATATGGTTAATGTGGGCACTATATATATGGTAAAACATTATCTTTAACAACGCATGTAAATCTTCACTTGAATCCTATGCAAAACATATTTTTGTCCGTGTGTTTTTACGGAATGGATTCATTCTATGACATGACAACAGATTATAACGTTATTATTCTCCGTTATGTTAGTTCTCATAATATTGGTTCAGCCATTGGTAGTGCTTAATTACAATTTGTGATAACACTATACCCCCGATAATGCTTGGTACCTCAATTTGCGATATTCCGTGTTTACCAATAACAAATATTGTATTAAGTTTGCTTTGTGTCATTTGTAAATTACCAAACAATTTAAAGAGTTGAATCGTTACCGGAATTCAAGTTTCCGACGACTATATTGTAAACTATGGATGACGTAGCAGCTTCAAATGAGATGGAATTGCGATCAATAAGAAACCAATTTCTTGGATGTCTGTCAGGAATGTTTCTCTCGGGTTCAGCATATATATCAATGTTGAATTTACAGTCGAGCATCAATATAGAAGATGGCCTAGGTAAGTAAAGACGCGCATTACTGGACACAGAATGCATATATATATATATATATATAATATAGCTTTGTTAATATGTCTTGTTGGTATTTTCTTCTCATTGTTATGAAAAAAAAATTGCTTTTTTTATTGAGTACTGGACTAATTGCTTTGAAACTTTCAGTGTTTAATTATGGATTGTATATATTTTTATTTGGAAAAATACAACTTTCATTTACTTCAAAAATTACTGTGGGCACTATGGGATTCGTTTCTTGTGTTTGACGACGTCATCAAAAGTTGCGCACCTTGCGGCGGTCCCGCTTTCGCGTTAGTCGTGAAGATTGTGATATCGGTAGTCTACTGTGACAGATTGCATGGCCGTACTAACTCGTTTTGGCTTTCGTGTTCATATATTTGTGCATCGCTCACTTGTTTCTTCATCTAATAAGATAAGTATTTAAATTCTGATTTTGATATTTTGCTATTACATCAAAAAAATTTGAAATCACATGTGCTTAAAATAATGAAGGAAAAAGTTTACAAATTCGAGACACGAGAGTGCTAAAAAACTGCATACCAAAGCATTATCGTTAAATATTCAAATAAATTTTCTCTTTTTCCAAAATTCTGAAATACTGTCGAAATTGAATAAACGAAAATTTGATGTTATCTAAAAAATATTTATTGCGTGCTTATATAAAGGGCCTTCGCGTGTCAGTGTTGTTTAGTTCTTTTCACATCGGCATTCGTCTAAAATATATGTTCATTCTGATGAGAGAATATTTTCTCCAACTGTTACTCAAATCCCGGTGTTTCGAAATCACATGTGGGCAAGTCTGGCGCAAGCGGTACATGGCATTTAGGACATCCCGCAAGCTCGATTTATCGAACGTAATTACTTGTGAAAACTAGGATGAAGATGAACTAAAACTTGAAACGATTACATCAGCAGAAAACATATTATATTTGCATCAGGAACTATCGCGTCATCTGTATCGTATGGTACAAGCACCGTATTTTTGATATTTTTCACAACGATACTGATGCGAAAGTTTGGAATAAAAATATGTCTGATTGCAAGCGAAATAACCTACATGTTTTATGTCCTGGCAAACTTGTACCCAAGTAAGTAAAAACTTTAGTCACTGTAATTTTTCTATTATATAAACTGAATGATCATGCAGTTTCATTTAAATTGAATAACTGGATCTCCGCTCCCGGAGACCCTTCTTGTCAGTCGTTCTGTCTGTCTGTCTGTCTGTCTGTCTGTCTGTCTGTCTGTCTGTCTGTCTGTCTGTCTGTCTGTCTGTCTGTCTGTCTGTCTGTCTGTCTGTCTGTCTGTCTGTCTGTCTGTCTGTCTGTCTGTCTGTCTGTCTGTCTGTCTGCCTGTGTGTTTGGCTGTAGCGGCTAGACCGATCTGGATCAAATTTCTCAAGTGGTTATCTTGTTATCCTGGTAATGTTGGTTTCATTGAAAGCCCGCATTGACGTTTCGTTTCTATGAAAACTGCAAAAAAACTCGTCGATCCTTTAAAAAATTTTCCACAATTTGTGACCATTTTCTGGTAAACTAAGTCCTAAATTAAAATTCCGAGATTGCTACCAGCTTGTTATACTGCTTGAAATTCAATATAAAGTCGTTTATCATTATAGCTTTCTACACACTCATCCCGGCAGCAATATTGGTTGGTGCAGGAGAAGCAATGTTATGGCCGTGTATGTCAATTATAAGTTATCACTTTGCTATGGAATATGCCAAGAAACGGAAAAATGAATTGAAAGAAGATGCGTTTTATGTCAATCTTTATTCGGGGTATTTTTTCACAAACGCACAATGCTGTCAGGTAACGAAATTTGTGTCTGGATAGGTTCTATGTATATGATTCTATATATAATATGTTAGACAAACTTCAAGCTATGCGAAATCAAAGACGTAGTTCGGAATTAAGGACAAACTCTAGATAATTGTGCGTGACCCCACTTTCCCAAGATGAAGTATAAATGATCACGAATCTTTTATTTCCAGTACTATATCAGCATTCTTTAACTTTTCTAACGATTCTTTTGAAATTCGATTTCGATTTTCGATTTCTTTCGACAAACTCTCGGTAGATTGCGTGGCGCATTTTCGGGCTGATGTATACAAATGATTCAAGTAATAACAGTATACTCCTAACGATTCATTCAAACAAACAAAAAACGACCTTCCAGTTACAGAGGAAGGGATTTTCATTTATTTTATAATACTACTAATACGCTTTTTTCGAAAATAACGATTGATAAATTTGCGTCTATGAAGATTTTCGGGAATTTGATAACATATGCTGTGATGTACGGATTCAAAGATTATAGTGACCAGTCTGCTGAAGATGCAGTAGACAACAATTCAACTACAATTTCATGGATTTCAACTACGTCGGACAACTTCAACAAATATGAATACTGCGGAGCAAATGATTGCCAAGACGTCGATACTGTTGGTGAATCTTTAGAGCAATACGTTCCGTCAGATAATCTGACTTTAATTATATTGATCAGTATTTTAACCGTGATGTGCATAACATCGCTTATCATTCACTTGCACTTCGTACCTAACTCTATAATTGCCTCTGGACAAGAAGATAAAGATTTTTCAGATTACGTTAACAATTCTTTTAAATCCGAGGAAGAACAAAACACGTACATTGATGGGACATCTGATACTGTTAAAATAAACACGAATAACTCTTTGTCTTTTTCTGGGAAACGTAACATTAGGAAAGCATCATGCAGTAGTGAAATATCTCAAGAATACATGGAATCAAATAGAAAATTACAAAAGGTATTTATTATTTGAAATTGATACTACTTTTGTTATATTCTACTTAAACCAAGCAGACAAATGATGAAGATAACATGGGTACATGGTTAAAATAGTAAGTTGCAGTAAGTTTTGCAAAAGTTGACACAAAATATTATATCATGCGCACTGGGGACTAATGGTTGGCGCAATAGTCTATTCTATATTGTAAGCATCGCTGTTTATATATACATGCTCTGGATTCTCAATCCCATTATCATGAAGTCTAATAGCCAGAACAATTTTTGTCTATCTACTTTGTGTTTGTTACGAAGGTGCCAACAGGGTCACAAGTTATTTAATTTTTCGATATTTAAGTAAACTTAAATCTTCTCCATATTTATGTATTTAATCGGATTATTTTTCCGATTTTATTATTATGTCATAACACTGTAGGAGTTGATTAATATTATTAGTAACTGAACAACCACTCCCTATTTCATTCATAGTTGAAACTGTTTAGCGTACGCAACAATTAAATCAATTTCATTCTTCGTTTTATTCTTGATTAGGCTCAATATTCAAGAAATGAAGGAAATGTTAACACTCTAAAATGCGACTTCCTTGTTCATCTTTTTTATATTCCATTTTCGTTGACATAAGCAATGTTTCAAAAATTAAATCGATGTTCTTTCTGGTTTCGTAAAACGATGAGTTTATTTTTCAAATTTGCAAGAATCAGAATCTTTTTAATAAAATCCTGATACAAATTTTGACTGAAATGCTGACTGCTGCTGACTTTGACTGCTTGTCATAATTCGGATTTATATATATATATAGATAAGTACAAGTACCAAGAATGTTATGATACCAAGCCATTGAGTATGAAATGATATCTTTAAGGAGGAGAATGGTTTATTGCGTCAATATTATAAAATGTTGAAAGATCTTGGTACGCAACTTCTTAGACAACAGCAACTTCTAATTATTCCAATCACATTTTACGTCGGACTCACACAGGCCTATGTTTTTTCGGAACTGACCAGGGCCTTTTCATCGTGTGTGGTAGGTGTTTCAATGGTATGTTATTTTACTATTATCTTTTATTTTTATTTTACCTCATGGACACGAAGTGGATCTATGTATTGTTTTAGTAAATTGTTTTTATGAACAACATGCTTATCTTTACCTGGGCTATTCCAAGTGACAGGACAATTCCAGAAATTTTACATGTTGTTAGATGCAATATATTTTTTAATTTTCAGCTGCATGTTTTGTTTCATTGTCCAAGCAGTTGCTTTATTGAATATGAAAAAAATGCACAAAAGATACACACAAGACTTACTTAGTGAATATAAAAAATATAATAAAATATAGCGTGATACGACGGGACGGCAAATCCACCATGCATTATTAACGTTACATTGTGTTGTGCTGTAAATTTTTGCGACGGTGCAGCGGGAGCCCATAATATTTTCTGGTGCAGTAGCTGAAGGACCCCTTTATGTGTTACTCAAGTTACCTAATGTAACACTGTAAATCCATCGCAATAATGTGCATATTGTAAGTGACACTACAGGACGTGACACTACAAGATATTTTTCCACTTCTGAACAGCGGCTTCTATCATCTCTTAAAATTCTTATATTAAATCGTTGAATAGATGAAGACATGTCCTACAGCACAGCAAACATTTAAACTTTCTTAACTTAAATCCAGTGCGTCTATTTCATGTGGAATAACTGTATCACACAATCAAACACTTTGTGTCACGAATCATCACAAAATATGTCAAATATACCAAAATTTCTACATTTCAGGCCATTTTTTAAAAAACCATCAAAAACTTGGGTGAAATTTTAACTTTTTCGGTGAAATGAATGCAGTCCAATAAAATTCCAATGTCTTTTGATATAAAAAATTCAGAAAAATTTCTTTCACTACACTTTTAATAAAATTGATGGTATTTAACTTTTGCTTGGAATGGTCCACCTACTGGACCAATCGCTTTGCAATTTTAAGTGATTAAAGATTGTTGAATTACTTTATTTATTTCAAAGATTTCTATGCGCTCTATGGGATATGTTTTTCACTAGGAAGTTTTGTGTAATGATATAAGCAATAAAAATGAAAAATTGCGCGGTTCCGCAATCGCTTTCCACCGATCGGGAGTTCAGGATCTGCGATCGTATTTCAACGATCTGCTGGTCTGCCAAGTCAGGAAGGAGTCTTTTGAGAGAAAGACTATCGATACTATAAAAAGTTTGATGATATTTCGTTTTGGTCTTCGTACACAAAGATTCGATCATTGCTCGTTTATTATCATTCAAGTCCTAAAACGTTTTTTTAATGCAAAAGCAGAACCTGTAACATATTTATGCTATTTTATTTATACAGGTAGGAATACACATGGCCACATATGGGCTGTCGGATGCGATTCTTTCGTATATAATAGCAAAGTATGGACAAAAACTTGGTAGAAATATTTTTTTCGTTGTTTCTACAGTTTTGAGTACGCTCGGTTACTTGTATTGTTTATTGTGGAACCCTGGTCCGGGGTCTGCTTGGTCGGTCTTCCTTATTTATGTGGCATTCGGAATTTCTGACGGAGTATGGCAAACTTTATTAATTGGTAAGTAATGAAGAAGTTATAAACTATCAACATTTCTCAGTTTTTTTACACATTTCAAAGTTGGAGTTAGATTACAAAAATTAATTTAAAGAAAAACGTCAAAGCAACAATTGCCACCAGAAGCTACTAAATCCATTATGGTAAGATTTTTACGCATTAACAGGTCATATTAATTGTGGAAGGTTTTATTACCCGTTCACTGATACAACGCATTACCAATTAATCACATTTCATAACTTAATTTGTTAAATGTCGTGTTCGTTATTTCAGTAATTTTACTTATTTTCTAGTGATATATCTTGAATACTTTGAGGGAAATCATGATGTGGCTGTTACATTGTGGAATTTTTGGTTGTTGCTGGGTTTTGCAGTTCAGTTTGGATGAAGTACTAGCTTGTGTGTATTTGTCAAAATATACATTCAATTGGGTCTACTAATCACAGGAATGCTTTTTTATGGTTTGTACCGTTAAATTCAATGAACTAAATTTATGACAGTGATAAACGATATTACCCCTGAAATGGCAAAAAAGATACACTTTGAGGTAAAAAAAAAAGAGGGCGGTAGGACATTATCGGAAAAGTCAGAATTACCAAAATACTAAAATGAAATTTGCTAAAGCTATGAATGATGTTTCGATGCATACATGATTTTAAATTAAAATCTAAATGCAATTGAGATTTACATTTGTTCCAACTATCTAACTTCGGAACCAGTTTTCACTTTCACCGTGTAGAATTTGTTATCCTATGTTTAATTTCTCAAGTATGGTGACGGAAGGTTGTCAATATCAAATACAACTTTCACTGTACAACTCACATATAAAGTCATCATTGCGATAAATACCCTAATGGATTTTGCCTGGAATAATACTGAAAACACGTAAATACGATATGGCTACGGAAATATGTCGAGTCCATGTGTTACAGGCATTGCTGAATATCTACAGAAGAGAAAAAGAGTTTCATCATCAATTGTTTCTGAAACCAGGTTATAGAATCAGTTTGATGAATGAAAGAATAGTTTTCAAGTAAGAAGAACATATTTGAGTAGCAAACGGACTCTTGGACTGTTTGTCCTAATTATTGTTATTGGCGATGATGATGATGTTTACTATCTTTGTTGTGACAATAAGTGGCGTTTTAAGAAAATGATATAAGAAACACTGTGGTTGTCAAAGGTGTTTAAGTACCGATAAGAACTTCTCTCATTCCTTTCTTAGTTCTTCTATAGCAGGCGTCATTTTATCCGGCCCGCAATAACACGAAAAAATGGCTAAATTTTTTTCCAAGGAAGATTTCCCCGAGCATCGTCTTCCTTGTTTATTTCGTAACATTGACCAATCAGCAAGATGCAAAAAAACGTGACGTAATAAAAAGCCTCTTCGCATCTCAGCTCAGATAACTTTTGTCATCCTGACAGATTTCCAGTCGTGGTTGTAAACAATACCTCGTTTTTGCGACTTTGAATGCTATTCGTTAGTTTTTGATTGTGTTTCGGAAATTTAAGTATGAATCAAATAAGTCAACTATCATTTGCATCCTTAGGAGTTGTAGTTTTAATAGTAGTAATAAAAAATTAGTCTAGAAATAGCTGTGAAAAAATAGGCTAAAATTCTCTACCGGTACGCAACGTTTTCTGCGAAAGATGCACTTGTACACTCGTGGCGCGTGCTTTCGACGAAACTGTTTACGTTTCTTGTGCTAAAATAAATGTTGAATGTGCATTTTGCGCTAACAGTACTATAATCCCTCGCGTACTGCTCCAATTTCATAAGTCACACTAACTTTTGTACTGCTCAAATGCGGATATTCATGTAGTATGTTACAAAAAAAATTAAAGTTCATCCGATTTGAATACAAACTGCGCCAGTGGATAGATTTGAGTGAAAATAGAAAACAGTACCAAGTTCATAAAAAACGGTCAAGAAATAACCGAGATATCGGAATTTTAGTACCGCCCGACATGGCAATTATTTTCATGAGGATTGTATTACTTTTTTGATAAGAACTGTAATAAATATGAAAATAAAACACATGTCAATCACTAATATTGAGACTATTTCGGGATTTTATTCTGGCAACGGTCATTGACACCGCCGAAAGATCGTCGCAAATAAACGCTGGAGTTGTGCATGATAGTTTAATTTGCACTACGTATAAAAGGGGGGAGGCGGAATTTTTAAAAGCGTCGAAAGCTGAGAAATGTATGCGCTAATGAGAAAAATCAAATACCAGATATGTTGTTTATTTTATCTATATTATGTCAAAATTTCATGGAATTCCAAGCTACAGCAGGCAGTCCGTAGTCGTTTTTAGCAGTAACAGTATTCCTACACGGCGTAACAGTACTTAGCAGACGTGAAGCGTACATTATTTTGGCGCGAAATAGCCGATTTTGTAACATTCCTAATTCATGACAGCAAGGTTTTGATAACAGCTAAACTCAGGATAGTTGTCTAGATATAGAAATCTTGTATATTTGTTTTCCTAGGATGTTTTTGATCTATATTCTGCGATATAGATAGAATTAAATATTCAAGTCTTCAGAAATGTAGAATATTTATTGTTAAATAAGTTGGATGAATTTCCCAACTTTTGTGAATTTATTTTATCGCATTGACAAAAATATTCATCCGGCCCGTGTCAACCCAGTTTGAGTCATACCCGGCCCGCGGTTAAAAACAGTTTGGTGACCCCTGTTCTATAGAAAAGGGCAATCTATTCCTTTGGTAACGGTATTATATAAGTTTTAGTTTTTTATATTTTTTTCACGTCAAAATGCTTGTATGTTATCAGTTTCAGAACAATGCTCCAGAACCGACGAACGAATAATCATAATTACGGATAAACCGATTTTTATATACTTGAAAATATTGCGATTGGTAAAACATTTCCCAATCTTAAACCCGTAATTAAAGGCACTCGTTTGTTAAGAATATCAGCTGGACTGGTTTATCTTTGAACTGGGTTTTGACAGACTGAGTATTTGAACTCAGAATACCATAGTATTGAAAAATAACATTCAGTAACTACGATAAATAATAAAGCAATAAACAAATTTATTCTGTAGATTGTCACAGCGTTTCATACACATGCACACACACAAACACACACACTTGTGTATATGTATTTGTTTGTGTTTTTCAAACACCAATATATGATTGATTTATATGTGAATATAACATGTATACGTATCATACAAAGAAACAAGTCATAAAATAAAATTTGCAACGCTTCTTCAAAGTACAATTACTGTGGTGTTGTATTTAAAAAAAACAGGCAAACCAATCGTTATTCACAGGATACAATAGCAGGGTAACAACATTTAGAATCTGCATATTTTTTAAGTATTGATGAAAAATTTCATGTCATGTCAAAAATGTCATACACATATAAAAATTATATCATGTGAGAGAATGCGTAATCGTTTATATGAAAAATTGCTTATTAATTGTTAAGTCAACATAGCTCAAAATTTAATTGAAATATATGGTATTTTTTTTGACTACACTTTAATTAAAGTTTACAGTTTAATATACTCCGTTCCTATGAAGCGATTAATTATTTTGACCAAACTACGCCGCTTTCAGTTTTCATAGTATTTATCACGATGACTCCCAAGTGCATCAAGCGCCGATCAATACCAAGTGCCAATAGTTAGGCGTTTCTCCAAAAATCTTTTTCCTCATCCATCCCATTGTCTATGTTACGTGATTAGGATATTACAAATATTTACGACATTTCGATATTAATAAAATTTTTGTTTTGAGGAATTAAATTATCTTCTAATATACCACCTAATCACAAAATATCTGCATATTTTAGCAGATGCAATCATATTTCAACCAAGTATTTTCATACATACTTTTCCGTACATAATAATAGATCGCCGACTGCGCACACCTACGAGATTCCACCTGATTTCTGAAACTCAACTATCTATATTCCATGAAAAATGATCATTCTATTTCTTTTTAAGTCATAAATTTTCTTTAACTTTACAACAATCAAATTAAGTTATTTCTGGGACTAAATATAGGGGCGTATAGTGAATCAATCTATTCATTACAAAATTGAGCGTCATTATTAAAGTCATTACTTCATGTCCGTATTGTTTCGAAATGAAGGGTTTTACAGATTTATTCTTATTAAAACCAATTTGTGGTGCACTCATCGAAAATCCTGGTTGGGCGCGCGAGTTATTTTAACCACAGTTTTCATTCTAAATCTGGAAAATTGAATATATATTTAATTTTTGCTAATATGTGATTATTAGCCACAAAAACTGTTTGAAAAACAATAAGTATCCGGCCATTTGATAAATGAATGATAGTATTCGAGCAATTAAGTATAAGTATAAGCAGAATAAACACAAAAAATGTAATCATGAGTCCCATAATATACCATTGAAAATACAACAAAAGTCAACCTAAAACTTTTGTCTTATATTCGACAGAATAAGACTTTATGAAACTATTTATTTGGCAAATAATCGATAGCTTCTTTCATTTGAAAAAATAAAGAATAGCAAAAGTTAATGATGGACCAAATTACCATCTGATAAGAGAACTATCTTGTCATTTATTCCACTAAATGTGCATTCTCAGATGTATTTGAGTACGAACTAATTGGTACGTATTGTGGCTAGCACCGGCAACAGGTGGATGATATCGGGCTGGGCTCAAAATCAAGATTTGATAAGGCTTGTTCACGCTCAAACATGACATTTATTTGGTTTCAAAGTACAATTACAGCTTGGTCCAGACGCGAAAAAGATGATGCTATTGCGTATTCAGAATAGGATATACTGTTTTTTTTTTTGGCTTCGTGACATGGTGGTTTGAACTGACTTATTTCTGGCTTTGAACGTGAGCATTTGCTAAGTTTAAATTGAAACCTCAATAAAAAACGCGTGATTACAAAAACGTTTGAACTGTCCGATCGTCTTGATTAAATGATATGTATATATCTCACAACATTTGTAGTTTCAATTACATATTGGAAAAAACAATTGTACTTTTAAAAGCTACACTTAAATGCATGATTAACACGTGACTAATAACTAAGTCTTTTCATATGTTTTAAACTTTGTTTTCTTGTAAAAAAAAAGCAGCTGCCATCAACTCGAAAATGTAAAATGTACTATATTTTAAATTCCAAGTGAAATATTCGAGCTTTAGTTATTATGTTTTAACCGGATAATGTTGTCTAAAATATCATGTTATGCTTCACAAAAAAGTCATTCAGATTCAAGAACATCAGGAAACATGGAGAGAAAAGTGTAGTGAAGCCGCCTTAGCTTACAAATAATTCCTAAGTAACGCATACGCTGAAGTTTTCAGCATAATACTACTTTAAAAACCCTTTATTATTTATTACATTGTGGATTTATCTGAGTTTAGAGTTTTGAGAAATGTCTCGTAGGTTGCGAACTTCCAAACACGATAATTTTTGACTTTGTGTCTAAATAATTATCTTTAATTGGGTCAATTACAATACTAAACCACGAAGCGGCGTTGACCACACTCATTAAAATCGGAAGAACTTTTGTTGTTCGTGACCGACAATAAAAACAAACACTATTTTAAGGTTTCCAGCAATATTCTTCAATTCCAGTTTTTTTTTAATGATTTTTTTATTCCCATACTCCGAACAGGAGGGTAGACCAGTGGGTTCAACTTTTTAGGTGGAACGGAAGCCCGTTGAACATCCCAAAGACCCAAAGAACGCTTGTGCAATTTTATTGTCTTTTATTGTTAGAATTATATAAACCATAATTATATATAGAAGCAAACACAATACTGACAAATCAAAATTACATTTGAAGAGTGGCAATATTAGTGGAAAACATTTGATTACACTTAAACAGTATTTATATAAATTAACACAGACTTTCGGATTTGCATAGCTACTTGCGAAACCCCAAGACTGTACTGGAGGAACTCTTGGATGCCGTGGAACCCTGGTTGAAAACCACTGGTCTTTACAAACAGGCTTTAATTGCACTGCAGTTACCATTTTGGGACAATCGGGATCTTTGATCTTATCATAAACCTACTCAATTGAGTAGGTGAGTTTGTCTTATTTTCACTTCGAATAAGTATTAAAGAAATTGTGCCATAACACATACAGAACGCCCAATATTTAAAGATCAGTAATGATATATATATATATATATTTAATAATCATACGTCATGTTCAACCGTGTGAACTTGAACTTGGTGGCATGAAACTAAAATTAATACACAAACTTTTTAGTACAAAGATTACTGTTCTACTTCTGAATTTGAAGATTACATTATTTCAAGAAAAGTTTACCAACATTTTCTTATCGTGAGTAAGTACAAGTTGTGAAAACAACCTAAACTGATCAAGTCAGCTTTTTCCACGTCAGTAAACTTGTATGCTCTTTGATAATCAACAAAGTGATCTTGCAGGTTGCAGGTAGTTGATTGCCTAAGGCAATTAACCAAGTCCGACTTTCCGTTTACTACTGTATTGAATACTTTATACGTAGAGTATAATCTACGGGTTATATTACATATCATATATACGACATTAAGTGGAAGGGACGCGAATCAAGATTTGACTGCCTATTTTATTTGAAGAACTTTCTGCACTTCCTGGACAATTATGATTAACATTTCAAGCTTTTCCATAGAATTGGTAGAATTCAAATAGGAAAGTTACGGATAAAGTAAATAAAAACTGGATGGTTCTGTTATGGCGGGAATGGTTTATCATGGTAGCATGTAACACTCGTTTTAACATATTTATGACGTTATTCTCAAATATGTCTATTGACAGTGCAATAGTGTTGTACTAAGGGCAAGAGCATCTTGGCAAATGACAATGGGAAATGAACATTTTCGTTATGACTGAGTATATACATAAGTGAAACTAAATTATGAATCTTATGACATGTCTATTTTTCATAGAGATAATAGTTTCTGGTTGGCGACGATTTGTAAAATTCTTATTGAAAACGATATTCATATATATGATGTATTGGTGAATTAAAGTATTTCAGTCACTATTGAAATAAACTAACGATGTTTAGCTTTTTAAAGAATGCTTGGTCATCATCCAAATCAAAATTTTGTTTGTTACTTGTTTTCTCGAAATAAAAAATGGCCAAAAAATAATAAAAATAGACTTGGTTCATTTGTCATTTTATAATTTATTGTCATGGCCTCGGATCATTTATACCGAAATAAAGTGTTGTCATATTTTATATTATAATGATCCGTAATTATCCAATGATCTAATATCGATTTAAGAAAAAAATAAGTATTACATATTGCATGTGTATGTTCATCAAATATTTTGTAGCAGGTGACGCATTCATTATATCACATCATTCCATATTTTGTGAACTTCATTCTTAGTAATTCTGCTTTTCTCGAAAATTTTACATGTAATTGACAAAATGAATCTAAACAAGTAATTTTAGAATGAAGTTGATGGCAAGTTCAATATGTTCCACCAGTGCTAAACTCGTTTCTATTCCAGCCATGACCAATGACATCAAGGTTACATTCTCTTACAATGTACGCGACTATGTCACAAACGTATAAGTGTGCGGCGATTGTTCGACATAGTACATAATAATATGGATTATTTCTCTTGTCAAAAGACTCGATGTCGTAATTATGAGGCAGATGGAATGATATCATTATTCAGGTTATAAAAAATGATGAAATCAAATTTTATGTCCACGTGCGTGGTGTTATTCAGATCGATTGACGCAAGTGAAAAGATGTCGTCTAATTTTGTGAATGACTTTCCAAGGTAATAAGTCTTCAAGTGAATTTTCTCCCTATTTAATCATCCTAAAACAACAAAAGCAACTTGTTGGCGGCAATCAAGTATTTCTACTTTTATGATTGATCCACGTTTTCAATACAAAAGAATATGAAGGAATTTTGATTAAAATGTGCGATTTGTACATTTCCAGACAGCTAAATAGTGAGTTTAAATTAAAGCACAGAAAAACTTTCAGATCTTTGCGGCATATATCCAAGCAGATTGAAAATATCCTAAATGCATAACACTAAATAAAGCAATTTTCTAATTTCCATGCTGATCAATGTTTTTGAAAACAGCCAACTAAAAACAAATAATATATTTCAATTTTTCAAATTTTTTATTTGAACTATTACATTTTTTATAAAAACAAAATCATTTTAATAAATAAGTGCAACTAATTTGAAGAAATACATTGGTTTTGAAATATTGCAAATAAGTGAACATTAGTTTAAGTGAAACACACAGTTACGAATATTTTCAAACATTCTAAATTCGACATTGTCAAAAACACGCAAACTCTGGTATTTGTGTAAATATAGCTATTAAAGAATAGCAAAATTTAGATACTTTTCCTGTCAACTTTATAATATTTTTACTCAAAGCCTGCCTAAACAGTAAGTGCAAATATATATATATATATATAACCCCGATTTTAAATCAGGCCGTTCTTTTTCCACACTCTCATACAAACTGCCTCAAGGCTTTCTTCGTCAACATTCATTACCATTCCTTCAAAATCTCTGGAAACTTCAATTTCTCTTTTTCTTCTATCGTGTTTTGGATGGTACAGACTTCTCCTCTTTCTGCTATTTTCTTCCGAATTATCTGGACCATCTCTTCTGTATTCCGGCCTAACAAAATCAACTTCTTCGGCTCCTATAGAATTTGTTGTCTCTTGCGGATTATCAGATACTTTTGTTGGCTTAGGTGCATCGCGCAGTTTTTCAACAGGAATATGGCCAATGTATTTTCCCTCTATTGTCTGTTTAGGATTTCTGTTTCCTGTTTTTCGTCCTCCTCGGACATTTTCAGTTTCTCTTTCCACAAACGAGGCAGTTGGTCTTTCCTCGCTTTCTTCTGTTGGCCAAGAAGATTCCTCCGGTTCTTCACCGAGATGTTTTAATTTTTTCCGTAAATCACTTATTTCCTCCTTTCCCTCAAAAACTCTTCTTATATCCCAAGGTAAAGTTGGATTGCCTCGCAAGCTTATTTCTCGAAGTCTCGGTGTGTTTTGCAGAAGATTCTTAAAATGAAAACAAACATAAAAATTTGAAAACTTTGCCACATAATGATACTTTCACGTGTGATGTAACTTTTCATCTGTTCATAGCGTCTATAAAGCATTCAGAAGCGTATCAATTTGCCCAACGTTACTTGTTAGTATTGACAAAGTTATTAAATTGATTGAATTGAACAATGAGCAGTTGAACATTAATAATATTTACCTCTGGTAATGTCGAAATACAATTATGTTGAAGTCCTAAGGCTTCTAATTGTTTATTCTCACTAAACATATTTTCTGGAACATCTGCTAGAAAATTTGCATCGAGCGAAACAAAATTCAAAAATGGATTGTTGTCGAATAAATGCTGATTAACTTTGTAAAGTTGATTTCCGTTTAAATAGACCTGTATAAAGAAAAAATAAAATCAGTTTCCTATATAAATATTCCAAAAATCTATAAATATTTTTTCAAATTTTCGCTAAACATGAGCAACCAATTTTTAATGAATCAACCCAGTACATTTGTATAAAAATGCCAAAATGACGGCTCGAATATATTTTTAAATTTCTTGGCGTGATTTTTTCAAATTGATGTTTGTTCTTGTCCGGGACAAATGAATCATTATTTAATTTTTGACAGATCATCGACTATTGCACGCAATATTGAACTATTGAACAATATTCTCAAATAAACATTATTGAAAAACTGTTTAAAATGAATTTCAGAATTGGAATTTGTGTTATATTCAGCTCTACTTCAACAGTAAGCTATTAGGATTCATTATTTCGGTTTATTTCTGATGTTGAAGGTGAATGCCAATTTGTACTTAATAATTTATGAAGTTTTATTAGAGACATTCGCATGAAAGTAAATAGGAAGAAATAAAAATAGGTGACCAACATAAAAATTAAAATGGGTATTTTATGAATAGTTCAAATATTTTTTAATAAATCTTACTCTTCGCAAATTTTCATTTTCTTTAAAGATATCTTCGGGAAGAAATTCAATATAGTTGTTGCTCAGATCCACAGTTTGTAAATAAAGTAAATTTCGAAACAAGTCTTCTTCCAATTCAATAAGACGATTTTCTTTCAAATTGATTTCTCTTAGTTGAAGTGTACTTTTTAGAACTAAAGCTGTAAATATATATTTTACGTCAGTATTCTTGAATACAGTATTCAAACCTCAAACAAATTGAATTGCTTTTAACAAGTTCTGTAAGAAAATAGCATTTCCCAACGTTATACATGACATGTTTCCGAGTTTGTCTGACATGTGAGTTAGTGTATCTTAACATTTAGGATTACTCTCTCTCCTCAACTAAAATGTGTTTACTCTTAAAAAAAGTGTATGAAATCAAATTCTCAATACCTGAAATATATTCCAAATTGTTTGAACTTAAATCCAATTTTTCTATTTTGTTGTTTGCCTTGAATAAGTCATCTGGCAATCCTGGAATTTTATTGTCGTTTATATAAACCTCTTTTAAATGTGGATTGTTGACAAAGAAATCTCGTGGAACATCTTCACATAAGTTGTGACCAAGATTTACTTTCCTTAATCCCCTCGAGGACCGTAACGCTGTGTGATGTATTTCCGAGATGGAATTTTGACTGAGGTCGACTTCACGCAGACGATATGAGCGTTGGAACAAATTCCACGGTATGGTTCTAGAAACAACAAAGTAAAATAGCCAAGTTAGCTTTCTAGTACTTCTAAAATGCCCAACCAACCATTTGTTGCATTAGAATGCTGCCAAATATGTTCTGAAAAAACGTGTAAACACTTTTGATGAGGTTACTCAGTACAACAATAATTAAATTAGAAATATTTCCCAAGGCCGAGTTATTACGGCCAAATGCAACATATCCAAAAGTGCTGGGAAAGTTGCAATTCAATGAATTGTATATTTCAATACATTCGCAAATTCAGTAAGTTCACATAATATATACCACTAGCCAAATAAAAAATGATTACTTTAAATCATTCCGACTCAGATCGACCGATTCCAAACGTCTAAGATCATGGAAAAGTTCGCCTGAGGTCGTATTTAACTTGTTTTCTGACAACGTGATTGTGATAAGATCCGGCATAGTTTGAAACACCGACTCCAATTTTTTCATATTTTCCAATCTGTTGTTAGCTAGGTTTAGATGTGCTACGTCACACGGCAGAGGCAACGTATCCAATGATGTGAGAAGTGCACTTTCGCAATTAAAAATTCTGTAAATTGAAAAAATCATCATCGTATAAATTTCATTAATACTTATTGCTTTAAGGGTTCAAGAAATCAGAAATGAGAAATTATTGTTTACAAATCTCTGAAGAATTGTTTTGAATTTCAAACAACTCTATTACAAACCACCAGTTTTATTTATTAAATCAAATAGGACTTTCAATCTGGTGGAATGAAAACGAAAATTAAAATGAAAGTTATACAAACAAAAATCGTGACGAAATGTATTGCAAATTTTACTTAATTAGATGTTTAAGTGTAATTATATGTGACTTTCTTTGAAATGAGGCAATTATTGTTTGTGATTGTAAATACTTATAGTAAACAAAACACTCGAATATCAAAATTGTCCTATTTGTAAGTGTATTTTGAGAAGACACAGCCTAACCGGATGAAAGATACACAAGTGAAATCATAGAAATTACAAGTACTTTTTATCTTGGTCCCAGAAGCATTGCCCGTACGGTCTTTTGTCTTCGCACCATTCAGTGTTACTTCTATCCAAAGATTTTTTGAGTTTAATAACTTCTTGTTCTGTTATAAATAAATAACAAAAACGTTAGTAACTATTATTGAAAGTATTTTAATAAATTAATAAATGACATTTCTTACCACTTCTGAATACTCGCTGCAAGTATTTCAATTGGCCTTTTCTCTCTGATTGTCCGAGCAAATTGACGTAACTCAATCTAAAAAGTTGCAAATAAGACTGCGATAAATAAACTATTTTTGATGCAATCTTGTCCCCATTACTGTCCAGACGGTGTTTCAGCTTTGTGACTCACAGTTCCATTATCCACAGTCATAAAACGCGCATTTTGACTATTTTACTATGCGCTCACTGATAGAGTAGTTCATTGATAACAGGGACGTATGAAATATGTAAGTAATCTGTGTGTATATCAAAAGAAAATGAAACAAATGGAACTACTTTATTTTTAATGTATTTTTTTTTCAATCTTGTTGACTAGAACGGTGATATTTCTAATTTTACTGATCATTGCAAAATTTTGCGTAGACTAATACAGTAAGTTATGCATAATTTCAAAATAATAAATATCGGCATTATACTTCCTTGTGTGAATAAAAATATGAAAAAGAAAATTAACGAAACATCATTTTTTCATTTATTACACTTCATAAACTTCATCACATTTCTGTTTAATTTAATTTAAAAAATGAGCATAAAAATTATAAAGTGAATTTAATTAAAAATATTACCCTCTGTTGAAATCAAAAACTCCTGTTGGTAAACAGTTCATTTTATTCGACCATATTCTCACATCTTCCAACTTTGGGTTGTGCCAAAATACTTGAGTAGGCAGGGATACTAGTTGATTTACGCCTAAATTCACCTTCTTCAAACTGTAATTCTTTTCAAATTGCCGTGAAGAGATGCACCTATAAACATCAAAATTGATGTATTATTTCGTTATCAAGTGAAAATTGTAGCCGGAGGGTCCGAAAGGTGTACTGAACAACCAAATTTACTTGATTGCGGTGTACTTTACAAGTAACGATTTTATTACTTGGCAAAATGTATGTTAGTGAACTGTTATTTTTTGTTAATTGTGTAAAAGACTGTCCAAGCTATGTATTAAATTCACGCAGTATTTATGTTACAATTCTTTATCAAGGAAACATAGAGGGGTAGTACACACGAAAACGTTGGAGGGATTTATTAACATTTCCTATATTTTCGACAAAAATACTGTTAAAATGTTATTAGTAATAGAACATTTGAATTAGATATAATTCCCTTCCATTTATTCCATATTTATGCGATACCCACTATGATTAAAATAATTGTTTCGAATAGTGTCGAACGCAATGAAATTACATGTGCAATTTTCTTCAACAGTTATGATAAATTTTATCAATGAAAATGAACAAAAATTTGCTATTTATGACGTATAAGTTTTTTTAAATAGATTCTTGAAAGCAAAAATGTAATATTATGTGTGATTAATGTAGCAAATTATTGCGTTCATCAAATCAACTTACCGCAATTGATTGTTATATAGTTTTACTGTATGCAATCTAGTGTTACGTTGAAATAGCGTTGGCGGAAGATTTCTGATTTTGTTCCAACTGAAGCTGACATACTGCAATAATCGGTTGTTCCTACAGAAAACAAAACAATATAAAAATAAGTTACGATTATAGGTTATAAACGGAAAAACGAAATTTATTTGGAGATTGACATTATAATCAATTTACGTTAATGATTTTTCCGTAAAAAAAACATTTTAGTTCTTTCTGTAAAATTATATATAGGACATTGCGATATGGCTTGTTGGTTAGAGCGACGGACCTTAACATGTTGGCAATTGGCGTAGTGGGTGAAAGATTGCGAGTCCAAGTTACATGCTCAATCAATATGGAATGGCCGAAAAGTGTCTGTCTATAATAGTAGTTCCTCACGTTCAAGTGACTTATTGTTTGGGGCTTGCTTGAGGTAAAGATGTGAAATCGTCTCATATTATTATCAAACAATTAATAATAAATCAACATGTTACTGAAAACGTTGCAAAGGTACAGAAATGTATATGTCGCCAATGTAGCTTTTATTTATAAACTGTAATAGAAAAAAATAAATGTTGCAAAAATTTTAGGCAATCAATTTTGTAAGTCTATAATTGTAGAAAACAGAATAGAAGAAATAAAAAAAGTGAGATGACATTTCAGACTTGGTGAAAAATCGATTTTTGCGAAAATCGTGAAAATCCTATTTGAAACCTTGATTTAAAAATAGTAACGTTTGCACAAAAACACCGGGCTTCCGTTTGTAGACATTTCACGAAATGTGCAAACAGATTCGCATAGTTACTGAACATTCTTTTACTACAAATGATGACGATATCGGGTAATTTATCAAATCATTCGCGTTCTGCATTTAAATTATCAAATAAATACTAATTTGTATATTTAACGCATCATTTTGACACTGCAAAGAATTAGTTTTTATAACTAATGTGTATGATCCACTTAGAAAACAACAAATAATGTCACGAATATGCGTCATGCTAACGTAATTGTGGCGTTGCAAATTGGATATCGTGTACCTACATTTAACGTGTCATGTCCCTAACATTGGAAATTTACGCTTACTATAAGCGTTATATTCAAATTTCTTTAATACTGAATTATTAAAATTTAGAATTTCTCTTTGCAAAAGTAATATTTACGCATGTAGAAATGATAATATCTTTTAATAATAAGGAACATTTGTTAATACAAAGGTGTTGTTAGTTAAAATATTATATTACTTAATTTTTATCTTTGGATCTGTTCAAAATTATCAATGTAAATAAATGGAAGTCAGGAGAAAAAAGAGGAAGAAAACGGAGAGTAAGTAAACAAGAGAAGTCATTCAACTATCAATCAATCTTAATTTATAGGTTCTGAAGAAAAATTCAATTTTAAATGCAATGGAACAGTTCCATGAGGGAATATATTAAAACTTGAACTTGAAAACAAATCTGAAACTTGGCACTATTTCATAAAGGCTAAAACTAGCTGAAAAAAAAACGCATTTAAAGTTATGATCGATTAAATGAAAAATTCCTTCTAAATCTTAAACCCGCAATAAATCTGAAATATTTCCCAATTGTATAATTTTTGTATATGAAAGCCGTGTCATTATTGCGCTTTAAAGTCAAAAACCGATATTAATACCGGTGTTAAGCCATGTAATTGAAAGGCGACAAATGGAGATTTACCAAATAATTGTAAGTTTTTATTCATAGTTTCTCACGTAGTTCAAAGGGGATCCTGAGATATTGTAAGAAAGTAAACAAATGTGACCTTTGAAAGAGTTAATAACGCTTAATATTTTTATGAAATAAAATCTATTAATATGAATATATAATTTACAAACTTATAACGTTTTTCTAAGATAATATATGAATGACCATAAAATATAATTGGAGGATAACGGCGATCTTGGATAATATAGTCAGCCATTATGGAAAAATTATGAAATAAATCCAGTTTGTTTAGACAATAAATTCGGCGCACTTCGAATAAGTAGCCTGGAGCAAAATTTTACATTTATCACTTGTTCCATAAGAAATAAGGCAATGGTAAAACGACTACGGTACTATAGTTTCTGACTATGGTTCCTATGAATTTTAATATTGTTTTAGTGTCAATATGTGGATATTAATTTGATGATATAAAGGTATAGTGTGTGCTTATATCATTGCTGGTTAATGGTTGTATAGTTGATTTAAACCTAAACCTGGATTGATAGAATCTTGCTGCAAAACTATCATGACCTCGTTGTTACATTCTTGCCCTTACTGAGCATCTCATCGTGACCTTTGCTTATTTTAAACATCGCTCTAATAGTTTGATAACATTGTTATCCATACAATTCATCTTTATCAGTTTATCATATCAAAGACGTGTACACTGCCATGAAATTGATAAACTGTAAAATAGCGTTTACGCACGCAATCCAACGACCTACGCAAATTTCGTGTGTAAAGATCGATGACAACTTCGATATAACATTTAAATTTAAAATTGAAATTCAAACTTACCAAAACAGTCTTGGCGGTATTGTTTTGATATCATTTTCCCATAGTTCAATTGTAGTTAACTTTCTGTTGCGAAATAAGAACTTTGGAGGCAAAGTTGTGAGTTCATTCCGAGATAGACGTAGCATTTCCAAATTGACGTTTCTCTAAACATCAAAATATAATAAACGTTTACACAAAATAAATTATTTAGATGACGTATATAGTAACATGATATAAATTCTGTTGTATTCATGCAAAACAAGCCTTATTATATAAATTAAGTGACATTGCTTGCAATGAATATTAAGCAATTTTATAAACACATAGACTAGGAAATTAAAATTTACTTTAAAATTCCAAATAATGTGTTTACCTCATTTTTCTAATAATGAATTAATGAGAATAGTTTTAAAAATCATCCAATTTCTTCCAAAAGGAATATTAAATAAATCAATACAATGCTTCTCAAAAATTAAATAATTTTTGAGCATTCAAGTCGCAATTTGTTTTTGTATTTACTCACATAAAAAAGCTTTTCTGGAATTGCCTTTATACGATTTCCATGTAAACTTATGATACGTAATTTTCTGTTGTACGAAAACATGGTTTCCGGAACTTTATCAATATTATTAAAGTCCAGTAATATTTGATTCAAATATGGCATAGCTTTGAAACCCTGGAAATAATAGACAACAAATGATAAATCCGATTGGAAACATTACATATAAGAATAAAACTGTTTCTCTAGATGATAACGTGAAAATTATTTTGTATTGTACTTTGACGAGATAAATGACTATATATGACTTCAAATAATTCAAAATCTAATATGATTAATAAGCTACCAAATGTGTTTTTAATTATTCCATTGTTGTCAGCATGGCTATTTTATATCCGTCATTATAGATTCATAAATATCACGACAAGCTATTTTAAACATGACATTTAATGAATTATAAGTTGTTGTGTGCAATTTAGTATTGTGAATAATATCACGGTAGCATTTCTTTTGGATAGTAACACCCGTTAGTAACATAAAATTACGAAGGAAATATTTTATTCTGAATTATCATTCATATGATGACAGCTACAATTACAACTTTTGTGGCTTACCGCAATTAATTCTTCTGCGTTTGATATTTTGCAATGCCTTAAATCCAATATTCTTGCAGATTTTTTAGAAATCTTTTTTAGTCCACCTAGTGAACGAATGTTCTTCAATTTACAGTCCAATTTTTGTTCATGTTGTATCCAACGACATCTATAAAAAAGATTTTTTAAACAGATCACAAAAAAACGTGCAATCTCACTAATAAAAAAACAGTTGGAAACATTATACAAGTTGGCATAAAGTAACATTGGAAATGCCCATTATCCAATTTGAGTAAACATTTTTGTTGCAAGAGTTATTTTGCCGGATGTCTTAACTTTTAAGACATTTGGATAACGTGATATGTGTGCACGATTACTGCAATGAGTTTGCAATATTTTTTGTATTGATTGTAGTTCATTAATCTTCTCGCAATCCCTTTACCCATGACTAACAGAATATTAAAAAGCGAATAGAAATATCATAAGTATTTGTCAATTTGATGGAGTATATTAATGCGAATACATAAAATTAAAAATAATACACAAGAAAAACAGTTTTAGTGATGTTTTTCGTATAATTTAACAAACACAGGTGTTACAATAAGAAATCAGAATAATAGTTGGATATAGAAATTGGTTATGGGTGTCTCATACTAATAATTTACAGACACTAAGCCGAATTTGTATTAATATGCGCATATAGGATTTTTATATATTAGTCAATAGTGTCTTTCCCAAACCATGAAAATGGTATTGATCATGATATTGTCAAGATAATTCGTTCTCTACTATAACTTATATGCTATAAATTATTCAAAAAGCATATTTTCTAAGAACTGCTGCATAAATTTGTAAATTGATATGATGACTAGATGTCAAAATATAGCAGAAACGTGGACTTAAAATGCATAAAATTAGATCAATTTATTTTTAAGTAAAGTTTGTCTGGCCACGCGCTGCCCACAGCTGATATTCATTTTCCCGACACATATTCAATCGCGTTTTTTGTGTGGTCCACTAAAATATCTATAAATACTTCCAGTGTATAACAGATTCACGCAAAACAAACTGAATACATCAGTGTATTGAAATTAGTGTTTGAATTAGTGCGTACTTTTATGATATTATTATTTTGATTGGTCATTCTTAGACCATGAAAAAGTTGCTCAAATATTATAATTTCGCATCTAATGCAACTTTTTTCCTTTGTAAAAATTATGGGATAAACTTACTGTGGCTGACAAATTTTGGTTCATAGCGTTACTGAACAAAGCTAAGAAACATGAATATATATATGATAAAATATTGTCCCACAAATCTTAGAACAATTAGAACAGTATTAAATTTTATTTTGACACACTTATATTACCACATTTTTAAATTACAATAATAATTACTCTGCGCAGTGAAAATGTTTCAATGGAATACTTTTGGTTGAGACGTGTTAGTAGACACAGAGTCTGGCAATTCAATGTAAGCTCATTGTCTAGGAAAGTCAAGGATATGCATGTCCAGTATATAACAAATCTACACTTTCTATAATGTTTAAATAAGCATGCTATTTTACTGTACGTATGTTCTTTAAACCTAATGAAAGCGTAATAAATTTTCATTTTTTTTCTAACAAAATTTTTTACGTAAAGTCTATTTTATTGCTCATATTGCATAATTAAGGATTGTATATCAAATTTACTACTAAATTATCAATAACTGTTATCAATTATGTTTTTTATATAAACTAATTTGTTTACTTACGGTCCATAGGTTCCACGTCTGAATCTGTCGCCAAATTTTTGTTTTGATAGTCTTTTTAATAAATGTTCCCCTATAATAGTGTTTCGCGGGTTGATGTATCTTTTCTGTTGATTAGCTTCCCCGTATCCGCATATTATGAAAATTAAAATTGAATATATCAATATGATATATGACATTTTAAATCTTTTCGGTCCGTCGATTATATTATGATTGCAAAATTCAAGCGTTCTCGACAGAATTATTTGAGAGTTGTGTCCTTCCATTTGTCGACGTATTTAAAATAAAAAAACTTTTAAACTAAAACTGAAATGGACAAGAAACAAAAAGCATTGTTACGCTTGTTCCAACAAAATATCTAACTTCGAAAACGTCGATCCTATCTGATTCATCTGATCAAATTAAGTCTAGAATATCAGCATATTACTTGGCAAGCTCTGTCAAATAGCACTATTAAACCAGGTTGGCTAGACATACATGAATGCATGTCAAATAGAAACGCATGTTCAATAGCCTACTCGGTATAGCGAAGTCGTGACTTTCGGAATTAATCTGCTATTCGATGTTTTGAAAGTAACAGCCTTCTAAGTTTCATACTAAATCACTGTCGAATATAGCATTAATAAAAGCTACACATTGATCACATAATCAATTAACTTTCTGTCCAAGTTTACACATATAATATACAACAAAATCATGGTCTTTATTAACATGATTAATTACTTATTTCGGTATAAAGCATTAGCTTGCATCGAACCACAAACCGTGTACGAGGCAAACTGATCAATCGCACACCGATCGCGCGTTGTCAAAACAGATATGCCGGTTCTGCCGGTGGTTATCACCTTTATATATAAACGCCTTTTTCTCGACATTTTTTCCTAAAATATCAAATTTTAACCACCAAATACGTTGTCAAAAATATTTAACTTTGATTTCGTAACACAGCCTGTTGGAATTTTAAAAAGACGTGATAAAAAAGCAACAATGAGAGATAATACACAATTGAAAAAATCATTCCTTTGTTCATACTTAGACTTGTGGGACGTAGTTGAAAGCTAAACATCCACACTTTTCAACGCCTAGAACTACTGCTAAATTTCAGCGAATTTAAAATATTCAATTTTTTTTTTACATTTTTTTCTGTATTCTATACTGAGTTTCGAGTTCGATGATGTTCTGTAATAATTCTAGTTTGCAATTTGTAAAAAATTCTAAATGTTATTGAACCCAACTTAACCTGAAATTAACTGATTGGCAGGTTTTGGAGGTTATATTATTGTTAAATATTTGTACATAGTTTTATCTTATTTAAATGAAAAGCACATTTTTCAAACGTAGCACATTCGGATCACTGTCTGCAGCCAATATGATAAGTTAGGTTTACTGCAGGATTGGCGTATATTCATTGATAGCTTTCATCCAGAAGTCTCAGAAAAAAGTTGCCATTTAGTTTACGTCAATATACTTGGCAGAAAAGTATTTTCTATATATTTTTTTTCAATTTGTCAAATTCTAAAATTTTCATATTAACAATTTCGTGGAAAAAATGATGGAAAAATTGGATAGCATCATTAAAGCGTGAGATGCCTCTTGAACTATTTTCCGAGTGAATAAATTAAGCAGCAAGAATTTTATATAAAGTTATTAAAACGTTTATTAAAACGTGCTTAGCGCAGTTTTGTTTGTTATATGCATCTCTTCCAAGCCTTCACAATGTTTTCAGATTAATAAATATACCATGAATTCAAAACGGAATTGCGATATATGAACATAAAATTCTATCCCCTTTTAACAGGAAATATATTCTTAGCACCTATAACGCCGTATCAAATGTATAAATTGATCAAGTTGCCGGAAATCTAAAATGTTTACTGCAACATGTCGAGTCGGATAAAGATTTGGCATGGTATACATAGTATCTTTTGAAGTAATATTTGGTCATATTCTAAATCTGGAACATTACATCATACTATTTAATCATCAAAGAACGATATATTACAATATAATAAAGGTGTAATCATAAATTTGATTCTGTTTGTGCCATTAAAGTTTTTTAGAATGAGTTGTACAAATTGCATTTTATAGATACATTTATCATTGAGGAATGACGGATCGACAGACAAGATGCATGTAGTTCAATATTATATAAACCTGTTCTACAATGAACGGTTTCGGGCATAAAATGTGGTTGTAATTTGTATATCACGCAAATTATCACCGGTAGTTGTGTGAATTATAAACTTTTTTAGCTTCCTCCAGGCTATTTAATAAAATATTTCACTCTAATAAGCAACTGCTGCTGAAAGGATTATCGAGGTAACCGCGCTCAAATCAGATTGAATTTTAATAATTGAAGTCGAATTAAAAAATATGCTTTGTTGTAATACACAAATTATTGAGCATTGGCAAATAATCTTTAAAAAGGCTGTTAACTCAATAATTTTTTAATATCGGTGGACCATATGACCAACTTCCGACATCTAGCTGGACCACACACACATAAAAAAAAATTGTATACAACGAATTAAAGTAGTAATAAAGGCACCGAGAAAACTGCGAAAGATTTAACGAAGCGACGAAAGCAAAAAAAAACATTATGTGTTTTACCCATGTGGGCGCCTTTTCCAACATAAACTGTCGGATTATGATGTTATGCTTGATTGTGAGGTCTGACTGTTGACACGGGCCACACTAAATAGATTGGCGGGCCGGGTTGTGGCCTTCTGTTGCACACCTCTGGTCTACCCTATATTACCAAGTGACCCAGCACAAAAGTGTTAAAGTGTTAAACATATAAAGGTCTATAGCATCCATTAGACTTGACAATGCAATTACAAATACCAAAATTCGTCGCAGTTGAGGCAATATTTCAATATAGTGGACATAATTACTGTTTAATTCAAGAACATTTTCTCTCACTTGAACGATTTTAAAACATATAACCATCAAAAAATTCATTACAGAATACTGTATAAAATAAACACCGAGATTCAAAAAGAAAGAGAATCTGGTTTAACTGCTGTATTGTGTTTCAACATCTCCATATGTTAACGTATATATCTGTATTGAACGTTACGAAAAACTGCTATAAAATACAGCGATGGAATCTTTTAAAAGCAATATTTATTACCTATGCCTTATCCAGGTATATCTCATCAACTTAGTGATGCATGAAGATCAGAAGAAGGCTTTGAGTACTCATTCATATAAAAAATATTTCAAAGTTTAAATTTTGATATTATCTCTTTTAACTTTGAAAATATCGTTTCATGGTCGCCTGACAAAAACAAATAATGAACCAAGCTATTAAAAATCTCAATTTCATACTAATTAATCGTTGTTCAATATTAGTCAAAATCAACGTTATATTGACGTGTTTTTGCATTGCTAAAATTCCAGTTTAAAAAAAAGGTCAAATCAGTTTATAAAACGTCTGAAAACGTATAAGACAAAAAATATTATTAAAAATGAGAAACATGGCGACGATCTTCAGTTTCCAATTACCAGTCCTAAAAAATATAACTTAAACCTAAAACGGAAATGACAAAAAATTGTCGTGGTTTTGTTTAAAAACGTGAAATGTTTATTGGGCATGACATATTTATAAATTGGGCATCCTTTAGAAAGACGAGACTACAAAGAAAAACAAAGGGAAATTTTTTGTCAGTCATTAGTCAGCGGGGATTTGGATAGCAAACAAACACCTCAGAAAAATGCCCAATCTGTCAGTGTACCCAAATGCGTAAATTGACTGCGCATAAGAAAGTGTTTTATCATCCAAATTTTTTTAAATAAATTAATAAAATTACAACATGCAAATATATATCAATTCCTTGCCAAAAACTTTAACATGAAAAGGTCATAACTTTTACCAATGGCTTCATTTAATGTTAGACGATTTGATCGAAATGCACGAAGTGTCCCACATCTTTCCGTTTCCAAATCACGGATTTAAGACTGTTATATAATATCGTAAATTCAATACAAAAATTGTTTCGCGTCCAAGTCAAGTATATTCGTGAATTGCTTTCTTGCATTGGTGATCATTTTAACCAAATACTCGTAAATAAGAAAAATGTAAAAACTTGAATTTCCTGTTCCATCTTAAATTAAATTGTCCGTGTTTTCTGATTGAATTATAGGTCTGTATTATATGACTGTTCCTCTTCAATTTTTGCGTTGATTCATTCTAATTAGTTAGTAACCTAAAATATTAGCATTTAAATATGCTGATGTACAAAAGTTACTATTATTATTCATGTCCATAATGTTCATATCAATAGTAAAAGTAATTGATAGAATAGTCACTAGCATTTGCAGTTGGAACTTGATCACTTTTTGTTTATAAGATGAATAATTAAAAAAGTTACAAAACTTCCATTATCTCATTCGACTGGAAGCTTATTTAAAACTTAATTTATGATTATTTACATAAATGACTTTTTGTTATAAAAGTTTCTTTAAGTAATAAAAATCTCACGATCAACTTATGATAATTGGGGACTGAGATTCGATAAAATCCGATTCAAAAAGATTTTAAACCTTGTTATTTTGGAGGGTATAGCTGCTACACCGCTACTTTTTATACATGATTTCTTTTTCCTTCCGAACTTTCTTGATTAAAGATCAATTGGAAACAAAGGTGTTATTTTTAACAAAGATTAGATGTAATTTTGGTTTACAAAACAACGGTTTGGTCGGAAAAGAAACTTGAATCCCTATAATTAGTCAAAAATAATTAACAGTCTAATTTTAGTTATATCCGTAAAATGTGAGAATAAACTGCATATCGTACCTGAAGTTTCAAACAAGTGGAAATTTTGCAAAACGTGGTCTTCTTGAAGTCTGTAGCGCGATTTCACATCGCAGTTTTCCGTGATAAAAGAAGTTCAAAATTGAACTAATTTCATAGCCGTGCCTCAGTGTTACACAAAAAATAGTCAAATATGCGGATATTTGCAATTTCATGATTTGTTCGAATACAATTGCGTCCTTCATCGTATACTATTTAAAAGGAGAACGAATCTGAGAGGTTGAAATACAGTTGTGCAGCCATGTACAATTCAATAAACTTATGCTTTCGTTGTGAATTCACAAAACACCTTCAAATTTGTATACATCATTCCTCGCAAATGAAACAATGTGTAAAAATAAGAATCCTAATATTTTTATGTTATAAATATTTTACTAAATTTGTACTCGTGTACCTACAATAGAACCGCTATCAGTAAATAGATTTATAAAAACCTTTTTGAAGTAATTTGTGATTAGCAAATATAAGCAA